GTGGTATCCAGTGAAATCAATAAATCAGTAATAAACTTTACCCCTATATCAGACCGAGCCATGTTACTCCAACTTCAAACGAATCATTGTAAATTAAACATAATTCAAACATACGCCCCTACAGCAGATAAATCTGACGAAGACATTGAGGAATTCTACAACGAAATCAATAACATCATGCAATCTCTAAAATCAAGGGACATAACACTAGTATTAGGAGACTTCAATGCCAAGATTGGCAGGGGGAGATTTGATAATTGTGTGGGAGAATATGGACTTGGTAGGAGAAACGAAAGAGGCGACAAACTGTTGCAATTTTGCCAAGAGAACGATTTTATTATATCGAACACGTTCTTCAAACTTCCAAACCGTCGTTTGTACACCTGGAAATCTGCGCAAGACAACAAACAAAATATAGTCAGGAACCAAATTGATTACATCCTGATAAACCACAGATATAAAAATGTAATCAAATCAGTAAAAACCTACCCAGGGGCAGATGTCTCATCGGACCATAATCCCTTAGTAGCCCGGTTTTTAATAACACTTAAAAATCAACGAGTAATACCAACAGCAAATCGTATAGACGTATCGGGTCTAAAAATCCAAGAAACAAGGCAAAGGCTACAAAATAAGATCAACGATAACCTCAGAACCCTCAAAAACAATCAAATAACAACGGAAAAAGCATTGAGCCGAGCAAGACCATTCTGACAAAACAGAAAATAGGGAAAAAACAGGAATGGATGACTCCAGAAATTTTGAAATTGATGAACGAACGACGTGGTGTAAAAGACAACAACGACGCATATAAGAATATTCAGAAAGAAATCCGATCAAAAATAAGAGAAGCAAAAGAGGTGTTCTACAAAAGAAAATGCGACGAAATAGAAGCCCTTCAAGAAAAGCATGACAGCTTCAATGTCCACAAGAAAGTAAAAGAACTGGCAGGATTACAGAAAAAAAAGACAACCGTCAATACTCACTGACCAGAATGGCAAAATCATTATGGAAATGGAAGAAAAACTAAGAACGCGGAAGAATTACATAATAGAATTGTTCGATGATGAGAGAGATATAAACAGAATAGTAACAGAACAAGAAAACAGCGGACCGGAAATAACTAAAGAAGAGGTCATCCATGCTATAAAAATCAAAAAAGAAGGAAAAGCCGCAGAGCCTGATGAGTTACCCTCTGAAATTCTCAAGTTGATAGCAGAGGAAAACCTACACAGTCTAACAGATCTGTTCAACACCATATACAGAACAGGTATTATACCCAGGGAATGGTTGCTATCAGCGTTCGTCACTATCCCGAAAAAACATAATGCAAGGCAACGCACAGACTTTCGAACAATCAGTCTAATGAGTCATACGCTAAAAATACTTCTGAAGGTGATACATCACAGGATTTACAAAACATTAGAACAGGATATCAGCGAGACTCAATTCGGTTTCCGAGATGGCTTAGGCACAAGAGAAGCACTATTTGCTTTGAACGTTCTCGCCTAACGATGTATGGATATGAATCAGGATCTCTATATATGTTTCATTGATTACAACAAAGCCTTCGATAGGGTCCGACACGAAGAACTTATCCAGCTTCTGAAAGAAAAGAACTTAGACACCAGAGATATAAAAATTATTACGAATCTTTATTTTAATCAAAAAGCAGTGGTAAAAATAGAAGGGAATAACACCGAAGAAATAGAAATCCGTCGAGGCGTTAGGCAGGGGTGCGTGCTATCACCGATGTTATTTAACCTCTATTCAGAGGAAATAATGAAACGAGCATTGGACGATGAAACGAAAGGACTAAAAATTAACGGAGTGACTATCAACAATATAAGATATGTGGATCCTGATGGCTGCCAACCTAAACGATTTACAGATATTAGTAGATAAAGTTAATACATCGAGTGAAGAGCTCGGACTGTCACTAAATGTAAAAAAGACAAAATTTATGATAATATCCAAAACAACACAGAACAATTCACAAATTCATATAAATAACCACACCATAGAAAAAGTTGACAGTTATAAATACTTAGGTACAATTGTAAATAAAAATAACGACTGTTCGGAAGAAATTAAAACTAGAATAGGACAGGCGAGAACAACATTTGTGAAAATGAAAAGAGTGCTCTGTGGCAGCGATCTCAGCTTGAATTTAAAAATCAGAATGGTGCGATGCTACGTTTTGTCGGTGCTGTATTATGGTGTAGAGGCTTGGACTCTGAAGAAACTTGACATAAGGAAACTAGAGGCATTCGAAATATGGTTGTACCGTAGAATACTTAGGGTAAAATGGACCGATAAAGTGACCAACATGGAAATCCTGAAAAGAATAAAAAAGGAAAAAGAAATTATCATAACGGTAAAAAAGCGTAAACTTCAGTACCTTGGACACGTCATGAGAGGAGAAAAGTACCACCTACTCCAACTGATATTACAAGGCAAAATTCAAGGAAAGAGAAGTGTGGGAAGAAGGCGCCACTCATAGATGAGAAACTTCCGTGACTGGTTCGGGTGCACCACAAACCAACTATTTCGGTCGGCTGTGTCACGAATACGTATAGCACTGATGATTGCCAACCTTCGCAACGAAGAAGGCATTTGAAGAAGAAGAAGAAACTGATTAGTTAGTTATGGAGTCACTATTTTTCCGTTTTCCCATATGGCCCATCCACCCCTGTTCAGTAGTTATAAAGCAGTTTGTAGGTGGAGTATGCAACCCATACGTATACGCCAACTATAAACAGTATAAATGGAAGATATTTACTTAATTATCAAATATCAGGCCCCAGTAATTGTCAATGGCATTTTCTATTTAGAAAATTAAATCAAGGGGTAATTTTCTTTGTTTAAAATATCGAATAATTATTTTTTATATAATTTGAGACATAATTTATTTATTTTAGCTTTTAAGTTATTTTTCAATGGTTTCATTATTTATTTTTAATGAATAAACATTTTAAATTACAACCAATGCACAGCATAACTTGTATTCTAGCTTCATTACTGATGATGTGCAGTGAAGTCTTCAGTAGGTATAACGGGGGCCACGGGCCTGAGACAGCGAAGGGGCCACTCGGATCTTGGAGGACTTACAAAATCGCGATATTTTGTCGCGGTATTTCCCTGGAAGCATGTTTAAGAAAAAAATATTTAAAATTTTTGGACGAAAAAAACTTCCTGTAAAAAAATTTGTACAGCCTAAAAGTCAAATTTAGTGATTATCACAGCCTCTGTGACATAAAGAAAAGACATATGTGGCTATCTATTTCAAAAATTAAATTGTACAAATGCCATATAATAATGGCGGAAGCTGTCGTGGAATTGAGCGATTAAAAAATTATCATAAATAATTTTTTTCCAAATGGAAACCCACTTTTTTATTTCACTAGTGAAACGGTTTTCCAATTAGTTACGTTTTAACTAGACATATTCCTATACCTAAAATAAATCGTTTTTAAGTTATTTAAGATTTAGTTTGAAAACGTATATTTTTCTTGATTTTATCTAGCTTCCTTTGGCATTAAGTGTCAAACAGTCAGACAATTTATTTCCATCTGTCAGAAAACGAATTATTTGAATTTCCTATATTATAACTACTGCTGCCTTAAAAGTTTAAAAAGTGTATTTATATAAATACATCTCGTATTTTCGTTCTTTAGTAATATCTAATAGTTGATATTTTAATAATATACCGTACGATCGAAAAAAAACAGCGCAGTTAGCTTGGAAATGATGATCGATAATATACTGTCATAGGCTACTGGTTAAAATCAAGAAAAATATACGCTTTAAAGCTAAATCTTAAATAACTTAAAAACGATTTATTTTAGGTAGAGGAACATGTATAGTCTAACAGTAACACATTTTAAAAACAAAAGTAACGAAAGCCTTTTCACGGGTGAAATAAAGAAATTGGAGTTCCATTTCAAAAAAAATGATTTATGATAATTTTTTAATCGCTCAATTCCATGACAGCTGCGGCCATTATTATATGACATTCGGACAATCTAGTTTATGACATAGATAGCCACATATGGTACAGTGGCTGTAGCAATCACTAAATTTGACGTTTAGGTTATACATATTTTTGACAGGCAGTTTCTTTCCTCCAAAAATTATAAATATTTGTTTTTCTCAAAAACGGTTAACGTTAGGTATAGAGTGTTTAATATCAAAAATCATAAAATATTACAGAGAATTTAAGTATGTAATAAAAAATGGGGTCACCCATTTAAAATAAGACAGTTGCTTACGGTACTTCCAAAAGTGCCGCCATATTGAAAATATTTTTAATCGATAGATCTCATTGTGAAACAATGGTATGCACAAAATCTCGTATCTAGATATTGTAGTACTTCTAATGCAGGCTCAGCCTGGGATACGCTGTATAAATACTTGAATTTTGTCATCCTTTATACATACGGCATTCAATTTTTACAAATTGTGCATTAGAAGTATATCATTATCTAAATAGACCGGGGGCCACTGTAATGAAGTTTATAAAAATTTCTGCACTTATTCCTGGGAGACCCTGTATATTGTGTTAATTAATATTATACTAGAATAAAAGGGACTTCATTTTCATTTAATAATGACAGTAAATGTATATTTTATTGATAATTATTAAATCACTATTGTTATGAACTTCATTAGTGTTCCGATTGTTAAATTAAATAAGTTAAATATTTAATTGCCATATTATAAGAGAGTTTTGATCGGTTTTGGTCGCTATAGTTTTAATGCGAGAAAACGAACAGTTCGCGCCGATCGCCCTACTCTGCTAGTGTAGGCTGAGTGGAGGGGAACGCCAGTCGAGTACCTTGGCTGCAGCAGTTCAAAACGACAGTTTGTGGTCGCACGCGAAGCAGTGAATAGTTAGTTAAATTATTAATTAAAATTACCAGGGTTGCCGACCAGGCAAAAGAGGGACTACGCGGTGATAGGGCAGGTCGCCAGGAATCGTGGCCCTTAGAGGTTCTGTCTGACATCTGCTCTGGTAAAACGTACCTCTCGGGAAAAGCTAGTTAAGGGTTAATGATTAATTGTTTTCTTAAGGGACAGCCAGGGTAGTTCAGTAAACGCACGGGACGCGAATATTTATGGTGCTTGAACAGGATCTCGCCCAACTCCCGAAGCTGTTTCTGTCGCGCCCGCTTTTCTCTAGATGTGTCGGGACGCCTGTAACGACGTCGCCGCCGTTTAGAGAGTCGCGTCGCGGTAGAGTGTGTTGCTCCGGTACCTACGTGTCTGTGTCCAATGAGACGCCGCTAAATCCGACGCCGATCTGGAACTCGCGTCGTCGTATCTAACGGGATGCTGTTAATATCGCCGCCGATCCGGGAACCTCGTCTCTGTGTATATCGGAACGTAACTTCGGGAACGCGTCTTGTGCTCGAGTGATATAGAGTCAGTCAGAGAGTTGCGTGTTGGGAGTAATCGCTCAGAACTCTAGAGGTACACGGTTGTTAATGTAAATTTTGCTTTACAAAGTTCTAAACATTCACTTTATTTTACTATTGTTACAATTCGGGAACGTAAACTTTCTTTGATTACTTTTGTACATAATTAATTTGTTAAACCTAGTGTTATGTTACAGTTAATTGTGTGTTTTATTTTCTTTTCATCTCATAACTCCCTGGTATCTCCACTGTATAAAAGCTACCCGTACTGGCATTAGTGGTCTCTCAAACACTACAAACTTTGAGGGTGGCGCCCGAGTACCGAACCAAAGCAACCCGGTGTCTGTAAGCGTTCTCAAAAAGGAAGAGAACCTCGAGATCCAGAGCTCTTTCCGGACGGAACTTTTTAACGGTTCATTAGGATCCCCAGGCTACCCGTTAGAATGATTTTCATACTTCTACGCATTTTTCGGAATGGTCACCCAGATCCGGCGTCTCTTACTGGTTCGTAACCGAATCCGCGTGTTCTCATTTTCTAGGACGCCGGGCGGTCTCAGGGAACGCACTTCCTCCAAGAGTTTAGCGTCCCAGGGCCCGGTCGTAGCGGCGATCTTGTCCGCTATTTCTGTTCTGCTTATAGACGGCGTCGGTGGTGTAGCTGTGAAGTAAGGTCCAGGAGGACGGACTTGAATATTAGAGAGAATTATCTTTTGCCCAGACGTCGAGGGGTTGTCGGACCTGGTGGGCACTTTATTGAACGCCTCCACCAAACTCCTGATTCTCTCTCTTCGGGCCTCCTGGTTTTCCTTACTCTTCCTGGCCTCCTCCTTCATCACAAACAACGGACCCACTGGTCGGGCTTCCTTGGGGGGGTTTCCGAGAGACTTACGGGGTATATCTGGAATGTACATAGACGTTTACTTATGGTTACGCGTGCATTTTTTTTAGTGAGCGGTCCCTGCTCGGGCGCCAATTTTTTGAGATTCTCTCCCTTTTTGAGAACGCTCACGGACGCCGAGTTGCCTTGGTTCGGTACTCGGGCGCCAACCTCAAAGTTTATAGTGTTTGAGAGACCACTAGTGCCAGTACGGGTAGCTTTTATACAGTGGAGATACCAGGGAGTGATGAAAAGAAAAGAAAACAAAAACTATAACGTAACACTAGGTTTTTATTTAACAAATTAATTATGTACAAAAGTAATCAAAGAAAGTTTACGTTCTCGAATTGTAACAATAGTAAAATAAAATTAATGTTTAGAACTTAGTAAAGCAAAATTTACATTAACAACCGTGTACCTCTAGAGTTCTGATCATTTACTCCCAACACGCAACTCTCTGACTGACTCTATCACTCGAACACAAAACGTGTTCCCGAAGTGACGTTCCGTTATACACAGAGACGAGGTTCCCGTATCGGCGGCGATATTAACAGCATCCCGTTAGACACGACGACGCGAGTTCCAGATCGGCGTCGGATTTAGCGGCGTCTCATTGGACACAGACACGTAGGTACCGGAGCAACACACTCTACCGCGACGCGACTCTCTTAACGGCGGCGACGTCGTTACAGGCGTTCCGATGGTCACAGCAACGTATTTATCGGCGCGGCGTCCTTTTTACAGTGAAACACGGACCCCGGGTCGGCGTCGGAGTTAAAAGCGTCCAGTTGGACACGAATGCGAGTCCCGGATCGATCTCGAAATTAACATCGTCCCGTGGCACACAGACGCTAGTCCTCGATCGACGGCGAAGTTAGCGACGCGCCGTTGGACACGGACGCGAGTCCCGGATCCGCGTCGAAGTTAGCGACGCCTCGGCGACTTGTACACCGTTCGCATTAGCGCAGCACGCACACACACCGCCCGGTCAGGACAGCCTCGGGATTTCGGCAAGATCCCGTCCAGCGTCACTTGCAGGGTGCCGTCTGGACGACACACCTAGACAAAAGCGGGCGCGACAGAACCAGCCTCGGGAGTTGGGCGAGATCCTGTTCAAGCACCATAAATATTCGCGACCCGTGCGTTTACTGAACTACCCTGGCTGTCCTTTAAGAAAACAATTAATCATTAACCCTTAACTAGCTTTTCCCGAGAGGTACGTTTTACCGGAGCAGATGTCAGACAGAACCTCTAAGGGCCACAATTCCTGGCGACCTGCCCTAGCACCGCGTAGTCCCTCTTTTGCCTGGTCGGCAATTGTTGCTCTCCCGCGCTTTTAATATCCTAACAATCCCGGCGACTAACTCCCATATCCCTATAACGCGCCCAGGTAGTAGAGTAAACGCTAATAACAATAAAAAGAATACGACCTACCCTCGATCACTTCGACGTTTGGTGCTTACCTTGCACAGTACAGCGGCGATCGGCGGCTGGCAGCTGGTTACTCGGCGGGGCACTCCGGGCTCAAACTCACTATTCACTGCTTCGCGTGCGACCACAAACTGTCGTTTTGAACTGCTGCAGCCAAGGTACTCGACTGGTGCGCCCCTCCACTCAGCCTGCACTAGCAGAGTAGGGCGAGCGGCGCGAACGGTTCGTTTTCTCGCATTAAACTATAGCGACCAAAACCGATCAAAACTCTCTTACAATATGGCAATTAAATATTTAACTTATTTAATTTAACAATCGGAACACTAATGAAGTTCATTATAATAATGATTTAATAATTAACAATAAAATACATTGACTGTCATTATCTCTACTGGTTTCTCTAGGTGTGTCGTCCGGACGGCACCCTGCAACAGTGACGCTGGACGGGATCTCGCCGAAATCTCGAGGTTATCCTGACCGGGCGGTGTGTGCGTTCTGCGCTAATGCGAACGGTGTACAACTCGCCGAGGCGTCGCTAACTTCGACGCGGATCCGGGACTCGCGTCCGTGTCCAACGGCGCGTCGCTAACTTGGCCGTCGATCCAGGACTCGCGTCTGTGTGCCACGGGACGCTGTTAATTTCGAGATCGATCCGGGACTCGCATCTGTGTCCAACTGGACGCTTTTATCTCCGACGCCGATCCGGGGACCGTGTTTCACTGTAAAAAGGACGCCGCTCCGATAAATACATTGCTGTAACCACGTCGCCGCCGTTCAGAGAGTCGCGTCGCTGTAGAGTGTGTTGCTCCGGTACCTAAGTGTCTGTGTCCACTGGGACGTCGCTAACTTCGACGCCGATCTGGAACTCGCGTCGTCTTGTCTAACGGGATGCTGTTAACATCGCCGCCGATCCGGGAACCGCGTCTTTGTGTATAACGGAACGTCACTTCGGGAACGCGTCTTGTGTTCGAGTGATAGAGTCAGTCAGAGAGTTGCGTATTGGGAATAATCGATCAGAACTCTAGAGGTACACGGTTGTTATTGTAAATTTTGCTTTACGAGGTTCTAAACATTCATTTTATTTTACTATTGTTACAATTCGAGAACGTAAACTTTCTTTGATTACTTTTGTACATAATTAATTTGTTAAATAAAAACCTAGTGTTACGTTATAGTTAATTGTGTGTTTTATTTTCTTTTCATCTCATCACTCCCTGGTATCTCCACTGTATAAAAGCTACCCGTACTGGCACTCGTGGTCTCTCACACTATAAACTTTGAGGGTGGCGCCCGAGTACCGAACCAAGGCAACTCGGCGTCTGTAAGCGTTCTCAAAAAGGAAGGGAACCTCACAAAATTTAGCTTCGGCGCCCGGGCCCCGGGCCCCCGACAAGCTTAGTCCGCCACTGAATTTGATATTGAAGAAAAATAATGTGAGTCGATTTCGGCATAATTGGGGAAGGGCTATAGGATGACGCCCTCGACATTTCGAACCGATGCCTCTAAATGGACGAAATTATCATGATTTTTCTCTTAATTATGGACCGATTGGAACTAAACTAGGCACGTGGATAGAGGTACCCGAATGGGGTACTCAGACGGACAGACAGACGGAAGTAAGAAGTTTCACTTCAAATATGCACACATAATGCACACACATTTTTTTTTATTCTAGGAGCACACTTACATTTTATTAGCGATGGGAACTATCGAATGAATTAGACTATCGAATGGTTACTGAATGAATGATTTCAACTATCGAATGGTTTTATTCGAATAAAATCATTCATTCATTTGTATACTAAAGCATATGTGACAACCTCGCCGTGCGACTAAATGGTTATCGTTGAGCCACGACTATCGAATGCTTTTGATAAATGAAATTTAGTATTCATTTGATTTTTGTGTGCGTGAGTGTTGAGAGTTATTAGTTCTTCTAAATATTTATAACTTCGCCTTATAATTACTGTGCTATTTTTGCGTTTATTAAAATATTTAAAATAGTAGTTTATTTAATTGACGATTGTGTGCGTATGCAGGTGGTCAAAATTTTTCCGAAAATTTGTGTGATTTTCCGTAGCCCGATCTTTCAATTATTTTATTTTATATGGTATATGGTCTATTTTTTAATGGGAAATTTTGAGAAGTAGCAATTTTTAAGAGAGATGAAATGAACTTAGAATTAATTTTTATAAATACATATTTGTATTTTAGATGTTTTAATAATATGAATTAGTTGAACTTAATAATCATATTTAAGTAATGTGGTTAAGTAAATGGGGTTATCGAACTCAAACTATGGGATGAGAAAATTAAATTGAAAGTTTTACACGTGCCAATTTAAAAAAAAAAGTTAACGATGTTTGTATTTTGTTTATGCTAATTCTCTTACATGTAGTTTTTTGCGAAGAAATATTTTATTTATTTTTTAAAGTAAATGCCAGTAAAAGTAAATATTATTTTTAAATAATAATATAAAGTACCTAATATAAATAATTTTGATTTCTAATTTTTTATTTATATTTTCCTTCCATTACACTGCATGCTTAGAAAATTAATAAATGTTAATATTTCATGATTTTAAAGTTTGTTGTTAATATAACAAATTAGTTCTGTAATTATTATTATTTAATAAACCAACGTTGTCAAAAAATTTAAAGACTGTATTATTTTTAAATAGGAGCTAATATAAATAATTTTGACATCTAATTTGTTGTTTATATTTTGCTACTACGTAAAAAAATGTTTATATTAAATTATTTTAAATTTTGTTGTTAATAGGTATAACAAATTATTACTGTTATTATTTTATTTTATTAAACCAGTCTTTGCTTAAAAACATTAAAAATCATTTTCCTACATCCAAAATAACAAGTATTATTGCAGTGTAACAACAAAATATTAATAAAAAAAATACAAAATATATAGACATACTATCCCTAACTAACTAAAGCCAAACAATAATATTCTTTGCTAATATCAACTAATACCAATATATGGTAATAGCGCCCTTCATAATATATTTTCTGTGTAAATACTAGCACCTCAATAAAAAAAATAATGTGTCCTTATCTTTATATGACTCCGCAAAAAATCAAAGATGCCGGCTTCTTTTATAGCATTGCCACCGACCGCTGTCGGGTTTCTCGGAAAGAAACCTACGTCGCCGGGCGACAACTAAAATCCAGTTAATATTTTATTATAACCGATCCTGACGAATAAATGAATTTCATAAATGAATGAATTTTATAATGGTTTTATAATGGAATGGTTTTTGCTGCCGAATTACTAGAATACAATATTACAAGGCAGATGACGCATCTATTCGATAATTTTTATTCAAATAGTTTTCAACGAATGTTTTCTTACTAGCTATCGAATTATTCAAATGAATTGCAACTATCGAATAGATCACTACTAGATTTTACTACCTACTAACATTTAAAAATAATAAACTACTTACCATATCATTTTCATTAATACTTTCAAGATCTTCTTCATCAGGGTAATCATTCTTCCAATTATTTTCTGCATTTGAATCTTCACTTTCATATTCGGAGTCTGATTCGTTTAGACCATTGTCTCTTACAGATCCAAATAATAGTGGATCATTTAAAGGATACACACTAAAATAATAAATAATTTGCATAAAATGTCTGACATACCTATTTATACTATATTTTAGTAGTAACAAAAACAAAAGTCCCCCATACACCAGAAGATCCGGCATTCGGATGAAATCTTTGCGTTTGTGGGCCAGACCAAATCTTTGGCAGGCAATTGCGGACTAAAGACAAAAACAAAAAACAAAACAATGCAAAACCAAGCAACGTTGCTTCGCTTTAGTCCGCGGACCTTATATTACATACAATTAATTAATCCAATGCACGGTTTTTCTACGCGCTTCGCCACCACGCACTGCTCATAAGTGCGCGGTATGATTATGTCTGTCACAGACCAAGTCTACGAACTAACAGCACTTTCAGATGAGCGGAGCGTCCGCGCGTCCGCGTGTACCGTCCGCGAGTTCCATTAGTTTAAATGAACAATTTCACATGGGTCGCGTATGCTCCGTCCGGATGAGCTATCTTGAAAAAACATCTGCGCGGACGGTCCGCTCCATCTGAAAGCGCTGTAAGCCTGTGAGATTAGATTTGTTTAAAGGTGCGTTCACACCGGCTGCGTTGCTCCGCGCCGCGCAAAACATTTTTTTAACATGTACTTTTGAAGTGTATTTTTTTAGCTCGCACAAAAGTATACCGGGTGCGTCTCAAAAGTGGCTCACCCCAATAACTTTTTTATTTTTTCAGATAATAAAACGAGATTTGGTATGTTAGTATATGAAATAAATTAGGATTGATTAACGTATTCAATTGTTTTCTGTCATTTCCTGTTTCACCGGAAATGACTACAACTTTTGATTTTTAAATGGCACCCTCGGTGTTTTGTTGCTTTGTTCGATAGAAAATGACACTCTGAATAGAATGACATATCGTATGTCAACTTTTGACATTTTCGAATATGGTTTATTTGAAATTGCAACATGCGATTCATTACGACAATTTGACTCGAAATACCAAGTGTGTGGTATCAAATTATTCGTAAAAAAATGCTTTTTCGAAATATGCTAATGAGCCACCCTCGTTCCATTTGAAAAAATTGAGATGATTAAAAATACGATTTGGGCATCTTTTAACTGGCCAGGACAAGACACGAAAAATATTAGATGATCAAATATATTTTTCCAAGGTTCCTTGATTAAAAATTAGTGTTTTTAACACAGCCATGGCACTCTAGATTGAAATTTAAAATTCAATTTTGTTTTAAGCAAGAATGTCAAAAATTGACATGATATATCGTTTGATTTAGAATGTCATTTTCTACCGAATAAAGTAAAAAGATACCGAGGGTGCCATTTAAAAATCTAAAGTTGTAGCCATTTCCGGTAAAACAGGAAGTGGCCAAAAAGAATTAAATACGTCAATCAATCCTAATTTATGTCATATACTAACATACCAAATCTCGTTTTTTTATCTAATAAAATAAAAAAGTTATAGGGGTGAGCCACTTTTGAGACGCACCAGGTATGTTAAAAAAATGATTTGCGCGGAGCGGCGCAGCCGGTGTGAACGCATCTTAAAAAAACGACAGAAAGATCCGCGGACTTTCCTTTTCGGACTTTTTCTCTCTAAGCGAAAATACGGTAGTTTTTGTTCCGATAGACATTTATCTATATTTTATTTATCTATGTAAGTATATATTTGACTAAATCTCGGAATATTAACTTTGTGTACCTATCTACAGTGTGTCCCAATATTCCGTGGACATAGAACTACTACGTATTTTTGGAACCAAAATAAGTTCATTGGACACAATTTACCTCTATACAAAAGTGCTTAGTTTGTCCGCTAGAGGGCAGCAAACTTTAAAAAATAAACACATTTTTTCAGATATTTTAAGAACCGTTATTGCGATTTGAATGAGAGTTTGGGTGTCTATGTTTTGCTAAGTACTTTACCATTGACAAGTACGGGAAAGGTGAAAACTACCCCCACCTCTACATAAATTTTAGTATAAATATTTTCCAACTCCACCGACAACAGATTTTCTTTTTTTAAAATGGTCCCTCTAGTATTTACTACATTTTTTGTCTCTTGTAAAAAAACGCCACATTGCTTAGTTTTTGAGAAAAAAAATTTTGGAGAATTTATTTTTCAGATTACAGACCTACAAAATATACAGGGAGTTCCGGTGTTCCGCGGACACAGAACAACTACGTATTTTTTTAATCAAAATAAGTTAGTTGCATATAATTTACCTTTATACAAAAGTGCTTCGTTTGTCCGTTAGAGGGCATCAATCAAAAATAAACCCAACAATTTATTTAATTTTAATTTATTCGTTAATTAAGCTTTTTATGACCCATTGTCAAATATAATTTGTGATACTAACATATTATTTTATTATTATTTAGATTTTATTAGATTATTAGAGCATAACAGATGTTATGTGCCTTCATAGCTTGATGTGACAAAAAAATATTTTTTGGAAGTCATCTTCAGAAAATAATTTGTTCCGCAAAAAGAATCCGCGGTGGCGTTTTTTTTTTCAAGAGACAGAAAATGTAGTAAATACTAGAAGGACCAATTTACGAAAAAAAAAATTGGTCTTCAGCTGAGCTGGAAAATAGTTATACTAAAATTTATGTAGGGGTGTGGGTAGTTTTTACCTTTCCCGTACATTTTCTTGATTTTTGTGAAAGTCAAATGTTAAAGCACTTACATAACATAGACACCCAAACCCAAAGTCTCATTCAAATCGGAATAACGGTTCTTAAAACATCTGAAAAAATGTGTTTATTTTTTTAAGTTTGAAGCCCTCTAACAGACAAACGAATCACTTTTGTATATATGTAAATTGTGTCCAATGAACTTACTTTGATTCAAAAAATACATAGTAGTTCTATGTCCACGAAATATTGGGACACACTTTAGATAGGTACAAAAAATTAATATTCCAAGATTTAATGAAATATATACTTACATAAAGCTTCCAACAAATATATTCATGAAATAAGACGTATGTCAAATGTCAAACTTACAATGTGTCTATTTTCTAATTTACACTACTACAATGTTTAGGAGAGTTAAATTACTCTTCATTATCGAACAGATGCTAAAACTGAATACACTAAGCTTCACAATTTATACATTCAGTTGTACAGAATCGTTCACCAGTAACACAGTATGTACCATAAGAGTCCTGCCTTGGTTCTCTTTAGAAGAAAATTTACAGTAGAAAATTTTCCTACTGTTCTCAAAATATGTCGGATTTCATCTTTTCCAATGCAGTAATGTGTAAACCAGAAAAACACAAGGAGTGTATCACAAGTTTTATTTCAAATGAAATATTTTTTAGGTATCACCATTAAACAAACCACTTCCTTTTTCAATTTGAATTTTTGATAGTAGTATCAAAATAAACACACTAATATTTCTGTAATTTTATATATACTCTCTCAATAATATACTGTATATCTTGTAATCTATTAAAATAACTGTTACTAATTTAGTAAAAATATCAAATATCAGAAAATAGGATGTCAGAAGAAACAGCAATTTTGATTAGTTATCTAGTATATATTTGAAAAAATCAATGTTTATTTATATACAGAAAAAGCTTAACTACTTTAGAATGATAACTAATTTATATAATTTTTACATTAAGAAAATAAACTAACTAAACTCTTACATCAAAGCTCTTCAGAAATATAAAAAATCCAATACATTAAAATTATATACTAACCTAACATAATCCTCTATATCGGCTTCACCAAAATCATCCGAACTTGTATAATAAAAATCATAAACATACTTTGACTGATCGGTTTCCTTATTTTTATTTTCTGTAGATGTACTGTTTTTATTATAATCGGTCTCTAATTCAAAAACTGTTACTTCTTCATTATTCGATTTACCGGGTTCTTCATGCAGCTCATCATTAAAGTTTTTTCGAAAGCAGTTTACAACTCGATACCTAGTATTTTTTGAGTGATCCTGTATTTCCGAACGTATTTTTTTACTAATATCAACATCATGCTTTTTAAATTGTCGCTTTAGATCAGAAGCGTTTGCTAGACGACGTTTTCTTATAACATGTTCGATACTTTCGTCCTGAAAAGATAATTATCATTGTACAATAGAATTAGGTTAAGATAAATTGTAAGGTACTTCTTTTGATGTTCCTGCTAATTGAAGTACTGCTGATAACTCTTCATTTGTGTTATTTTCCGACCCATTAGTTTTCCGTCTTTTACAATTAAGTATAAGTGTTTCCAAAGGATCTTCATCTAAACAACGTTTGATTTTTACAACAGCCGCCATTACACAAAAGATTATAAAAATGCACCCACTCGACTACTGTAGAAAATGTAAAATGATGTAAAACCAAAAAACCACAGTGTAAAACGTACTACTGAAATATATATTGGATACGTAGTTAACATAAATTAATATCAGTACCTTAATAAATTTAAAATATTCAGAAAGAATGGAAATTTTTTAACCGCTTTCTTTTATTTATAATGTCAACATGTTAACTGTTAACTGAACAGTGCTGCCATGAAGTGCTGCCAATAACAGAGTTGCCAACGTTATTCTACGGTTGCCAATATATTTTAAATTTAAATTAGATTAAAATAAATAAACGAAACCAAACAACAAATATCGTAAACATGCCAATATTACTTTTTAAAATTCATCACACATTTTATAATTAAAATAAATAGTTTATCAACTATTACATTTATTAACCAAAAAGATTAGTCTTCTTATCCGTTTATTGCATACGCACAGTTAAATTTATAACACAAGTTCAATAACCTTTTAGGTATTGGCCATTGGCAACAATTTTTTATAGTGTATTTTGAGTTAAAACTTAAAAAAACTAGATTAAAAAATTTACCTTTCTTTTCTTTTTGGTAACATTGCAGCCAATATTCAGAAAGAATGGAAATTTTTTAACCGCTTTCTTTTATTTATAATGTCAACATGTCAACTGTTAACTGAACAGTGCTGCCATGAAGTGCTGCCAATAACAGAGTTGCCAACGTTATTCTATGGTTGCCAATATATGTTAAATTTAAATTAGATTAAAATAAATAAACGAAACCAAACAACAAATATCGTAAACATGCCAATATTACTTTTTAAAATTCATCACTTTTGGGTATTGTCCATTGGCAACAATTTTTTATAGTGTATTTTGAGTTAAAACTTAAAAAAACTAGATTAAAAAATTTACCTTTCTTTTCTTTTTGGTAACATTGCTGCCAATATTATACTATTCCACAAATATTTTTTTATGTATTGTTTGATTTTTATATAAATGAATATTGTTCTTAGATATTTGTTCAAAGCAACTAAATTAAAATAAATAGATTCATTGAATAACTGAAATAATAGATGATTTATTGCACATTGCAGATTGCAGATATTTGAATTATGTGAATTAACATTGGAATTAACCATAAAATTAACCATTTTTCGTATTTCACTGTTGTTCTCACTGACAATTGACAAATGAGTCATAAGAATTCTCGAATCTCGAAGTTGACGTCATATCTGACTGTAAAACAATAATATTTTTTATCTTTAATTCCTTTAATACATATATTTAATTATTCATTAATCATGGGCAATGAAATGTCGCAATCTGCAATGGAAAGTATCCTTTTTATATAGTGTTCAACAATTTTTGCAAAAATACATTTGTGCACACATATTTTTCTTAACCAATCTTTCAGAGCATCTATTTAATCTTAAATTTGCCGTAAAAGAATTAGAGAGGAACTCGAAAAGATGCGAAAAAGAAGAGAAACAGGAAAAAGCTAAAACTAAACAAGCAATTCAAAAAGGTAATATGGAAGTGGCTCGAATACATGCAGAAAATGCAATAAGACAGAAGAACCAGTCTTTAAATTATTTAAGAATGTCTGCTCGAGTTGATGCAGTGGCTAGCAAAGTGCAATCTGCTGTTACAACCAGGAAAGTTACAAACTCTATGGCAGGTATGTTATAGTACTTTTTAAACACCTTCAAGGGTAACTTATATGGGAATTATATTATGAGTCACCATAAACTATTAACTACAAATTTTAATCACCTTTCTTTATTTTACATGAATTATAACAATATCCACAGGTCTTTATAAACACAAATCTTTAAAAAAACGTCTGAAAGGGTTTGGTACTTTTGGTGATCTTGCTTGTCATTCATGAAAAATGAAAGATTATCTTATATTTTTATTGCCATTATGTGTAGGTTTATATTTCATATTGGTCCATTACATTACTTAGTTTAAATGTAACAATAATTGTTTTTACTTTTAAACAATCATACTGTAAAAAATGTTTCTGTATGACAGGTGTTGTAAAAGCAATGGATGCAGCTATGAAGAGCATGAACTTAGAGAAGATATCAAATGTTATGGATAAATTTGAGCAACAGTTTGAAGATCTAGGTGTACAAACGGATGTTTTGGAAAATACAATGGCACAGACAACCACCACATTGATACCACAGAATGATGTTGATTCTTTGATGCAGCAGGTAGCTGATGAGGCAGGGTAAGTTATTTTTGTTACAAAATGTTTGAAGTACTTATATAAATACATATATATTTTTTTTTAGTTTGGAACTTAATATGGAACTACCAGAAGGTCCCCAGGGTACCAGTATCGCATCGACCCAAGTTTCCCAAGAACAAGATGAACTTACTCAGAGGCTTGCAAAATTAAGACAAACCGAATAGAAAACTGCTAGACCAGTTAGATTGAGATGGGCTGTTATTGATATAGGACATATTTAGGAAAAATACAAATTATTCCTACATTAATCTTAGAAATTATTTAAAATAATGCATTTTATCAGCTGTAAAAATATAGTCTTATATCCATAACAGCAAGATTTAACTTGTTAATAATTAAAAAAAAGGTCAACTATAAAATTACTTGTGATATCTCATTTTTTTCCAAAAAAAGCTATTTTTATAGTTTGTTTTATTTCATATTTTTAAAAGAAATATTAGTGTAAAATAATAAGTAAGAATACCCACAAACTAGTTAAAATATGTATTAACACAGCTTTTTATGTAATTTATGCTAAGATTTTATATAGATTTATAAGAAACCTATTTTTAAGTTGTTTTGTGAAAAGTGTATTACTATTTAATTTGTGAATAAAATATACATATATAAGAAATTTGTGGACAGATTTTGTTTCATTTTGTACCCTTTAAAAAGTAAATTAAAAGTAACACGAAAATATAAACAGGAGTAATTTTCCTAAAGAGCGTAAGGCGGTGTTGCCGCTGTTAATCGCATATTTGCGACTTTGTTAAAGAGCACATGCAAATTTTGAGGTTGGATTTTTGACAACAAAAATAGTGGTTTTATTTTTTTACAAATTAAACAATTTTTCTATAACTAATCATTATTAACACCTAAAATCTTAAAGATAGGATTAAACTATGTATAAAACAATCGAAATTATCATTATTTATCTATAGTTTTAATATATTTTAAGTATTTCCCCGGGAAACTTTTCAAATGATCAGCCAATCCAGAAAATTATACAAAATATTACCATGGTAACAACGATATAAGAATTATCCAATGAAATTACCCCGTTTCGGTCATGTGATTCGAAGTAAAATTGTCATTGGTTACAGATATCTGTTTGAATTTACCGCGTATATTTATAGGGGACTTTGATTGGGTTTGTTAACTTGGCAACAGTGTCATCAAAATAATGTGGTGGATGAAGTCAGTGAAATAAAAATTGTATTTTGATTTAACTACGATTCTATAACATAATTTTAATAAGACAGAAATTAGTAATTGAAATCATTGCACTATAAAAGAGAAATATACGTTTTCAACACATTTCATCATTAGACTGGCGCTGTTGTAGTTAAGTCAAGTCAATTGACGGTGATACGCCATTTTAGTATTGGATTGTGCTTTTAATCTGGAAGTTTTAAACTATTTCTTCTATAATTGTATAGCAGACGTTTAAATAGTGTAGGAATCAAGAGTATATTTTCGGGGTGACATTTAAAGGTAAATATATTTAATCTAACTCTATTATTATATTCCTGAATGTTGGAAAGCTCTACTTAAATATCAGTGAGTTGCTGTTTGTTCAGTTATCGTCTACAAAAACCTTACGTTTATTCTTAAAGTGATTGTTATAAGTATGCTAGTTTAACTTTCTGTAGACAGAAAATGTTTGCATAATAAACGGTTTAAATAATGGCCCAGTACTTCGAAGTATTGAGTCGAACTGATGCTAATGCAGAACAAGCTGGGCAGATATTCAACAGGAATCCAGAAACTGAACCAACTCAAATCCGATATATTCTTGCTGATGATGCCCAACAATTTCCAACACAGCAGGTATATTTTATATTGACATTTACAATAAAAAGTAGATTTATTGCATGCCATGTACTTTCATTTTAGTTAGTTCATTTATCTTCTGATCAGGTTATGGTAGTAGATGAATCCCAACAACAAAGTCAAGGTGTTTTAATTGATAAGGGTCAAATAGCTTATCAGGCAGCTCCTCAACCACAATTTAGTGCTGTAGTTCAAAATGCAACTGGTCATATGAATACACAACCGATTTATTACATGGAGCCAACTAGCGGATCAGCCGACAGTGTCCAAGCTGTTCAGGCAGTTGTAGATCAAGTAATTATTTAGAATTTAATTATTTTTATTTGGCTTCATTTTTATTTTGCTCTATTATAGTTAGTATTAACTTACATGTATAATATCAAAAAATTAATTATGAAAGTATAAATCATAAAGCATTAAATACCTACTAATCATTTCTTTTATGCATATTTTTATATATTCTATGAATTTGTAAACTTCCAGACTCCAGCAATTGAGCAAAACCTAGGATCAACTCCAGTTCACCCTCTGGTTATTAACCAACAGGTTAGTGCACCAAATCATAATTTGGATGATAATGGAGCAAATCAATCAAATCAAAGACGTGTTTTACAAATTAGAACTGGAATGAGGCCAAATATTTCTGTAAGGCATCTTGAGGTTTTATTAATAAGAATTAACATATTTTAATGACATTCTGTTACAATTATTTATTATTTAAATTTTTTTAATATTTACAGCTTCCAAATGAGGTTTGCACTGTTACTTATTTGGGGATTAGGCCTGGAGGAGCTAATGTTAGGGCACAGCAAGCCATACAACAAGTTAGAACTCTTGCATCCCAATCTCAAGTGAGGTTAAGAACTCCTATTCAACAAGTTCGAAATACACAGGTTAGTAGCACATAAGGGGGCGTCTATTAATTACGTGAAGCATTTTTAAGGATTTTTTGACTCTCCCTCCTCTTTATTAAGTCTACCCTACTTTATATTTTGAATAAAAAAAGTTGTCCTTAATGAATTGAATTGAATTGAATTGTGAATTATAATTTATAGGTTCAACAAATGACACCTCCAATCAATTCCCAACAAAAAACACAAGTTGTTTCTATGATCAATAGGCAGCTGAGTGCCCTACAACAACAGAAACAACAAAATCAACCAGCACAAACTGTGCAACAACCTCAAGTAATGCAGTCACAGCAAGATGTACATCTCCAATCAGAGTCCCAGCCTGGTTTTCAAAAGAATCTTCTAAGGACCAGTGCAGCTGAACATGTAAGACATCTATTCAATTCATTATTAAATAATATACTGACCTGGCTAACTTTGTACCACCAGGGTTGGATAACGACACATAAAAAATTAATTTTCTACATGTATGTAGAAAAATGAGTAGAATATGTAGAATATTAAGTAGAAAATGTATAAAATCCTAGTACATATACAATATTTTTATGGATATTTTCTTTAAATTCTATAACTGTTAAAACTGTTATATGTGCGCGCTAGCTATTCTGTGACGGTATTAACTGGAAAAAAAGAGACACTAATCGATCTGAAGACTATTAAATTATTTTATTCTACAGTATGTCCCCGGATTGTGTTTACAAGAGGAAAAAAAAACTTTCTTATTATTGACATTTTGAGAAAAATGCATTCTTCATAAAAATGTTTGATTGTTCTAAAATGGTTAATCTCATTTATACTGTTCTAAATTTCCATACCGTTTTATTTAATTAATTATTTATTTTTTATAGATTGTTATTGATAAATTTTAGTTAGTCATATTTTTTGCTGTTTAAAGTGTTAATAAAAGGCACAAAATTTATTTAGTTCAATACTACAGGATGTCCCATTTTGGTTGAAATCATACAGTATCTCCATTATTAGTGAGGATTAGAGGATGCGGTTTGCACAAACCTGTCCCACTTTTTTGTCAAACGAAAGATGCTGTAAACAAAATTTCCATAGCCCTCGTTGTTTCTGAGCTACAGGGTCTTTTTGAATATTTTGCAATTTAGGTCACCCCCCGTATCTCTGTTATTGCGAAAGGTGTCGAGAAGGTGAAGACTGTTTATTGTAGAACTTTTTATGGAGAATACAGTGGCGTAGTCTGTTATTCTACGAAAATAATATTTTCGAAGATATGAACTAAAGTTATGTTTTTTTTAACGGAACACCCTGTATATTTATAAATTATATGAATTGGCTTGCCATAATCTTCTCAAAAATATATATCACTCTATATTTATTGTCACTATTTACTGCAATATTTAAAAGGTTTTATTAAAAGATCATATTTATTAGTAGGCCATGATTGTTAATAAAAGAAAATAAAGAATTGTTAAAAGTATACTGATATCTGTCTCTTGTTTTATTTTAGGGGCTATTAATAATTTTTTTTATATATTAGGAAAACTTAACTCTCTACCGCTATTTGTAAATTTTGGAAGTTATTGTACCGGAGCTTTTAGATATTCCTTTAGCTAATTTACCTGAAATATACTTTCAGCAAGATGGGGCTTTCCCTAACAACTTTGCAAATATTACAATTTTTGTTAAATTATTATTTCTCAAATCAATGAATTGGAACCAGTTGAGCCATATGATGGCCTCCCTGATTCCCGGATTTGTCCGTTCTCGATTTCTGATTTTGGGGATTTTTAAAATATGACATATATCGTGACTTCAACAATGTCGAATACCTGGAAAATGCTTTAATAATGCAAGCTTTTAGATATGTATTTGCAAACCCATCCTGTTAAAATAAATTCCGCTATAAAGAATGAAAAATATGTTCAGAGATTCAGTGGTAACAGTTCAAAAGTAAAATATATTAATCACAAATAAAATTTTAATGTGTTTATGACTATTTTAGTAAATACCATCAGAGATACTATTTTGATTTTCATGTTATTTATCACGGCCTAGTAATAAAAAAATTATATATTTTAAATATTGAAGTAAAAAGTGAAAATAAATATAGAGTGATATATATTTTTGAGAAGCTCATAGCAGGACCGATCATATATGATACGGGGTGTTCCATTTGAAAAAACATAACTTTAGTTAATATTTTCAAAAATGTTTTTCCGTAGAAAAACAGACTACGCCACTGTATTTTACGTAAAAAGTTCTACAAGAATTAGTTTTCACCTTCTGAATATTATCCACAATAACTGAGATAGGGGGGCTGTCCCAAATTCCAACATTTTCAAAAAGACCCTGTAGCTCAGAAACGAAGAGCTCTATGAAAATTTTGTTTACGGCATCTTCCGTTTAACAAAAAAGTGGGACAGGTTTGTGCAAATCGCACCCTTCTAACTTCACTAATAACAGAGATACTCTATGATTTCAACCAAAATTGGACACCCTGTACGTAGCAAAAAATATGACTTTGATCAAAATTAATAATAACCATCTAAAAATATGCATCTATAGAAATTTTTAAACATTTTCCGATGCACGTCATCAACTTCATCAACATCAACACAGCGATGGCGACAGCGCTGCCAGATTGTGATGGATTTATGAGATGAATCTTAATTTAAATGTGACAAACAATATATATTTAGTATATAATTTTTATATATTTTTTTTAAGGCAGCAGCTACCCGCTATAAATTGAGATAAGTAGAAATAACTCTTGAAAGTGGTATAATGTGCTTACCAATCAATCTTACTTCTCTGACTGCATTCAAGGGTAATAAATTACCTTTATTGTCACGTTCGCACTCAAAATATTCTATCAGGGAAGCTACAAGCGCTTTGCTTCGACTGTTTATACGCTTCCGCATATTTTCAATCAACAATTTCAAAAAATGCAGTAAAAAATCTTGAAAATTTAGTTCTTAAAAGAACTTTTTGTGCTTAGAAGTACCTTTTAAGAAAAAAAAACTATGAAAAACGGCAAAAAACGAGAATTACTCCCAAAAATTCAACAACACGATATTATACAAAATAATGACTGACACTAGAATAATTGTCAAATAATACAAGACAACATTGCTGAACATGGCGCAATGTGACCAACAAGGCGATAATAAAAATCGGTTTAAACTAATTTTTGCAGCTTTAATTTAAATAAAATATCTGTTAAATCATTTGCTCTATAAAGTATAATGAAGAGCTGCTTGGTATTTTAATTTAGTCAACAAATTTAAACATTTTTGCTAAAATTTCATTTACTCAGGTTTACAGGCTTTAGTGTCAATTTCGATGTGATTGATGACGTGCATCGGAAAATGTTTTAAAATTTCTATATCAAAGAATGAAATCGAAATTATATTACCATAGAAACGCCCTTTGATTTTTAGGACTTTAGGGAAAAATTCAACTGTATTTTCATTTTTTTTAAATTTTCTCTGAAACGGTATGGAAATTTTGAAAAGTATAAACGGGATTACCATTTTAGAACAAGCCAAATATTTCTATTAAGAATTCATTTTTCTCAAAATGTCAATAATAAAAAAGTTTTTTCTTTAGTAAAGACAATCCGGGGACATATACTGTAGATAGTAGATACATAATTAATAGGGCAACTCCACATCTTGTATATTCTTGTTTACAGAGTGATATGGAGGAAGCCATGGACACTTCCAATCCCATTACACCATTTAGAAAAACGGTCGATCAAAGATTACCACCCAAAAATCCAATTATTCCAAAGTAATATTTGTATCTTTATTTTTTGTCTGCGGTAACATTTTCAATTCTGTGTTGTAGTTTGCCAGCAGGCATAAAAATCACTCCAAAAACGAACAGCCAACAACAATCTTCGCTGAATCAAACCATCAGTCAGGTGCTGCACCAAGTGGTGTCACAACAAGCCGCTAAAGCCGGTCAGGGGAATGGTGCAAATAATAGTCCACCCAAAAAAGGAAGGGCGCCGCCAAGGTATGTAAATAATTTATTTATGGATCTGATAATACAGTGTACAGGGTGTCCCATTTTCGTTTGTTTTACAGCGTTTCTTGTTTATGAGTAGAGGTACCATATATTTATCCCGTCTCTCTCAGTTCTTGAAATACAAGGCGAGTTTAAAAATGTTGCATTTTTTGATCCCCCTTTGTTTTTTTGTTTATAACCGGTATTTTGTTTATAACTTTAAAAATATAATATATTATCAACTTTTCGTAAATAATCTTTCTATTCAAAATTAAAGTAAATATAATTTCCTATAATTTTTGTTAATTAAGTTCTTTTTCTCTGAAGAACTGTTCGGGCTCAAAAACCAGTTGAAAATTAGCGTTTTTTGGTTGTCTCCTCAAATACCTACTTTTTGTACTCCAAAACTCTTAATTTATTATTAAAGTCTAGTATATTTGATGTCAATTAAACTTTTAGTAGTTTTCATTGTTCTTTTTAGAACCTCAGTGTACAGAAGTGTACAAGATAGCTTAATAGCCGTAAAAACTTATCGTAACTTATTAGAATATTTTGAACGGGAACGCGGTAGTAATGGCCCTATGTCCCTTAAGTGCTGTTAAGGTTAATTTTGTTGATGTAAATAATAACTGTTTATATATTTATAATTATTTTATTGTTTCCTAAAACATTTTGATTAAAAGAAAATATATAAAAGTGGACAACGCTGTGTCGGTCAAGCTTAATCACGTGACTAAAAGTTTATTTGGTATGAACTGTACTGTATGTGTAGTTTTTTAGTTCTAAGTTAAATATTATCATATAGACAGTGATTACAACAATTGTACCACCTCCGATAATACAAAAATCAAATTAATATTATATCTAAATTATGTATAAATATAATAGTCTAAGGAGCTAGTTTTCGAGAAAGTATGTTAAGAAAGCTGGCTCTTTGATATAAGCCATGGTCGTAACACAAGAAATGCAGCTCAAAACAACGTCACACGTCAAAACCCCAAGCATACCATATGCCAGAGTCATATTTATTGTCTTGGTCCAAAAGTTTTTGTGCCATTAACTGCCTTCCAAACAATATTAAAGTAAAACCATACTCTAAGTGCAAAAAAGAGATAAGGCAATGGATACTTCAAAGCAATTGTGTAGTTAATTATGTGGTCTAATTTGAAATATTATATCACACAATTAATATCTCTTATCAAATTAATGTTACCACATTTTTACTAATTATTGTACTAAAATTGTTATACTTAGATGGAAATATTAGAATACATTGAATACATTTTTTGTTACTTTTTAAAAAAAACCAAAATGGTAAAACCTCTGTGATACATGGATAAGAAAAAGAGTGCACACACAGTACTTTAAGTATCATCGTGCACTAAAGTAGAAGTTTTTATTTTTATTTAATGTACCTATAGAATTAATTATATTCTGTTCAATATAAATGTAAACTACTACTACATAAATAAATAAATATCTTTTACTATGCTCTGTGGAATAGCATGCTGCCAATAGCAATCTGGCTGCCGATACCCGTTGCGTTCACTACTGCGCTTGGGAAGAAGATACTTTTTTTTATTTAGTCCGTTAAATTCTAGTATTGAATATAAATCGAACAAGTCTCCATAGCGCAGCGTGTAGTTTCCGACTACGAACCGATGATTGATGGAGATGAGTCAGGTTGTTTCTCGGTTTCTTTACTCTCCCCTTTTCGGAGGAGTGTTTTCGTTTTTGCTTCCTCTGGAGCAAGTCCTTCGTGGAGCAGCCGGAGGTATCTCCGTGCTTCTGCTCCGCTAGGACCTACTCTCAGAGGATCGTCCAGCCCGCCTGGTTGACCCAGGCCGGGTAGACGAAACGGTAGCTTATGTCGCTTATTGGGTCTAGAGGTAGGCTCCCGACCCTTGCTGGAGAAGGTGGTAGCTTGTGTGCCACTTGTGGAGGATGATCCCAAGCAAGCGTCAGCCGAAAAGCTTCCCCACCAACGACAAGGTCTTGCATCTCCTAGGGGAAGCATTGCAACCCAAGTTTTTCCTGTAGTTTCCTTTGGATTTGGCCCCTTGGAACTTTCATTTGTAATGTTCGCAGTGTCGCTAGGGGGCTTCCCCACAGTTTCACCGGTGGTATTTGTAATACTAGATCTCATAGTGTTCCTACGAGTCGCTAGGGATAGTCGGTCCACTTATACAGAGCCCCGCATGCAGAAGTAAGGGGTAAATACAATGGGGTGCCCCCTGATGCCCCAAGGTTGAGGCCAGTAATGGCTATAGTCTTCTATCTAGCCACGCATCCCTTTGGCATGGTCCTGCCATCGTAGGATTTAGGTTTTTGGTGAGGTTGTCTCCTCTTGGTCCAGGTGGTTAAGCCAAGACAGCCTCACACCCTCTACCCGCGAGACATGACCACAGTCAGTAGAGGATGCCTGGTAAGACGGACAGGGATAGCCCCGTCCGGCATCGTTATATGTCTTGGTGCAATTCCCTGGCCACGACACTACAGCCAGGGACAAGAAGATGAGTGAGATGCTTGTTAGACCAAGCCAAGCGCTATGGGGGATTCCCCCCAGCACCTGACCAGGAGCTTCCCCACCAACAACAAGGTCTTGCATCATCTAGGGGAAGCATTGCAACCTAAGTTTTTTATAAAGAAATTTGTATACATACGGTCTTCAATGAAAAATATCGATTTTGAAGGAATAACTCAAAATACGCTAATATTGAAACAGAGCTAGACCCTAATCGGATTGTCCGAGGACAAAAATATAACTGAATTTGTAGGGAATTTTGTCTACTTTTATTTTTTTTGTATAGAGGTATTATTTCTGAAAAAATTACATTTTTGGTTTTATAAGCAAAAAACCGCAAAAATTGCAATTTTTTTCAATGTTCCGTCGCGAAATTTTGTTAGCAAACATCAGATTCGAATTTAGCGCCCCAAAAAACATAAAGAACAAAAAAATCAGAACTACCCCAAAACTTTCCCCCAAAAAATTCAATTTGACTAGACTATTAGGTAAAATGCCCTATGGACGCACGTCGATTACTGTGAAAGAAATGGTGGATATCAAAAGTATTAAGAGTGGCATCGACAAAACGGAAATTCCTAGAGAAAAACAATTTAGCAAAAACAACGGCATCTAGAATTTAGAATAATTGCGAAAAAAATCAAGAAATCAAATATAGCATCGATAATATAAAGTTGAATTTATCAATGAAAAAAAAACTAAATTAACAAGTTTTTTTCTCAAAAAAAATGTACTATGTATAGTTTATCAGTTTTGTGTGATACTATTTTTGGTATAATGCGCCAAGTACAATAAAAATACACGTATACGTACAGATTTTATTATAATTTCTTATAGCGTATCTCCGCTTATAGAGTATCGAGTTTTTGATCTATTAAGTGGTACTTTATAACCAAATTTAACTTTGGACGAAACTTTTTTTTGATACTAAGGTTGATGGAAAACATAGTTTAGAATCGGGTTTCAAAACGGTTAGACTGTGTCGTAGGTATGTTTTTAGTACATGAACTTTGACTGAAACATATTTATTATTAATCTTTAAGAGCTAATGTGCAGCCTGTGGGACTTCGGTGACTATATTTTATCTTACCACGCGACAACGCAGGATAATACGGCCTCTGAGACCTCGCGTTAGCGGTTATACAGGGTTGTTCGAACTGTATTCCGGAAACTTTGGCGGCATATTCTGCAGATAAAAATAAGTATAAAAGTTCGTATAAATGTATGTTCTAAAATACTTATTTTTGGAGATAAAGGCTATAGAAGTTTCAATTTTGTTTCGATTTTTTCCAAATAATTTCCGTCGGTATTATAATATAAGTAACGTCGATATTTGGATGAAAATTGTTGTCTAGGGGATTTTTGACATGAGAAATTTGATTTTGATGTGAAATGATTCCTACTTGTAGAGGGCGCCACCTACATATTTTTTAACTGGTTTCAGAGTAATAACTTTTCGTCCGTACCTGTAGTAAACACTTCTGCGTTAAACCTAAACGGAAACTGCTTGTCAGAAGTTATGTTTACAGTTATACAAATTTGCCTAACAAAGAAAAAATGTTTAACGTTTCGGAAAGTTTACCTCTTTCCATCGTCGGAAGCAAAAAAAAATACAAAGAATAAAGAAAAAACTATTTTAAATATTTAAATTCAACTATTCGAGAACACTTTACTTTTTTAAAACAGATACGTCTACAAGAAACCGTTAACGTTCTGTTAAAATGACATTTTATATCAAGTTAAACTTCAAAATTAACAATTACTACCTGATAACAATTACTTAATAAGGTAAAACCAAAAAGCCCCAAAACTTTCTGTTTGATTATTTTTAAATTTTACGTATGTTATGTTTATTTATGTTATGTTCTAACATCTACAGATGCATGAGCAATACATTTATTTTTATTAGATTGAATTAAAAAAGCCTCTTTTATTTTTCTTTTATTTTTGCCACATAGGTATAGACATTTTTTAAAAACTTTGTGTAAAAAAAAAATATTTTAAGAAGCATTATTACTCTCCTTTGTTAGTTCGTTAGTTATTATAGTTGGTATATTAAATTCCATATACTTATTTTGAATTTTCAGATCCCCTAAAGCAGCTAACACTGCAAATAGAGCACGAGTTCAAAGAATTCCAATTAATTTCAACCCCAGAATGGCACCACCTCATATTCAGCGACAGAGCCCTCCTAAATTTCCATTGAATCAACAGCCGAGATTTCCCAATCAGGTAAATATTAATTTTGCTTACATTTTTCTTCTGTTTATAGGCCTAGATAGTACAGCATGTGATAACAAGTTTGCAATTTTGTATTTAAATAAAATCTCTAATCAGAGATTATGTGAATGCTGTTATGTATTATATGTATGTATATGAATTCATGTCGCAATGTTGCCACGCCTACTTTTTTACTTTGACTTTTGACAAGTCTCAAATAAAATTCATAGTTTTGTCACCGATTTTTCATTTCAAAATTAGGCACAATACATAAGTATTTTTTGATATCTACATTATTACTTGAAGGGTCAGGGGAAAAAGCAGGGATATCAATTTTGTATTAATATTGAATGTTACATTTCAGCAGCAAGGCATACCTCAGAGAGTCGCCCAACAGCCAGCAGTTCAGCAACAAACACAACCAGCAATCCCACATCAACCACCTGCTGTTCAACAGCCTCAACAAGTGGTTCAGCAACACCAAATGCAACCTGTGCAACAGCGTCCTCAAGTTGCTCAACAGCCTCAAGCTGTCCAGCAAAATCAGCAGGCCCTGATGCAGCCTGTGCCACAGCAACCACAACAACAAGCCAACCACCGCCATCAAAATGGTTCTGGAGAATCTCAAATGAATTATGTCATCACGCCACCTACACCTAACAGACCGAGACAACAGCGACCTCTGCCTTCTTATATACCTAGCAGTCATATACAGGAGTTAATTGGTAGGTTTTTATCTGTTTATACTAGTAAACATGTTTTGGAAAGTGTTTGATTTTTATTTAAAAGTATTTAGAACTTTACCAAATTGAGTGTTATATCAGTTACATGGTGTGAATATGTAAGGAATAATAGAATTAAAATATTCAGTATGATTTTTAGGAAATGGTTTTTCATAAAGTTATTTTGCATGGTATGATTTGACTACGCCTATGGTGTATGCTACTTATTTAGGCGGTATCATACTAATTAATTATAAAAAAAAACGTATTAAAATGTTAACAAAATGAACAAAATTAGTATCGACGTATAGCACATATCAAGTACATATAATATCAGAATAATAATTATCAAATTCAATAAGAGATCGCTAAAAAGATAGAATGGATTGTTTATTTATCTATGAAACGTAACTCCTGGCTCTTTCTTATCGTTGCGGCGTTTACACTTGAAAACTGAACAAATCACCATTGTAATAAAGTTTATACAAAGTTCACAACACACAACAAACTATTAAAAATCGCTAAAATTGTTGCTGGTGCCATACATATAGGTCTTCAATTAAATGTCGTCTAACAACACTTTTGTTCTTGTAATCTTTGGTCAACGAATTTGACGAATTAGAAACCTATTGGCAACACTTATGCGTATTACCAATATCCCGACCTAATCAGTGTCGCCAATTCAGCTTGCGACAATTAAAAATATTTAAGAGTTTTTAACAATGATGCATGTTACCAACATTCTTTTTTACACAATCAGTGTCGGCCAATGTTTTAGGGTATTCACCTAAATTGTATATGCACCGTCGGCTTTGTGCACTCTTTTACTAACTAGTAGTTTTCTTATCTTTTATTCTTATATGATTCTTTAATGTCGAAATTAACAACAAATTATTCTTAAAATTTGTAAGAGTATCTTAAATTAACAAAGTAAATATACTTGGGTATATACAAGGTATAATGGTATTTACTCAAATTCAGTATACCCTCTATTTACCCATTTGGTATATACCGGGTGCAAGCCCTTGGGTATTTACCCAAATTCAGTGCTAATAATGAACAAATTAAATTATACAAATCGAGAAAGTGAATTGTTAATATTGATCCCATAACATATTATCAATGATCGTTAAATTTGCTGAAATTTAGATGAACAAAATGTCTATTGACAAAACTGCATTTTGCCAACATTGACTTAACTCAATCGGTGTCACCAACTAAGAAACTTAAATTTGCCAAGTTAAAAATATATTGGCACCCTTGGTGAATGTTGTTACCAAGTTAATCAGTGTCGCCAACAACGCAAACCAGAATAACCGTGAATTAAAATACCAAGTTAACCAGTGTCGCCAACAACGAAAAACTGAATAACCGTGAATTCAAATACCAAGTTAACCAGTGTCGCCAACAATAAAAAACTGAATAACCGTGAATTAAAATGTCTTAGGATTGGCAACACTGATTAGTGTTACCAACGTTTTATCAACTCATCAGTGTGGCCACTAATTGAAATTACATGAATTAATAAAATATTTATGGTGGGTTCATACAGCCAAATAAAATAAAATAAGAATAAAATAAAATAAAATAAGAAAGTTGGTTATATGGGATACCGTACATGCGTTCATACAGCCAAATAAAATAACAAATAAAATAAGAAGTCTTATCTTTTAACTTCTTGTTTTATTTTATGTGAAAACGGCTTTGCGCACGCTTAATTCTAACCTACAAATATTTTCAGTTTGGATTTAATTTATTTTATAATTTCACATAAGTAAAATGTATAATATAGTAGGCAACGAATAAATAAATATATTATAAATAGTAAAATTACTATAAACAATCATAAAAGTTAACTTTTATCCAGCCTCATCGTACTGCGCATGAGCAAATATATATTTCTTATTTTATTTTATTTGACTGTATGAACGCACACAAATAAGAATTCCTTATTTCTTATTTTATTTTATTCTTATTTTATTTTATTTGGCTGTATGAACCCACCTTTAGCGTTCGCAACACTGATAAGTGTTACCAACATCGATTCAACTTCATCAGTGTCGCCAGTAATAAAAAATTAATATTTCGTGAATAAAAAAAATATCTCCAAAACATTCATTCATTGAAAAGCGTGTAAACTAGCCATATTGATATTATCGTAATAATAAATGGAAATATATTAAATTAATAACTATATTGTTACGTTACGTTGCCTTACAAATCCTGCTTTCCAGAAATGGCTTTGAATAAGAAGACTAAGGAAGGAGCATATCAAAAATCTTAGGTACACCGCGATGGGCCTCAAATATGGCCGACTTAAATTCCGGTTTATCAGTGTCGTTCTAATTTTATTTAAAAAATGTAAAACTATGATGTAGGGTAGACGTGGGGTAGACTCAATAATTTGTTGTTTTATTTTACGTTGTGAATAAATGTTGGTAGTTATTAAAATTGTTATAAAAATACATAATTCTAATAAAAATAGATGTTATAATAAGTATTTATTAACACAAACATCCGATACGCTACTGAAGCAAGTCAAATTAACGTATCTAAATTCTTTGACATCTAATCTTTGACAAGTAATAAATAAAAGCTAAAATGCAACAAAAATATATAATTTAGTTAATTTAAGTGAATTTCATAAATGATCGGTTTACTACACGTATCTATATTATATAGACACTTACTAGCGAAAAGTTGTTCCATTATTTCACTCAATTTTTGCCGAGATCTACCGCACGTACACAACCAACTATTTTAGAGTCTTTTTCGATAAATCGCGATAGTGTCACTGTTAATTTAAGTTCTGCCACAATTTCCAACTAGATTTACTACCTTTATACAACTATCAGTAGTAGAATAAATAATAAATAACATAAAATAAGCTCCGTAAAGACTGACAAATTCACAAAATTTCAAATCAAATTCAAATGTGTCAAATAAATCGTCAAACAGAACTGTCAAGGATCCCCACCCTAGAGAGCTTTTATGGTGGCTTTTCCGTCCACCATGCATGAATACATGGATAGCATTATGATAGCATTATGCTCCTTCCTTAGTCTTCTTATTCAAAGAGAAATGGCGGAAACTTAAGTAAACAAAATTGATTTAGCTTAATCAGTGTTGACAACAGTAAAAATATATTTCGGTTGGCAACATTGACTGAAATATATCAATGTTGCCAAACTACCCAAATTTAAATATTTTTGGTTATTTATGAAATTGGTATTGTTGTGTAGCCATTTCAACAATAGTAATTCTCTAATAACAAAATAATAATTATAATAAGAAATATTACGGCGTGGATATTATGTCTTTTTCATAATTTTTCTAGTTATACATAATGTTACTTGTTTTCCGCTATGTAGTTTTCCAATTAGGGAATCAGTGTTGCGAACTGTTTTTTCCAAGGGATTTTCCCCTTAATTTAGAGGAAAAATCTATACAGGGTTTTTAGGCGGTATACTTTTTGAAAGAGATAAATACTTGTATTACAGTTGGGGGATTTTGGACAATTTTGGTTTGAATTTAGGGGGAAAGTTTTCGAACAGTTGGCGACATTATAGGGGATACACTATATCACGGCATATAAAACAATCGGCAGGCTAACTCTGCCTAGATTCTATTGTTTAAAATTTCTATAAAATTTGACCTTGACGACGCCATTCGAGTGTCCAAGTCAGGGCCGGATTAAAATGTATCAAAAAAATTTCCCAGAAAATAATCAATTGGGTCGTATTAAAAAAAGTTACTGTACTGTTATGCTGGTATTTCGATTATTCAGTAAATAATATTCTTAACTCATTTTTATACTTCTGAAAAAAATACTGGGTTTTGGTTAAGCCTATAAAATATAACATTTCATTGTATTAGGTCTTACATTATTAAACCCATCATGATTAAACCCTTAATATGTTTAGTCTTCGATCCGGTAAATAAGAAATCTGTTAGCCGTTTGGATCTTAACTAAATAATTTAGAGTAAGAGACAGAATAAATCGGGCTCTTGTACTGAAAACTGTTTTATTTCGCTCTGCCGTAATCGTAATATGTATTAAAATTTAGTTTAATTATAATTTTTAATTTCTATAGTGTTGTGTAAAGTTAAGGTATTAACTTGCTATAGTTATGTTAAAATATAAAGGCCTGTCCCACACAAAAATGCTCGTCTATACAAATACATATATTAGAAATTCTTAAACATATGTAGTAAATCAATTGAATTCATCTTTCAGAGCAAAAGTATGGCTTAAGACTTGCGGTAGACCGGATTTGTCCGCAATGTGGCGCTCATTTCAGTACACGAATGTTTCTGAAGGGCAAAAGGAAAATTTAAAAGAAGGGAATCGTTACCGCGCATACTCCTCGAAAAGTAAAAATAAAGAAATCAATTAAACATTTGACTGTAGAGTATATACACTTAAAATTAAAGATACTCAATAAAATATCTATTGAACAATATAAAGAGACTACGTACAAATTATGCCCATCAGTGGATGTAGCAAATTTTATTAATATTCAAATCACCTTTAGCGCTTCGGGAGTGTGAATAACAGCTGTAAAATATAAATAATCCTTACAATATTTATAAACTTTTACGTTTTCTATTTACTGATAATTAAAATTGTAATGTTTTGTTACAGATAAGACACCTATCGCTGAAGAGTTTTCCGATTCCATTAGAATGTTAATACTTCTCGAAAACGGCGAGCAGCGACTCATCACTTTTACTTTACCAAGGGAAGCTTGTACTATACAGGAAGTGTTGGAGCAAGTCAGCGTACCCTTCACTTCAGACACCAACATTCAAGTTACAGAGGCAAATACCAACGGAATCAACTATATCGTTACCGTGGGAAACATAGCCAATTTTCCACAGACATCCAACGAAGTACGTTATTTATTTTGTACAAGGATAAATATTGATTGAATCAACATTGATTTTTATTAGGATGATTCGACGGACACTTGTGAACCAGATTCTACACAGCAAACACCTCCGCATTCATCGAATCAAACGGGTTTGAATATCAATAATGAATCCCAAAGTTCACAAGAACCACCGAAACCGCCGACGCCCGAACCTCCAAAAGAGTTGCCTAAGTTGATTCCTGGCAAGCTAGCTGTGTGTTCCTATTGTGGATACACTGGTGAAGACTTTAACAGATGCAGAAGGTAAATATTCTTGCTGACCACACAAACTATATTGTCTAACGTCTGTCCAACAAGCCAAGGAAGATTTCAACTATAAAAAAAGTATGTTTAGATTTGAAAGTGTCCATAAGGACAATGTAAATACTCTTTGGCGTTGTTTTTGCAGCGGGCGCGATCAAAAATTTTTTGATAATTTTGGAGCGGTTCGGTTTTTTCCGGAATTATGTCGAAATGCCACTTCTCCGCAATTATCACGACTTGTGTAAATAAAATTTAAATATAATAATTACTTAAAAAAAGACGCTTATTTAAATACTTTTCGGTATGATTGTGCATGATATGTGTACATGTAAAAAACTATTTTTACACGCAAAAAAAACATTTTTTACCTGTAAAAAACTATTTGTTACACGTAAAAAATATTTTTTTTTAAATTATTACTTTTTCAAACAATAGTTTTTCGAACATATCCTTAAAATCCCCCAATTTAATAGCTGTTTCACTTCAAATATGTGCACATAGGGCACACACACAATTTTTAAAAGTTTTTTAGTCATTTCAGAATAACAAAGCAGCAATACTTTAGTAAACACTTCTTATTTTTTTAGGTGCTCTAGAAAGCTTCCTGACAATGTAAGATCAATCGACGCCCCGATTAAATCCAAAATGTCTAGTCCCGACAGTACTAAAGAGTTACCTAAAAGTTCGAGCAGTTCTCAAATCACAGGTAAAAGTAATAATACGAATTTCTGAAATGCGCAAAGCACAAAATTTCTAACAGAAATACTTGCAGGGTTGAAGAGAAAAGTTACCAAATCCAAGCAGTCCATGGAAGAATCTGTTGTTATTAGTTCTGATGAAGAAGACGATGAAAAGAAAAGTCCCAAATCGGTACGATCTAATGAAATAAATAAATTGTCCCCTATCTCACTTACAATTAAAAAATTACTTACTACTAAAAATTATCTGTATTAAACTTGTAACTTTTGTAAGATATGACGAATCCAAATTCACTGCCATGGTATCTTGCCGTATCACTCCCGTGGTATCTTGAGAGATACACGTACAGTACGTCGATCCGTTCTGTAGCTAACTTCTCTGTTAGCAAGCTATTCATGGGCGTGCTCTAAATATTTTAAATAACATTAAATCTTATATAAAAATTTTAAAAATACCAAATCATTTTTTTTTCAACGTTCTTCCACGTAAATGAGACATAATCTTTATAGAAATTAAAAAATAAGGAGAAAAACGATAAAAAGTTACTAAAATAACGCAACTGTTTTACCGATAACGACTGCACTGTTCTCCAAGCTCGGTCTACTACCGTTTTAATCGATTATTCTTGTAAAAAATTGGACGAGGCGTCCCGTCAGTAAAAAACAACAAATTTGCAAGTAACTAGTATAATGAGTGTGTTTCGTGGTGACATACTCGTCAAGGCCACGTGGTCTCTTTGCCGCGTGTATATTGGCAGCTATCTAAGAAATATTGCTTTTTATTTAAATGTGTTTTGTAGTAAATTGATCATACTCCAATATTGCGTCTGCATTCTTAAAATTTCTTTCATAGACACAGATTCAGTAGACGTACTTTACAATAGTTGGGGAGATAAAAGTTGTGCCTGTAAGGTAGTCTCAAGTTGCGTAACTCGTTATTTAGATTTGTTACTTAAGCTTTTACGTGAGACAGGGGACAGAAAGATTTTTTTTTAATAAATATTTATTTTAGGTTAGCGAACAGTTACTGAAAAGCCTTGGAGCATCTGTTACCATTAGCCCAGTTACAAAAGAACCGTCTTTGAACGAAGTTAAGAAACACGTCAGGAAAGGTAAGGGTTTATAAAGCTAGGGCTGCAATAGGGTGCACCAAAAAAACTGTTTTTACTTTATTTACCGGGAAAATATCGTTCACGATGAAAAACATTCTGGTAAAATTTGAGCTCTTAATATTAAAATTAAGAGTCTAATCGCTGTACTGTTCGGATCGCTCTCAGGGATCGAGTAAAGCGGGTGTGTGGCCGAAGGAAATATAATATTATATTTCAGAAATCTGCTTAAGGCTTAGCCCGATCCTGTCGTGTTAAGCCACATCCAACATTACAAACAAACGTGCTTTAATTAAGTTTTGCAGAGCTTCAAATTACAAAACCATATAAATTATATATCACTGTAATCACAAAACTTCAATTTATTTCCGTATTGTAACGGAATTTTATTTTTATGTCTTTATTTTCGAGAAAATTTAGTCCAAACATAAGGAATATTTAGTTGATGTTTGACCATCAAAATCTTAAAAAATAAAGAAGTTGTCTAAAAATGTGCTACAATACGGATATAGTATAATCCTTTATCTTTAACTAGTTGAAGCCTGGCGCATGCGCCACGATATCAGGGAAAAATACTTTTTATTTTTTTTTAATTAAATGAAAAACAAAAAATCCGGCGACGACAGTTTTTAGAAGAGCCAATTAGCTATCTTTTAGTAAAAAAGGCAACTTTTTAGAGGAAGTCGTTACTTCAGTAGAGACGACACAGATAAACATTAGCATTTTATATATGTAGATTTCCATCTTCATTTGTGTAAAAATACCTAGCCAGTTTTACATAAAACGTTAAATGCTGAAAGCTTATTTTGCTACTTGTCCGGACTAGTGAAATGGACTCTTAAGAGGTGTCTCATTGTAATTTTCTATTTCCCATTTATAAAACGGGAATTTTTTTTTGGATTTTATTGCTTTCTAACAAATCAGCGTGTCGTTTTACACGTCAATACATATTTTTGTAGGAAATTGAACGATGTTCAGAATATGAGATACTAACTTATAGTTTCAATTTTAAATTTGCCCTATTTTATTATTTAATACTATAAACTAAAAATTGATAAATTATATTTAATTCAATTGAGTATTCTCTTACTTCGTAGTTATTGCTGAACCTTCCAAAATAATCAGAATGACGCTGAAATGTCGTACTGTTAGGATTGGATCATATCGTTTTTATCCAGCTGAAGACGTAAGTTTATTTTAGTATTTAATTAACATATTAGGTCTGGTCATTTCATCTGCGTGGCCTGTATTTTAATTTTTAATGCATGCAACAGAGATAAATCTAAATGACCAGTTAAAAGACAGAGAGACAAAATAAAAAGCGGCATACAGTGTTGCCAGTTTTTACGTTTGTAAGAAAATGTGTATAGAAAAAAATAAACTATTTTAAAAACTTTCATGTATACTACTGTCACTACTTAAATGAAGATAATATATTATCTCTAAACTAAATATAATCTATTACAGCTGTAGTAAAGTGACTAACTAATTGTTAAAAATAAAGTTCCAACTCTAGATGCAACATTTTTCATAAACACCTACTTGTGTGGTTTGAAATTTTGATGCAAAATCCGGCAATACCGCATAGAAGAAATGTATCAATCCAACTTTTATCTCTTTTTAATACATTTTGTTTTCCATTGAGCTGTCTACATCACTGTTTTACACGTTGAAATCCAAACCACGCAGTTTCGATGATCAGATTAATATAGCAAAAACAGTGATCGATAACATAATAGTGTACGTAGTTGTATACTAATTAATTATAGATATTTATAAGAATATTCTTCTCAAGCTTTGTACACCGGGTGCGTCTCAAAAGTGGCTCACTCCTATAACTTTTTTATTTTTTCAGTTAAAAAAAACGAGATTTGGTATGTTAGTATATGATATAAATTAGGATTGATTGATGTATTCAGTTGTTTTCGGTCACAATTGAATACGTCAATCAATCCTAATTTATGTCATATATTAACATACCAAATCTCGTTTTTTTTATCTGAAAAAAAAAGTTATACGGGTGAGCCATTTTTGAGACGCACCCGGTATATATTTCTTTCAATTCTTCAATATCGTAATTGAAATCAAATAAGCTGTATTTTATATATTGTATAAACTATAACGCTTATTTTATAAATTTCACTCAGCATTCGTATCTAGAGAATGAGAGATGCAGGGTGTCAAAGAGAAGTGTATTTTGAAAAGAATATACACTTCGAACTCTTGTTAACATAAAACATTGAGATTTGTATCTAAATTTTATTATATCCTAAAAAACTCTTAATGAAAAATAATTTCAAAATACCTACAATTATTACCATGACACTTGAATGACAATACATTTTAAACTGACACTGACAATACATTTTAAAAGTATGATATTTACAGATCAAGAAAATATTGTGATAATGTACAATTTATAATTATGAAATGTTTTAAAAGTGAAATCTTAGCTGTGTTTAAACCTGACTAAATCATTACGTCCATTGTATAACAATAATTCAAACTAATCAAATTTATAATTATTATTTCCAGGTTATTATCGACTCCAAATGTATCATAATTAAAGCACCTGTCTTTGACAGCAAGACTGAAATTAAAGCGATTCGGATTGATCGAGGAGACGTGGTTAAAGTATTAGTCTGTTTCAATAAGGCCCTACCGGTAGTTTTCTATTATTTGAATGCCCACGTGGCACCCGATATTTGCGAAGCGCTAAATTTAACAAAGGAGTCAGGCATCTATTACGATCCTATCGAGGAAAAAGAAGATTCATATCGGTATGTCTTAGGGATCTTTCACAGCTACTTATGTCCGACACCAGTGTCCCCTACCGGTGGCTTATTAGTTGCGCTCATTGATCACCGATGGTTAACACAAATCAGAACACTAAATTAAATCGAGAAAATTGCGTATACAGGGTGGTCCGAACTGTATTCTGGAAACTTCAGCAGCATATTCTGGAGATAAAAATAAGTAAAAAAGTTTGTATAAATGTATATCCTAAAATGCTTAGTTTCGGATATACAGGGTGTAGAAGTTTTATTTTTATTTCGATTTTTTCCAAATAATTTATAAAGTAACGCCAATATTTGGATGAAAATTGGTTTATGGGAGTTTTTTGACATGAGAAATTTGATGTCAATATCAGAGTAAGTAAACCGACGAGTAGCGACAGTCCCGTTTTCAATTTTCTTCTGCGAAATAAGAATCAGATAGTTTACAGTACGTCTGTCCGTTCTGTAGCTACGAGGTATCCGTGAGAGGGGAAACGATATTCTCTCGATGTTTTTTGTAAAAAAATAGACGACGCGTCCCATCAATAAAAATTCAACAAATTTGCAAGTAGCCAATAAAATGAGTGGGTGGAGCGATTTGCGGTGACGCACTCGTCAAATCGACGTATAAAATATATTGCTGTTTATTTAAATGTTTTTTGTCCGCATTCCTTTCATAGACACAGATCCAGCAGATGTACTGTATCTGTCATATGAAGAAGCGAAGTTGCCACTGTTGCCATTTATCAAATATCTCTATATACTTTATTTCAAGTATGCCTCAGGCAACGAATCGTTTTTTTAATTATTTATTAGCTGTAAGATATTTTATACATCCAAATTTAGAAATAAGGATAAAATAAAACAAAAAAAATATGTATAAAACTTTATAATTAATTCCACTTCAAATTATGAGCAGTGTATACCATGTTTATAGGACCACTTCATAAGTTGAACAGTTAAATACGTAGTCTATCTGTTAAACACGACAAAAGAGAGAGAAAGAAAATTTGGTCCCACCACATCAAAAGAGCCGACGGTTTCTGTCACTACTCGGCGATCTACTTACTCTGTCAATATCTACAACCTAACCACCCACCTATAGTTTATAAATGGGTGTGAAGTGACGTTACTGATTGTATTGTTAATGATTCAACGGTAACGAAAAGGAGACAATCAATTATATTAGATACACCCATTATTAGCCGAGAGATATCAAAAAAGCCTATTTTATAATTTTGTTGCTATAATCTTCTAATTTAATGTTTCAAATATTTGGTTCTCCTTCAATGGCAGTTATAAAATACTCAATATTACGATCAAGAATTCTTATAATAATAATAAGAATAATAGCTCCCGTATATAGCGTTTAACGCCTTGGGAGTAGCAAGGTACAGCTTGCCATGCTAGAGCCGTTCAGTATGCAAGGAAGGTAATGTAGCTAGCACTACGCTTCAACCGCCTATTATTACCTCAGGATTGTGAATCCCAAGTACTCATTTAAGGCTGAGTCGACCTAGGTACCCTAACTATTTTTATTTTAATAAAAATAGTCGGCTGATGAAATGCCGGGTGTAGGATTCGAACCCACTACCTTGAGATTGATAGACGAGAGCCTGTACCTCTACGCCATCGGGCACTAGAATTCTTTCCATAATTAATAGTTAAATAATAAACTAACTTTCCTTGAAAATAATTGATACCAAACCAACGACACGACACAAAATATGGCCGATGTGTATGTCTCAAATTAAAGCAATGGTCTAGTGATGTGTCGGTATTTGAGTAACGCGATTTTGGAGCGGTATTTTTTTGTAACGTCGCACAGTGGATCGACCCAATGCAATCTGCTGGACATTCAGCAATTATGCAAAATTTCTAACTTACTCCGAAAAAATATTTTGTTGTATACAGGGTGTCCCAAAAAAGTTATGATAAAGCTTTAAGTTTTTTTTTAAATTGCACCCCCAATTTTTCTGTACATAATTGGATATAGCATAAGATTTTGCATATAGTATCTTCATCTGGTTCACTTAAAATATACAGGGTATGTACAGGTCCATTTAAATTAAACCAGTTATTGTGCCGTTTAAAGCTAATAATTATTTAAATAAATTTATAGACACTTTGTATGAGGTAGTGTTATTTTTATTATTGCAACACGAAATCTAGTAAATACAAATACTTCGGTATAATATTTGGTTTTAAAAACGGAAATATCCCTAGAGAAATAAAGCATTAAAATTGTTAGTGTTTTTTCACAAAATCATAAATATTTCAAAAACGGAAAGATTAAAGTGCGGTAAACTTTAATTAAATTACGTTTATTTTAATCGTAAAAACTAAAAATGTAATACTTAAATAAATAATAAACATGGTGTTCCATTTAAAAAAATACAACTTTGATATTTTTATTTATTTAGGATACTCTGTACGTTTTGTAAATCATTTTAAAGTGTAGCTTTAGTGGTCCATCTACAATCCCATCACTCATAATTTCCACAAATCTAATCATTTGGCTACAACACTCTGTGTCGAATAGCGTGAACAACCTTGTATGTTTTTTAACTGATAGCTAATGTCAGGCAATTTTTCTACTAAAAAATAAATATGACGAATGAAATCTAATTAGTTAGTGGTCAAAGTTAAAAGTATAAGAAATATCTCACAAGTAAGTTGGTAAAAATCGTCCATGTAATTAGGAAATACTTTTTTGGAAATACTGTATTTAGTATTATATATAAGCCGCCATCTTGAATTCTTGGAAAAATTAAATTTGGGACTAAAATTAAATACTTAGTAGTCATTTCTCTTCAAAAAAAAATAAAAAGATCCAAATCAGACTAATGACTGTTTCCAATTTTCCTATTTCACTGTCACCCCCCTGGTCATGTCACGCTCCACAACGAATCACGAACCTGTTACTGAAGAATGACGATCATAATAACGACAAAACTATAAATTATTTATAATTGCTCTTGGAGTTAGCTCGAACCGCAGTAACCGCATATGGCCGTATTTCGCTGCAGCCGTCGCGCTTCTAGGGTCGCGATTTCGTCGGTCGCGAACAGTAGTAACTGGAACTGGTAAGTACGTAGTGTCGCGCGATCTCGACCGCTTCGTCTGTTGCGAAGAGATGTAACTGGAACCGACCTATACCGCGACGTATTTCGCTCCAGTGCGAGTGGTCGCGCAACTGCTGGAATATCTTACAAATGTGTGTATTTTAATTTAAATTCTAACGGTTATAAACGTGTATCAGAAGAATATAAATCTAAATTAGAAAAGATGGCGAACAAAAAGTATTGAATACCAATAAATTATATTATTTTACATTTTTTATGTAATAGTTTTATTTTCAGAATTAAAAGCTAACATAACGAAATTCTTTTAGCCATCTGCATGTTGTTTATTGTTTACAAATTTGGGGGGTTTGTGAATTGTTATTGTTTATGAATTTGCACGGACACAGAGATAACGGCAGGGAGAGGAGTAAATAGGTACAGTAACCAGAAATACCGTATAAGCGGGAACAGCGACACTGGAAGCCGGCCTCGGTTACAAAATCGCGGTATTTCTCTGGAACGGTCGCTATTTTAACGGGACTAATGTGGAACCGGTATTCCCATCACTATAATGTACTGCTAAAACTAAAACAGCGTCCTGTGGTTGTGCCTGTAGCGAGGGCGAGACACTAGACAGTAACTGATATGCCACTAAAAGCAGCGTGGTCCGCAAAGTAGTTCATGTGTATATGTAGATTTTAAACAATGCTTTGCTAAATCTGAACACCGGTAGTGGACACTTGTGTCGGACACAAGTGGCTTTTATGTGAAAGAACTCTTACCGATCAACTTTTTATACCTTTTTGCGATGTTAAATATATATTTTTCAGGAAAGTGACTTTGTTACCGGAAGATTTAAGCGACGAGCACCGGTTTGCGTTTCAGGAAATATACAGTGCCGCACCGAATAGTCTGATGGAGGATATAAATGCGAAGGAAGCTAACGACATTCTAATTAAAACGTGCCCCAAGGATGGATCCTCGGGCGGATTTATGTAAGTACCATTTTAAATCTTTTGATATTTACATACAGTGAGTTGTTTATAGAAAAATTATTTCTCCTGTTACGTTATTACTAGTGTAGTAGATTTGCGTCCTTATATGAGTCAGGTGAACATTTGGAACAACATGAAGAAAAAAATTGAGAACAAATAAATATTCAGAACACGTAATTTTTCTTTCTGGTCACACTTATACATATTGCAAAGTAACTGTTAACACTACATACTGTAATTTGCAAATTAAAACGGCCTAATGAATAAATGCGGCAATCGAAAAAAATGGTGTCGCAGAAGGCTTGGAAATGAAGATCGCTGTCATTTTGTATGTAAATGATGTGTAAATGTATATAGGACGTCATCGATCGTCACTTATAAGCCAACTGGACGCCGTTTTTTTCTCGATCATACCCATGGTACAAAGAATACAAGGTATGATATTGCGCAGGTTGGTCGCTACGTCACAGGTGATAACTGGCGCTATTGGTCAGCACTCTTCAGTTCGAATCGTCAAGATATTGTTATAAACCTGTTTTTTTGTTTATATACCGTCATTGAATTATCGCTAAGCAAGTTACTGTGGAGCAGTGCGTAGTCGGGATAGGAAGCGAGAGACTTGAGTTCGAATCTCGGCCGGGACATAACTTTTTATTTATTTTTTAAATACTGTTGTATTCTATAGTTTATTTTTGTAGTATAAAAAAAGAACTATTTATTCTGTTATTTTTTAATCTCCGGTATTAATATAAATTGATTGTTGGTACAACACTTCATTTAATATAAAATAATATTCTACTTTTTGAAATGTATCGGGCACTAATTGTACCTAAAAGTAATATATTTTTAGTGATATACCATATTGTAAACTATTTAATATTTCAGTCACTTAAAAAGTTAATTTGCATTGAATAATTGCCTACCATTAAAGGAAATTTGAGCTATATAATCCTTGATGGTCATATTCTGGGTATGCAAATACTTCCTCTAAATTTTGGGTTTCGTTCAACCGATTTATTCTCAAAACCTGAAACATCTGCATATAAAAAGAAAAGCACAGGTCACTAATTATAATAGACTTCACCCTTGGAATTACCTCTATCACAATTACAATACATTCATCTGCATTGGCATTTTCTACTTTTCGATGGGAAACTTCAACTTCCCAACATTATTTAAATGATGTAACAATTCCTCTTGTGGTTACTTTTCCATAGATATCCTCATCTCTGTCCTCATGTGAATTCAGAGGCAATGAACATGAAAATTATTTACCATAAACATCGCAAACTAAAAACCTAATAAACAATTTCATACCAAATATAGAAATAAATTTAGTATTCTTACCTATTATTATCGTCCAAATCCATGTTAATAGATAATTATTTTTAAATATATTTTTGGAACTGAAAAATAAACAATTCTTAACCATAACCCCAAAAAATGCAGATCTCCTGTCAACTTTCTTTATTTTTTATTTATTCATTATTTTCCTGGTGATGTCACAGGTGGTATGCGCGAACTGAACGAAATTGGAGCCGCTATCGATCATACCTTGTATTCTTTGTACCATGGATCACAAAATAGAAATCAACCAGAACGCCGACTCAGCCGAATTTGATGACGTTTCACGAATCGCGACGCCATATTAGCAGCGGGTAACTCTCAGGGCCGGATTAAAACGCTTTCACAGGCTGTTGTCAGAGTTATATTGAATAAGTATTTTTATTATCTGATATGTGATTACAGACTGAGCGTAATACGTTATTTCGAAAGGTAAAGTTTGTATAGATAACTCAATGGACTCGACGCTACGAACAGCTGCTGTCTTCTGCGATAGTCAGAATTCAACTAAATCCTGACCTGCCCTGACTAAACCGATAACGCCGCTACATTGACAGATGTTACCCGCTCATAATGGAATTTTTAGGTTAGCCACCGTTTCGCGCGCATTTTGGGAGTCAACCTTCTGGTTGATTTCTATTTTGTGCCATGGATCATACCGTATAACATGTTTATAGCCGGCCGAAAATTTGCCCTGTTTACTGGTCTGTAACGTAGCGTCGAATGAGGAACGTTTTCCTGTTGCCTAACTATACAGAAGCGATACAAGTTTCTAATTTTAGGCTATAATATTTTTTACGACATCAATAATTGTAAAATTTTTATTAGTTGATACGAGATGAACGTGTAAAAATCATTTCTTGAAAAGCAATAAATAACAAGATTTCTGAATTAGCAAAGCTCCTAAAAACTTCGTTTTATGTTTAAGATTATTGTAAAAATTTAATTTATATCCTTATACCTACTTAACGTTTGATTGATATACATTTTTTTGTGTACAAATCAAAATGTATACCTACCTAAATAATTGAAATTGTAGGTTGGGAAGGAAGAAAAATGCCTTCTCTTCATTTTATTTATTATTTTTACATTTTTTATTTGTATTTTAAATCAAATCGTAAAAGTCGCCAATAACTACAGCCTCTTAAAAATGCTTTAAAATATTTTTAATTTTTTGAACTTGTATTTTCTAAATTTAGTAGAAAATAAAAGTTTACAAGAAAATAAGAGCCATACAAAAAGAAATAATATAAGAGATAATTTTTCTCAGTGTATATTAAAGTAAAAAAATGAAGGTTAAAAAAGAGCCGACGCTTATGTATAGATAAGGCGTATGAGATAAGGTATATGAATCTTAAATATTAACCAAATATGATTCTTTTTCATTTATTAACCAAAAATATATCGAAGTATATGAAATTTTGGATCATATAATTTCAATTTTAACAATTGGTAACACTGACGCAGGCACGTTGGCGGAAGCGCGCACTGTTACCAAAATAAACGCTATTGACAGACGCTTTCAAATTTTTCAAACAAGTTTTAGAGGTTATGGAAATGTGTTTGAAATTTTATGTGATTTTTCTAAAATGCGCGTTGTCTATGCCCATAAAAATGGGCATCAGTAAGTTTTTTATATTGAAAATTGTTTTTGTTTATCATTTTTACATAAACATTTGTTTTAAGGTCATTTAGCGAAATAAAACAAATACTGCTCTACCCAAAAGAAGGTCAGGGAAGATTAAGTATCAATACGGAAGATTATGTGTGCCTGGCTGTAGACCAATTTCTTAACGACAAAATAATAGATTTTTATTTGAAATATTTATGGGAAAACCTGCCTAGCGAAGAACAAGAAAAAGTTCACATATTCTCGACTTTCTTCTATAAGAGATTGACAACAAAACCTACAAAAGCTGCCAGGTACGTAAGAAATTCATTTCATTCTACATTAATGTTGAAAACCAACAAACTAAATTGAATATATGTTTTCAGGAAATCACATCCTTATGAAGTCGATCCCACTTTATCAGCAGCAGAAAAAAGACATTGTAGGGTTAAAAATTGGACAAAGAAAATAAACCTCTTTGAGAAAGACTACATTGTAGTCCCTATTAACGAAAATGCTCATTGGTTCCTGGCAATCATATGCTTTCCAGGACAGAATGGACCTCAAACATTCGATGGAAAACCATATAATCCTGAACCAAAACCTAAAAGAGTAAAAAGTAAGTAATTCTAGGGAGGATCCTCACAATATATTGTCTATTTTAATATTTTATTTTCGTTTTACCATCATTCTGTACCTTGCAGAAGTTAAGAAGGAGAAGCCTGCTCCGTGCGACGAACTTATGTTAAGTGATAAAGATGAGGCTGAAAGTGAAGACTCGGATTTAGAATCAGATGATTCTGAGGAGTCTGCCATAACTCCACCTGTTATTGCACCAGTGGTATCAACACCTAGATCAAAAAAGGAGTCTAGGCCCCCTATTAAACAGTAAGTTTAATTCTTGTGTAATATTACCATATTTCACTGCAGCTTGCATTAAAATCAATCTACAAACAGCATCTTTGGTGCAGGATTGATAAATATATGAAAATAGCTAAGGATACTACTTATTTATTTATTCTCAAAATAGACAACATTTAAAATTGCCCGAGTTTGCTACTTGGTATTTGCTGTTTTTATTGTCAGAATCATGGGAAATGAGTTTCATATAGAATTTAGTATGTTCAAATTATTAATCATGAAGTGAAAAAGTTATTAAAATCATTTTTGAATCCAAAAATTCAAATTTATTTTTGTCAGTCAGATTTTCCTAGAACAAAATTCTCATTATTTTAAGTAAACATTGGGATTTTTACTTAAAATTAGTGTTTAGGAGAATTTAAATATACTGTGACTTTTTTCATACAATCCCCTGACAATAGAACTAAATATAGCAACTGTTTGTAGAATTGGATACACCAAGATAAAAATTTTGCTGATTATACGTCATATTTAGTAACTTACTGATCAATAGAACACGTGGGATCAGTTTCAAAATACATGTGACCTTGAAGTACTTTTTAGTGTATAATGTAGTGTATTTTTGCATTTTTGTTCACACAGTCCTTATCAAAATTAGCTTTTTATTATGTCACGTGCCTTTTTTATTTCTTGAATGCAGCGATGACCTTCAACGTCAGTGTTGCCACATTTTCAAAACTTAATGCAGCAGTTTCGCCAACAATTTTATGAATCATTGTTTTATTTTATTTTTTAACATAAATTTAAAAAATAAACTTTAAAATATTCTAGATTAATAACAGAAATATTTTACATTAAGTAAATCTAGTGGGATCAATTTCAACAAAAGACATGTGACTCTAAAGTACTTTTTGATGTGATGTATTGATCACTTTTGAATTTTTGTTCATAGTACTTATCAAAATTAGCTTTTTACTATGAATTTTATATTGTATAAAAATTTCATATGGAAAGTCACATGTTTTTTCGAATTGATCCCACTGTATATTTTATTGAAGCAGCAGTGACCTTGAATGCCAGTGTTGCCACTTTTTCGAAAGTTAATGAATACAGCAGTTTGGCCAACATTTTAAATTCAGTAAATTTTTGTGGGATCAATTTCAAAAGACATGTGCCCTGTAGTACTTTTTAGTGTATAATGTATCAAAGACTTTTGAATTTTTGTTCACACCAGTTCAAATCGGCTGTGAATTTTATATTACATAATTTAGTTTTCAAGGTCACATGTCTTTTTAATTGATCCCACTATATATTTTTTTGCGTAGCGATGACCTTGAATACCAGTGTTGCCACTCGTACGAAAGTTAATGCAGCAGTTTGACCAACATTACTTTAATAATCGATAGTCATTTGTTTTATTCTGTTTTTTAACATCATGAATTTAAAGAGTGATTACTAAAATATTTCAGATTAATAAAGAAGCATTTGATATTATTCAGATTCAGTCACACTTTTAAAATAACTAGAATATTTAACATTGTATAAACTATGAGTTTCTTTTGTATTGTTTATTGTTTTTAATATAATTTATGAAAATAACTCGGTTATTTTAAAGTCGCATATTTTTTATGTTTATTTCAGTTTAGATTTGTGAAAACAACTATGACCTTGATTATCAGTGTTGCCACTTATCTAAAAGATAACGGAACAATTTTTTAATTTTATTTTTTAGCTACATGATTTTAACAATAAAAACCTACACTAGCATTAAAAGTCTGAAATTGATTGAGAATTTTTGTATTTGAGATTTTATAATATACAAATTGTCAGTTATTTTTTCATGTTGAATATCTTTTATAATTGATCCCACTGTATATTTTAAAAAGCAGTCATGGCCTTGAAGGTCAGTGTTGCCACTTGCCTAATAGTTAATATATCAATTTGGCCAACATTAATAAAATTAGTTGGAGGATATTTTTTATAATTTTTTCTTAGAAATATGAGTACTGTATGTAAAAAACGGCGTAAAAGGCAATACTCTTTCCGTTATATGGTTATCTATATAATATTGAATGTTATAAGATTCATATATGTCTTTTAATCCACTAAATTACTTTTTTGCAGACCCTGTATACTAATATTTGACTCTCTCGCCGGTCCGAGCCGTTCTCGAGTCGTCGCCACCCTGCGAGATTATCTTACTGTGGAATACAAAAACAAAATGGAAACGGAACGGATATATAATAGGGACGTCATTAAAGGAGCATCGGTTAAAGTTCCTCAGCAGACCAATTTTACCGACTGCGGATTGTATCTTTTGCAATATGTCGAACAGTTTTTCAAGGTAGTTTGACTAGGATGTGTCCAGCCAGATAATACATGATTTGAGCTTATGACAGCCACAAAATCTATGTCTGTCGACAGACGATATCCAAGAATACAAAGACAGAAAATAAAACTGTGTACCTTTCAATTAAGTGACAGACAATAACTGTCACTTTTCAGGATTCTATTGTTGGACAGACTCTCTGGAAGAACAAAGACAGCTGTAAAATGTTACAAGAAAGGCCAAAAAACTAAAATTAAAATTGGCCATAATAATCTAAAACAAAGTGCAATAATTAAGGAAACATGACTATTTCCCTAACAATTGAACTTTATTTTACGGTATTACGTTTTTTTTTTCAATTTTAAAATTTAGATTTTCGCCTCATGTAAAATAGAATTATTTAACAGATGCGTCGGTATTCTTCTGAAGCGGCTATATAGTCTGTCCAACAAGAGGATACATGAAAGTGAATTGGGTCTGTCAATTTTTATCCAATAATTGTTTGGATGTTGTCTGTTGAAATCTTTCCTGATTCTTTGGATAGACTTTATACCTTTAAATTAAAGTAGCGTAACTGTCATTCCTACGTGTCATGTATTATTTTGTTGGACAATTTTTAAATAACGAATAACCATATTGAGTAATTAATTTACTTTAGGACCCAATCAAGAATTTTTATATTCCTATCAAAGGAGTTGAAAATTGGTTTGAAGAGATTATAGTAACCAAGAAAAGAGAAGATATTTGTAACCTGATCAAATCGTTAATGGAAGAAGATGGAATAAGCAAAGTTAAAATAGCTAAAATTTTACCAGAGATTGCATTGCCCACATTAAATGGTAAGATGGAAAAACAAAATATTAAGGGATATTTTATTTTTATTGTTTTCAGGAAAAATAATTGAAAAATTACCTGACAGTGAAGATCATGAAACTGGAGATGAAGCACAAGAAGATATGTTTACTGACATTGATGACTCAGAAATCCTGAATAATAGTGTAGTGTCAGCTGAAAATGGAGATGCCAGTTCAGACAATGAACAGAATTGTGCTTCCGATGAGAATTGCAAAGAAGACATGCCGCCGCAAGAAGAAAAACCTTCAAGAGAGAGTGTTAGTGACAAAAGTGAAATTACTTCAACAGTGATGCAGTTAAGACCGTCTGTGAGTGAAATTCCTAGACCGTCAAATAAGGACACGTTAAGCTACTTAAAGGCCAAACGTATAAATAGACATAAACCAACTTCTGATATGTCCGAATCCAAAAAGGCTAAATTGGATAATTAAACTATTGACACACAGTGAAAGTGATATTTTAATATTTATTAAGTAAAAAAGGTCCTTTTATTAACTGTATTTGAGATCATAGAAATCAACTGGACTAGTTTTAATAAAAGTGCTGTTATTTTTGTTAATTTGTTAATATTGGTTTTTATTCTCTGAAAGTTAATATTAACTGGAGATAAATTATTAAATATATATTTGGTGAATATTATATGACATGGTTGAATAAACGGTCGCGCCATTTTGATATAAAGTTTAGTTATTTTAGTTTAGCTTTTTAGATGTTTTTAATTTTTTCGATATTTCTTTATGATAATGTATATGGCTAATTATCAGATTAGCATATAAATCTTTTTTGGAGTACCTACCCATTATATAATTATTTCCAGAAACGCTGGTTTTTGGATAATTTTATTTGTATAGACTTGATTTGTTTTTTTTCCCTCGATTGTATAAAAATGGTGTACTAATAAAGTCGATAAAAATTATCGAAATCGATTATTTTCAATTTTTAATAACCTCACCCAGTGTTCCCAATAGTATAGTTTAAAAATGATTCAGTCAGTGCAACAATCCCAGTTTTGCCAATAGGTAATGATCCAGCATTGCCAATGTTATAAAATTATTCAATGTTGCCACTCGTGAAATTTCAATTTATGGTTAATTATATATGATAATTAAACCAGGGACGGCCAGGTAAAAAAAATAAAAGAAGTAATTGTTTTTAACGTGTAAAAAATGTTTTTTTTTATGAAAACGCAAAACCCTAATTAAACCCCTTCTGCTAATGCTTCTCTAAAAACACTGTTAACAATTTGAGCAGTTAAGAGTATGAGCTGTCATTTTTGTAATAAATCAATAAAATTGCATATAATCAACGACGCGTTACGCATGCATGTAAATCATTTGTAAATCCACACTTACGATGTAATGTATGTTAATGATGAAAAAAGAAATACCAACCTTCCTTATTTTATTAGATTTTTACGTAATTTTTACCAGTAGGTATGTAAGAAATCTGAAGAAAATCGTATGGCCATCCTTGGGTATACCCATCCTTGAAATAATTAGACTAAAAATATCATGAGAAATTTACTCAAACATAAATTGTATTATTATGGATATTAGAATTATACGTAATTTGTCTCTGACGCAATTAAACAGAAGTAATTTTGGTAAATGGCAAAAGAAAAAATATATTTGATATCAAATGCCGCCAACTTAAGATATCTAAAAACAGGGATGGGCGCTTAAAACTAGAAGTGAACTAGAATTTCTTTTTTCCTCGCGTTGGTACATACGAGTTGACAGACCGTTGACAGTATTTAGTACTGTCAAATTTAATCGTTGTACAAAAAATACTATCAAAAAGTATGTGCCCATGTTGATAGCCCGTTTATTTTATAATTTTTCGAAGCCTTATAGCATGCCGTATTGTTGATTAATCTTTGTATAACATATTTATAGTGCAATCCAAACAGTAACCTATCTTTCTCATATTTCCCAGTCGTGTATACTATTCTATATATCGCGTACATTCCGGCATTTTATACCCCCCTCATCTATTTTGAAATTTTTTTCCTCAGCGAAAAGTTATTAGTCACCCTCGTTAGTGTGAGTGGATTTAATTCGATCTCAAAAAAGTTTCAAAAGGTAAGTTAAATATTATATATCCACTATGATTTTCTATAAGTACCTGATGGTTATGAACATGAACCATACATTTTGCTTTGACCTGTATCATTCTTCATTGTTTTACAATTTGTTGAAATCAATGTATTTTATTAGTAGTAATCTCAGTTTTTGTTCATCTCTGTATATCTTGTTTCTGTAAATATATCTGACATTTAACAGTAAATAATAATACATATTGCCTTTCAAAACAGTTTATAGTTTATAATACTATTTTTAATCCATAAAGTTATTATTGTCTTTATTTTTATGTTATTTTTACGACGTTTAACTTTAAGCGTTTACAGTTTACAGTTGTTTTATATTTTGTTGTTATTAGATTGTATTTACTTGTCAGAATCATAATCATTAAATTATTTTTTTTTCTATAATAATATCAATAATAAAAAGTAAGTAAATACTTTTTTGTTTTAAATCCCTATTGTTTATTCATACCTAATGTGTTATCTTTTTTATAAGATAATCTGATCTGAACAAAGATATTAACTTTGGCTTCACCTTTTCCCATTAAAGTAATTTTTAAGTGTTTAAAACTTCCATGAATAGTAAATTACCTTTTTGTTAGGATTGCACTGAATTCGATGATTTTTAGAGCTTGACATTGTTTACATTTGTATTTAAATATCCTGTTCCTAGATAAAAAAAATATACACTTATCCTCTTACACACATTAGTTATCCACAGAATACACAGTAGAAATGAATATGTGGCAATAAATTTTGATCATTACATATCAACCTGTCTTTTTTGTTGAATTGTATATAAAATTTACTAAAGAAGGATTTTTATTAATAATCTTATATTTCATTGCTCTTAACAGAAAAAAAAAACATTCTTTGTGCTATGGCTGACTCTGCAAGCGAATCCGATTCAAGCAGCATTGACGGTGGTCCTATAATGATGCCACCTAGTCCCATTACAAGGGAACAATTGCAAAAAAGAATTGAGAGTCTGCAGCAACAAAATAGGGTGTTAAAGGTAAATCATTCTATTGAGAAGAATGAGAAGAGTTTGAGAAGATTTATGTGGAATACTTTATTATAGGTTGAATTGGAAACATATAAATTACGAGTTAAAGGGTTACAGGAGGAAAACAGGGATTTGAAGAAAGCCTCAGTAATTATTGTAAGTAAATTAATAAAAAAAGGGATCTAAAAGGAATATTTTAATATTCTCTTTCTAAATAGCAAGCAAAGGCAGAACAGGAAGAAGAATATATAAGTAACACCTTGTTAAAGAAGATTCAAGCACTTAAAAAGGAAAAAGAAACATTAGCACATCACTATGAACGAGAGGAAGAGTGTCTTACTAATGATCTGTCCAGAAAACTGACACAGCTCAGACAAGAAAAATGCAGGTATAATTTTAAGTGTAACTTTTTTTTCTAACTTTCTATTACATGCATTTTGTTTTTTAGATTAGAGCAAACTTTGGAGCAGGAGCAGGAGTGTTTAGTAAATAGGTTAATGAGAAAAATTGAGAAGTTAGAGGCTGAGACTTTAGCTAAACAAAGCAATCTTGAACAGCTGCGCAGAGAGAAGGTAAAGTGTTCTTGGGGAATAATAATTTCTATCATTTAATGTTCTGTGGTGATACACAAATATACAGAAATCAATAAAAGTTGACGTGTATGTCATTAAAGACGTCGAAACTATTACAAATTGAATTCCTAATAAATAAAAATTAATTTAAAACTTGGAGCACACTTTCTCTTTTTTTTTATAATCTTTTATCCTGGTTAAAAACAGACAGCATGCTTAAACTAATTGGCCGAAAGGATTTATGTTGGTAGGCATGGTAAATGTGGCCAATTTTTTTTCTCAAACAAATTTGAAATTGAATTTTATTTAGTTAAAACTGCGATTTTTTCATTGCATTTAAAATGAGAAAACCACTAAATAGCTGGAATCATCAATTTGCCTCGTCTCTACACAATTATTCTGAACAGGGAAGAGAGATCATGGCGAATCACTTTTGTTGTTAAACTGCGTTAGAGAGGTACAAATTGATATTGCGTTTTAGTTTAGCGGTTTTTTTGAAACTTTGATTGAAAATACTGTCAAGGTGTATTACTGGTTGCATAACTGCATACTGCTAAAATCGCAAAGTGCATTGAGGAACCTGGCGCATTCGCCAGAAAGTAAAGAAAATTATAGAATTCTTTAGAAAAATCTAGAAACAACCGCCAGGGGGTATATAAGGCCCGCGCTTTGACAGTTGGACAAGTTTAAAAAGTTTAAAGTTAAGTTTGAAGTTTGCAGTCTGAAGAAAGTCTGAAGTTTGAAAATACCGCGAAATACCGTTAGAGTAATAGTAGTTGCATAAGTTGTGTTGTAAATAGTATAAGTTGTGTGTACAGAGTGAAACAAATAAATTCGTTAAGTATTTTATCGTGAGTTTAAATAGTGGACCCACGGAATCCGTAACAATTGGTGTCGGAAGTGCGATTCAAGAGGATTTTAAGAAGAAATTAAGTGGATTGGAAGATTTTTAGACCGAATTAGAGTATTTTTATGGTTGGTACGAGAGAACAAGCGAGGAAAATGGAGGAAGTAAGCAAATTATTGGGCGATTTTATGGAGAATATGCGAAGAGAGAAAGCAGAAGAACAAGAAAAACTGCAGAAAATGCTTATGGAAAATCAAGAAATTAGACAAGAACGGTTGGAGAAAATTGTAGAAAACCTAGAAGTGCGTCGCCAGAAAGAAAAAAAAGAAGAACAGGACCGGCTTGAGAAAATTTTCGGAGATTTGAAAGTTCAACGACAACAAGAAAAACAAGAAGAACAGGACCGGCTTGAGAAAATTTTCGAAGATTTAAAAATTCAACGACAACAAGACAAACAAGAAGAACAGGACCGGCTTGAGAAAATTTTCGAAGATTTAAAAATACAACGACAACAAGACAAACAAGAAGAACAGGACCGGCTTGAGAAAATATTAGGAAACTTGGAAATTCGTGTGGAGGAGAGACGTCACAGGGAAAGACAAGAAGATCAGGACCGTCTTAAGAAAACTTTGGAAAATCAGGAATTTCGACTACAGAAGAATTTTGAAGACCTGGAAAAACGACAGGAGAACCATTTCCAAGAAGTCGTAGAAGATCTGGAAGAACGCCTTCAGCAGAAAATGGAAAAATTAGAGATGGACCTACAGAAGACCAAGGTACAAGTAAGGACACCTGGCGTTCATGGAACTGCGAACCTCAAGGCCCCGACCTACGATGGACAAACCACCTGGACGATGTACCACCGCCAGTTTGAAGCAGCGGCTGCTGCCAATGGATGGACTGACCAAGAGAAAGCAGCAGCACTTGTCATCGCGCTGCGTGGCCCTGCCCTGAACTGTTGCAAACTATTCCTGCAGCCCAACAGCAGGAATACCAAACTTTGGTCGCTGCACTGGACAGAAGATATGGCGACCAACATCGACGCCAACTTTACCAGGCCCAGATCAAGACACGCCTGCAGAGGTCCGGAGAGAGTCTGCAGGATTTGAAGCAGACTTACGTCGGCTGGTACACCTAGCGTATCCTGAAGCACCGGAAGGATTTAGGGAGGAACTCGCTGCTCAGTGCTTTATCAGCGGACTGAGGGACAACGAATTACAGAGGGCGCTGCAAATATCCCGATTTTCTACCAGCAGCGAAGCACTGGTCAGGGCGCTGGAAATCGAAGCTGCTTTTAGCGCCATCCCTAGACCGAAGATAAGATCGGTAACGGTAGAGGAACAGCCCGAGAGTACCCACAGAAGTTTGGAGGAGATGTGTAGAAAATTCGACAAACTATGTGAGCTACTAATAAACAAGGGAGTCAACAATAACCAGACAGAGAACCAGAGAAGATCCCAGGACATAAGGTGCTATAGATGTGGCAGGAATGGCCACATCAAACGGGATTCCGCGTTCAAATGCGATCCCGTTCACCATCCAGAGAACGTAGGCACCAGGAAAACTAAAATCAGTCAATACTAAGGGGCGAGTATTGACTGGGGAGAACAGAGCCCCCAGGATTTTTTCCATTAGAAGTCTAGGAAGAACCGCTGACAGTTTGGTGATCGACGGGAAAGTCAATGGAAAGGGAATCCGAATGACAGTGGACACTGGCGCTATGGTATCGTTGGTGCGGGCTAACTCAGTGCAAGGATTGAAGCTGATGCCTCTGAGAAGAAGAGTGTGTTTACGTACAGTTACGGGGGAAATGGCCGTTGTACGGGGAGAGGCTATCGTCGAACTGAAGTTAGGAAATTTGAAGTTCCAGCATAGCGTTTTAGTGGCAGATATTGAAGATGACTTCATCTTGGGCATGGATGTGATTCGTCAACATGGATTTTCGTTCGATCACCAGAGAAATATCCTGAATATCGGAAATGAAGAGTTTATGTTATCTCCAGACGAGGGACCAGGAAGAATGGATGTAAGATCAGCGGAAACTGTGGTGATACCTGGTAATACCGAGAAGATCGTATTCGGTAAAGTGGAGAAAATCGCTGGGTGCTGTGTTGGACTGGTATGACCATTGTCGCAATGGACTATATAAGATGCTAGAAGATGGAGTTATCGAAGAATCATCGAGTCCATGGTCATCTCCTGTTGTTTTGGTGACGAAGAAAGATGGTAGTACACGATTCTGCGTGGACTATCGGAAGCTCAATGACGTCACTAAGAAGGACAGCTACCCACTGCCACGTATAGACGACACGTTAACCACTCTGGCAGGTTCGTGCTGGTTCTCCACTCTCGACTTAAAGAGTGGATACTGGCAAGTTGGTCTGGACGAGGAAGACAAAGAAAAGAGGCTTTTTCTACAGGAAACGGACTATACCAATTCAAGGTCATGCCGTTTGGATTATGCAATGCTCCAGCCACTTTCGAACGTCTCATGGAGGTGGTGTTAAGAGGATTAACTTGGAAAACGTGCTTGGTTTACCTCGACGATGTATTGGTTATGGGAAGAACTTTTGAGGAGCATTTGCGAAATCTAGAAGAAGTCTTCGGCCGCATACGGAATGCTCACCTGTACTTGAACCCGAAGAAGTGTAGCTTATTCCAGCGACAAGTGGAATTTTTGGGCCATGTAGTCTCAGCAGACGGAATTTACACTGACCAGAAGAAAATCGCTGCAATCAAGGATTGGCCTAAACTCGCGACAAACATGAACTTAGAAGTTTTCTGGGTTTATGCACCTATTACAGAAGATTTGTCAAGGGATTTGCCAATATAGCTGCACCCTTACATAGACTTACAGGTGATGAAGTCGGCTACGAATGGAACACCGATTGTGATGTAGCCTTTGGAAGACTTAAGGCGGCTTTATGTTCAAGTCCTATTCTAGCCTACCCGCAACAACAAGGGAGGTATATCCTGGATACCGACGCCAGCAATATCGGCATAGGTGCAGTGCTATCACAAGTGCAAGATGGCGAAGAACGAGTGATAGAATATTACAGTCGAGTTCTATCCAAACCAGAAAGGAATTACTGCGTTACCCGGAAGGAGCTGCTAGCAATTGTGAAGGCAGTTGATCATTTTCATAAATATCTGTACGGCCAAGAATTTTTAATTAGGACAGATCATGCGGCTCTCAAGTGGCTTATGGAGATGAAACAACCTGAAGGTCAAATAGCACGATGGCTCGAGAAGCTCCAACAGTATCACTTTACCATCCAACATCGTGCTGGAAAAATGCATGGTAACGCAGACGGTTTATCCAGAAGACCCTGTCAAACCGATTGTAAGCACTGCTGTAAAACGGAACAACGTGAAGGCACTGTCATGATAAGGAGTTTTAAACTTGGAACCGATGAACAGTGGACGACGACACAATTGAGGAAAGATCAAATGGAAGATCCAGACATCGGAGCAATACTACGGCTCAAGGAAGGTAACGGCGAGAGACCACCGTGGCAGGATATTGCGGACAGAGGGCTCGTTTTCAAAGCTCTCTGGGCTCAGTGGAATTCACTGGTTATTGAGAATGGATTGTTAAAGCGCATGTGGGAAAGTGCGGATGGCAGGACAGTAACAACTCAGTTACTGGTACCAAGGAAGAAAGTTACCCAGGTATTGGAAGAAATTCACGGTGGTAAAACTGGAGCCCATCTTGGGGTAAACAAGACCTTGAGCAAGCTGAGAGATCGTTTTTACTGGGTGGATTATTGCGAAGATGTCAAGAAATGGTGTCGACAATGTAAAACTTGTGCAGCCAGCCAAGGACCAAGCACTCGCTCTAGGGGAAAAATGAAACAATATAACGTTGGACTGCCATTCGAAAGAATCGCTGTTGACATTGCAGGCCCATTCCCTGAAACGCACAAGGGCAACAAGTACGTTTTAGTAGCGATGGATTATTTCAGTAAATGGCCAGAAGTTTTTGCCATTCCAAACCAAGAAGCATCGACTGTAGCTGAAGTATTGGTCAATAATGTCTTCAGTAGATTTGGAATTCCCTTAGAGCTTCACACTGACCAAGGAAGGAACTTCGAGTCAAGACTGTTCCAGAAGATGTGTGATCTGCTTGGTATTCACAAGACTAGGACAACAGCTTTACATCCGCAGTCTGATGGGATGGTCGAAAGATTCAATAAGACCATTGAAGAACACCTCTCGAAAATGGTGGCCGAACATCAAAGAGATTGGGATCAACACATACCGCTGTTCCTAATGGCGTATAGAAGTGCAGTTCACAACACCACCGGACTTTCACCATCGAAGATTTTATTTGGTCGAGAATTACGGTTGCCTTGTGACTTGGTGTTCGGATCACCAGACGACGGCACCACAAATGTAGAGGACTACGCGGATGAACTGAAGGAAAGGTTAATGGAAATTCATAAGGCCGTAAGAAGTAAGATTACGCTAGCCAGTGACCGGATGAAAGCTCGTTACGACCTCAGAGCCAATTCTACGGGATTTCAACAGGACGATATGGTATGGTTATATAACCCACAGCGCAAGAAAGGGAGGTCCCCAAAGTTAACTCCAGCATGGGAAGGTCCTTATACAGTCATCAAGAGGATAAATGATGTTGTGTACCGGATTCAACGCAGCCCTAGAAGTAAGATGAAAGTAGTTCATCTGGATCGATTGAAGAGATACCAGACAGGAAACCTTGATCGGGACGATCAAATTTGAGAAGGGGGCAATGCACCTTGACATTGCCCCCTTCTCAAATTTTAAAAATTACTGGTTGCATAACTGCATACTGCTAAAATCGCAAAGTGCATTGAGGAACCTGGCGCATTCGCCAGAAAGTAAAGAAAATTATAGAATTCTTTAGAAAAATCTAGAAACAACCGCCAGGGGGTATATAAGGCCCGCGCTTTGACAGTTGGACAAGTTTAAAAAGTTTAAAGTTAAGTTTGAAGTTTGCAGTTTGAAGAAAGTCTGAAGTTTGAAAATACCGCGAAATACCGTTAGAGTAATAGTAGTTGCATAAGTTGTGTTGTAAATAGTATAAGTTGTGTGTACAGAGTGAAACAAATAAATTCGTTAAGTATTTTATCGTGAGTTTAAATAGTGGACCCACGGAATCCGTAACAATACATAGATATTTCAGCGTGTTTCAGCTGCGCTCAATATCAGTTTACAGACTGTGAGTAAAATCTGACAAAATTTGAATACTAATGTTACCCAATTAGGAATTGACATTTTGCAGCTTTCATTCAGAAAACTTACTAATAATTTCATTTAATCAGAGTTTGTGTAATAATCGTAGAGTAATAATGTTGATATAAAAAAATATTTATACAGTTCATACCAAATAAACTTTTAGTCACGTGATTAAGCTTGACCGCCACAGGGTTGTCCTCATTTATATATTTTCTTTTAATCAAAATATTTTAAGAAACAAAAATAAACTAATTATAAATATATAAACAGTTATTATTTACATCAACAAATCTCACCTTCTTAACAGCACTTAAGGGACATAAAGAGCCATAAACATAGAAACAGTTATTTACATCAACAAAATTCACCTTCTTAACAGCACTTAAGGGACATAAAGAGCCATTACTACCGCTTTCCCGTTCAAAATATTCTACTAAAGTTGTGATGAGTTTTTTATGGCTATTAAGCTATATCTTGTACACTTTGCACTAAAAGAGGTTCTAAAAAGAACAGTGTTCGACAGCCAGGTCTGCTAGTAAACATTTTCAAGCTTAAAGTATCAGAACACTAATTATTTAAACCAAAAACTCTTAGAGTATGTTCCACTAAGCACTCATAACGTTCACGTTCAAGATCGCGATTTATCCCGTTCCACTTGCTTGCGAGCGTTACGATCATAAACTCAAGTGGAATGGGTTATGGGATGGTTATGGGGCGTTTTAAGCGTCAATCCTGTCATTGTATAAATGTAAATAATGTAGTCATGTAAATAGTAAATAATAGTCAAAATCACAGAAGAGAATTCAAAAAATCTGTCTGAAAAAAAAAAGAAATCAAAAAGTCTGTCTCAAAAAAAAAGAAATCAAAATGTCTTTGGCGACAGTTGGATATTTGGTGCATCGGAATTATTGTTCAGACGAAGAGTGGAATGCAATTTTACAAAATCGCAATCGTAAAAAGCGAAAACTTAAACCTTTGGTTGCTTAAACCACGTATTATTGGCTATGAGAATGTAATTAATCATTATTCAGGTGAAGAGTTTAAAAGTCATTTCAGGTAGATAAATGATTTTGTCATATATAATAATTAAGGGAGTTATGTAGGTAATTGTTATGTAAGAATTTCAAGAAACACATTCAATTATTTGCATGAGTTAATACAAGAAGATTCAGTTCGACGTGTGTTCCAGGATGTCCTACAATTCCTTCTCGTCATCAATTCTTATAGGTTACATTTTTGTAAAAATATAAGTTTAGTCTAAGTTTTAAAAATTGCGCCAAAATTCCTCAACGTCCACTTCGATCCCAATATTCAGATGGGTCGTTGTGAGCTCGGCGTGAGCGAAAATAATGACGTCATTAGTGACGTTTTCGCCGCGACCACAACGTCCGCGATCGTCATGTGGAACGACCGAAGGCATATTTAGAGCATTATGAGCGCTTAGTGGAACACACTCTTAATACACAACTAAAAGTGTCAAAACGAATGACAATGAGTGCGTTCCACTAAGCGCTCATAATGCTCAAAATATGCCTTCGGTCGTTCCACATGACGATCGCGGACGTTGTGGTCGCGGCGAAAACGTCACTAATGACGTCATTATTTTCGCTCACGCCGAGCTCACAACGACCCATCTGAATATTGGGATCGAAGTGGACGTTGAGGAATTTTGGCGCAATTTTTAAAACTTTGACAAAAGATTACCGACTTACGATAAGAATTTTCATAGAATTCTCATAGCCAATAATACGTGACCTAAGTTTTCGCTTTTTACGATCGCGATTTTGGAAAATTGCATTCCACTATTCGTCTGAACTAGATGAAGAAATTTCAGACACATTCCGATGCACAAAATATCCAACTGTCGCCAAAGACATTTTGATTTCTTTTTTTTTTGAGACAGATTTTTTGAATTCTCTTCTGTGATTTTGAGTATTATTTACTCATATATCTACTATTTACATATATTGACAGGATTGACGCTTAAAATGCTCCATAACCCATTCCACTTGAGTTTATGATTGTAATGCTCGCAAGCAAGTGGAACGGGAAAAATCGCGATTTTGAGCGTGAACGTTATGAGTGCTTAGTGGAACGTACTCAATGTCAGGAAATAAATAAATAAATATACGGCAACTTGACATTTTTTACAGCAGAGCTACCACCTGAATCCCCAACGCGAAATTTAAATTCCAGTTAGTCAGCACGACGCCGAATATGACCATGGTTGGCAACAATGAATTTAAAAATCGCGCCCTTGATTATGTAACTAAAAGTTTAATTGATATGAATTATATACCGTATGATCTAATAAAAACGGCGTCCGCGATGGCTATGAAATGAAGAGCGCTGTCATTTTATATGTAAAATTATGTGGAGAATGTTATCGATCGTCATTTCCAAGTCATCTGGACGTCGTTTATATATATGAAATATATACCGTATGATCTAATAAAAACGGCGTCAGCGATGGCTATGAAATGAAGATCGCTGTCATTTTATATGTAAAATTATGTGGAGAATGTTATCGATCGTCATTTCCAAGCCAACTGGACGCCGTTTTTTTTATCATACAGTATGTATTGCACCTAAAATTGAAGTGAACAATCGGTGACAAAATACGAATTTTATTTGATACTTGTCAAAAGTCAAAGTTAAAAAGTAGCTGTGTTAACATTGAGACATGTATTTGTCAAATATCTGGATGACGTGCACACCAACTTTCTTTGATTTTCCTATATGTTACAATATTTCAATCAAAATATTTTAGAAGTTACTTTACATATTTTAAAGAGTTTGCTTCTGTCTTAAATCGTAAAGGTGGAGCTTGAGAATACTCTGGAACAAGAACAAGAAGCCTTAGTAAACAAGCTGTGGAAGCGCATGGACAAACTTGAAGCAGAAAAAAGAATGTTACAAATTAAGCTTGATCAACCGGTTTCTGATCCAGCTAGTCCTAGAGATATTAGGTTTTTTTTCAATTTTAATGGTCTTTCTTTTACTTATACGGGTCATTTTTAGCAATGGAGATACTGCAACTAACCTTAGCGCACATATTCAAACTTTAAGACAAGAAGTGGCGAGACTAAGGCAGACTTTGGCTATTAGTCAACAAGAGCATACTCAGAAGATGCAGAAATATGCTCAAGAAGAAAGGAATATCAAAGAGGAGAACATGAGGTAAATAAGGCTTTTATATATTTTTTTAAACTTTTTAATTTTTCTGTGTCATATTTTAGATTACAGAGGAAACTTCAGCTCGAAGTTGAGCGCAGAGAGGCTTTATGTAGACACCTTTCAGAAAGCGAGAGTTCTTTAGAGATGGAGGAAGAGAGGCATTTCAATGAACAAGTATTAGCGCTTAGGCAGCATACTGTGTCTCCAATTCCTTATAATCCGTCTCCAAGTCAGAGCCGGCCATTAAGCCCAGGTAAATAAATAGTACATTTTAAAATTATTTCGAACTCCACAGTGTATACCTAAAAAGTTATACAGGTTGTTAATTTGTTTATTACTCGCGGCAAGAGCTTTATGGTTGAAATATGGCAACCTCGACCCGCTCGTCGATAGACGACGCGACGGGATGAGTCGGCAGAAGACCCTATAAGTGCATGCGTTCTCAATGGCAGTGTTGCCATTCTGGTCCCCTATAAGTAACTGTCCAGTTAACAACCTGTATATAGTACAGTTGTCTTTTTTAAAACCAAACACTTTTTTTTGAAAAAATGTAAAAAAAACTTGGTAATACAAGAAAATTAATATTAACTTAAAAAAAAGGTACTTGGTTGAATTCTGGTTGTCTTGACTTGAGGGTATGATTTACGTAATTTTACTGACTTAACTTGCAGATCGTCATGATGTAAGTCAAAAATATAGACTTAAGCTTCATTTAGAACCTCAAAATCAGTGGAATAAATTAGTAATTTCAATTAGCCGTAGAAGTTTGTTCACCTAATTTTAATGTAGGTAAGCATTCAGAACGTCATAATTAGTGGTAGTACTTTTCAATTATTCGAAAAAGTAAACCTAACCTAACAAACTTTTGACTTTTCTACTAATTATACTTCAAAATTTGCGAGGAATGCCATTTTGGCCTTTGATTATCACCCGTCAAGAAAAATGTTTTATAAGCTAAATATTATGCTTTCTCTATGAATACAACAGACTACCGCAAGCTGTTGCTAGAATATTTTATTAATTTTAATTGTGTTTTTTAGACATTGTGAATGATCGTAAACTAAAAAGTATAAAGTGTAATTGAAACCACTAATTTATTCCACTAATTGGGACGTTCTAAACGAAGCTTTAAGTCATAAAAACGAGTTAAATAACATTATATTGATTTAAGTCTTTACAAAAATAACTTGACTTGAAATAAAATGACTTAAGTCAATGACTTAAGAGTTAAATCATTTTGATTTTTAGAAATTACTTAAGTCTTTTTAAAACTGACTTGTTGCAGCTCTGATGCAAATATACAGTGGTTGCTAGAAAAGATACGCTACGTACCGGAAACGATACGCGTATGATAAGGTGCACGGACCATAATAAAATATTGTTTTTCAGGACTGGCTTCTCACATACAAACCACCTCGTCCCGTCTTTCTGATGCTCTGCTGGGCGCTGTGTCCGGCGTTCCGCCCCCACGATGCCCCGCCTGCGGTCAGATGCCCTCCGGCAGCCCCCCAGCTCCGCCACATCGTAGGCCCTCGGAGCGGTTCGTGAAGCCGGCCGTGCCGGCGCTGAGCGTGAATTCTCTGCCCGGTGGCGTCGCGGTTCCTCCACCTCCCGTCGCTACTGTGGTGGCGCAGCCGGCCAGTCCTATGGACACTAGCGTGAGCAAAGATTAATATGGTATGATTTTGAAATTTTGACAAGTGACGCTTTTCATGATCCTTTGACGTTTTGAAACACGTTTCGGTTGTAAAAAATGTCTATACCTATGTGGCGGATTCATCTCTCCAAAAAATCCTCTGTGGGTATTTCGCCACTGCAAGAAAATCTACAAAATAAAATAGTTATTTTTTGTAAAACTTTTGGGTTAATACCAAACGGAAACTACTTGTCAGAAGTTAGGTTTACAGTTATACATTTTGTCTAACGAACAAAAAAATGCTTAACGTTTCGGAAAGTTTATCTCTTTCCGTCGTCGGAAGCAAAAAAATACAAAGAATAAAGAAAAAAAACTATTTAAAATATTTAAATTCAACTATTCGAAAACACTTTATTTTTTTTTAAAACAGATACGTATACAAAAACCGTTGACGTTCTGTTAAAATGACATTATATCAAGTTAAACTTCAAGATTAACAATTACTACCTGATAACAATTACTTAATAAGATAAAACAAAAAAAGCCCCAAACTTTCTGTATGATTATTTTTAATTTTCACTTCAACACGTATGTATGTTATGTGTATTTATGTTATGTTCTTAAAATCAAAGAAGCGATTGCCATACATTACTAACATCTACAGATGCATGAGCAATACATTTATTTTTATTAGATTGTATTAAAAAAAGCCTCTTTTATTTTTCTTTTAGAGGCTATCGCTTCTTTCATTATAGTTTTGGCGTTATTAAAATTTATTCTGTGCCGTGTCCCATGAATGCTGACAAATCTTAGATTTGTGAAAATCTCCCGTTCTTGAATAATCTTTGTTCTTAAATTCGAACATTTAAGGGTCCAGATGTTTCACCAATCAATGTTTGCATTCCATTTTAATCCTCAACTAGCGTGGTGAATTTTTCTACCGCTTATTGCGTTCTGGGGTCTTTTTTCCAATTTTTTTTCAGTTAAAAATAAATGATGAAGAAGTAGAAAAAAAAACTCAAAGTCTCTGAATTTTTCTACTTTTTTAATTTGAACCAGGTCTCTTGAGAAAAATGGGCGCCTTCTTTAAATGAGGAAGAGATTTTATAAAATGTTTGTTATTTTAACACTGTTTACAATATATTCAAACTTGTGAACAAACAATTTCATTCATTTTCAATAAATTAATAAAAACGGACACAAAATTAAAGTAAAACGCATTTTTTAGAAATTTTTGACAACAGAAATATAACTTGGCTAAGAAACCCATAGAAATTAAAAACATATATGTATATTTTATGATTTTCCTGTATTACTAAAGTCCAAACAACTGAAATGTGTAGCTAAAGTAATAAACATAAATTATTTTCAACAAAACTGCAAACTTTGAAGGTACATAACTTTTTCAAATACAACTTATGCTAACATCGCATCTGCAGTTGCCGCACATGGATCGTACACATTTGATACATGAGATTTTTATTTTTTGACATTTCTCCGTTGACATATACCACATCTCTTTCGTTTCTGGTATTGATTATTTAATTTTATTGCCTTTACAACAAGATTCAGAATCGTAGTTATGGTTACTCTTCGGAGAAAAGTCCCTTTAAGTTCATCAAACCACTCAATTAATGTTTTCTCAAAATTAGCGTTCCCGTCACGCAGACTTTTTGGACTACCCACCATCCTAATAATGAACATTCTTGGCGTGGTGGTACCACACGGATCCCAATGAAACTTTACCCCCTGCTGGTAGGAACCTTTTATCAAGCATACTCATACTCTGCTGCCGAGATAGTTATGTTCGGGCATAGACTTTTTAGTTTACTTGTGGGTACACTCGACCGCAGCCGACCAAACCTTCCTCTTCCAGCCTATGTTGTCACGCCTTTAATATTATCAATATTTTTTTACTTATTATACACATATATTGAGATATTAATACTGCATTTTAATAAAGTACGTTTTAATATTCCATAGATGTATTAAATAGTCCTTATACTACTTCATTATAAGTCGAATACTATGTAAAAAGGATAAATCCTTTACAATATGGCAACACCGATTAGAGGCGAGGTCGCCTATTCATTCTTCTATATCTTGTAGTACGCGTCGCATGTGTGTAGTAAAGCATTGTTGCCGCTACTACTCTCTGGCTGTATTATTGCATTTTCTTAGTTTGTAGTCCTTAAATGTTTATTTTATTTACTTTTTCTATTCAAGAAATATGGTTCGCCAGTGCCAAATTTGCAAGAAATTTGACTTAAATAATCCATTGGTCTTGAAACGACTTTCGACCGGTAGGCAACTCTCAATTTACCAATTGGGAGTCAGTGGCGTTGTTGTAGAAAGGCGCTTATTCAGATATTTTAGTAAAATGGAAAATCTGAATTTTTTCTATTACATAATCATTTATATAAAAGTTTTTGTGACAAAATGATAATTATAACCCTGTTATTATACAAGATAAATTATATTAGGCATCGGTTAAAAAAATAATCATGTTTATATTAAAAATATATTCCAGTTTATCCAAGAATTTTAAAATGATAGTAATATCATTTTAAAATTCTAATGTAAATTATGAAACAATATTTTTTAATATACCGGGTGCGTCTCAAAAGTGGCTCACCCTTATAGCCGGAGTCTCATGCATCCGAAATCCGATGACACGACGATCCGACGGTGCTCCTATTGGTCGGAATATTTTGACAACAATTTTTATCCGATAATTTTAACTAATCATCCAACGTCGTATAAAGTTAAATTTTGTTTAACTTTTGTATGATATCGTGTGTTTTTTAACCTCACTTTTTTTGAAAACATTTGTTTTTAAAAACAAGTTTAGTGGGAAGTGGGCAATTTCGGGATATTTGGCGAGGAAGTTATTTTTATAAGTGTTTCTCCAATAAAACATGACATGAATCTCTATTCAGCGCAGCAGAAAAATGTTAAAACTGTCAAATTTCGGAACGAACTTTCGGATGTATGTGACAGGCTTTTTTTATTTCACACGATAACTTCAAATTTCGGATGTCGTACCATCGGATTTCGGATGCATGAGACTCCGGCTTATGACTTTCTATTCTTTTTTGAGATAAAAAAACAGATTTGTATGTTAGTATATGACATAAATTAGGATAGATTGACGGTATTCAATTGTTTTTGGTCTTTTCCTGTTTCACCGGAAATGACTAGAACTTTTGATTTTTAAATGGCACCCTCGGTATATTGCTACTTTATTCGATAGAAAATTACACTCTGAATATAATGACATATCATATGTCAACTTTTGACACTGTCGCTTAAAAACAAATCGTATTATTATAAATTTCAATCCAGAGTGCCACGGCGGTGTTAAAAACACTAAGTTTTAATCAAGGAGCATTGGAAAAATAGTTTTGATTGTCTAATGTTTTTCGTGTCTTGTCTAGGCCGGTTAAAAGATGCACAAATCGTATTTTTAATCATAATATGAATATGTCAATTTTTTCAAATGGAACAAGGGTGACATTAGCATATTTCGAAAAAGCATTTTTTATGAATATATTGATACTTCGTATTTCGAGTCAAATTGTCGTTATGAACCGCGTGTTACAATTTCAATTAAACCATATGCGAAAATGTCAAAAGTTGACATATGATATGTCATTCTATTCAGAGTGTCATTTTCTATCGAATAAAGTAGAGATATACCTAGGGTGCCATTTAAAAATCAGAAGTTATAGTCATTTCCGGTGAAACAGGAAGTGACTAAAAATAATTGAATTTTATTATTGAATTTTAATTGAATATTATAATTGAATTGTTTTTTTATTTGAAAAAATAAACAAATTATGGGGGTGAGCCACTTTTGGGACGCAGCCGGTATAATAAAGACAGTACCGGGTTAAATAAATGTAGTTTTCATTTTATCCACTTCCTAAAAGCTTGCTTTAATGAAACAGATCTCTGTTTTCTCTAATTTACAGCTGCAAAATTATAACAATCATGAAGTTTTTTCTCTTTCCATGTTGCTGATTCTATTATATCTATAGAATAGATCCTGTTTTGATTAATATTAGGGTTGTAAATGTTTGACTAAAATTAGTAATTAATTTATTAATTTCAAAAATTAAATACGTAATTTCGATTATTAAAATTTTTTCTATAACGTGTATTTTAGTTATTTTTATCGCTTTTGGACGTTTTTTTTCTAAACTTTTATTTAAAAAACCTCTCCTAAATCTTAATAAAATATAAAAAAGTTAAATACGATATATTTTTAATTGAATTATAGCTTCATTAAAATAAAAAAATTACCCGGCTATGGTACGGATAGTTCAGGTGTACTGAGGAACGAAAGACAGTGTTGCATTCCTCGTCAGAGTCGTCAGGGAACGACCGTTACGACGGAGACAACCTATTTATCGTTCGTGTCGCACTCGTTAGAGCCTAAAACAATAACAAGACATTGTCTGACCGCATTTTCCAGCTATTTATGAATGAGATGCTCAGTCTATATTTTATTTTAAGTCTATGTGTCCGGGTATGTCATTTGACGTTTGATTAACAAAAACGTTGCTGACTATTCATTAATTTTTTTATTAAGTACAAACGAGAACGTTTTTAATAAAAAATACATTCTTAAAGCGATTCTTTATTTTTGAATCTAAGTATCATAAGCTCTTTTCAAAAATAGAATTTTTGGGGATAAACATACATCGGGATCCCGGTTTGGAAATCCTACTACTATGTAAAGTACATCTACTGGGTCTGTGTCTATGAAAAGAATGCAAACAAAAAACATTTAAATAAACAGCAATATATTTTATAAATCGCTACCTATATAGAAGCGGCAGAGAGTCCACGTGGACTTGACGAGTATGTCGAAACACTCCTCCCACTCATTCCATTGGCTACTTGCAAGTTTGTCGAATTTTTATTGATGGAACGCGTCGTCTAATTTTTTACGAGAAACATCGATTAAACGGTAACAGAGAACTTCGTTTTCCCCCTTACGGATGTCCCGTAGCCACAGAATGGATATATATATATGTACTGTATGGTAATCGCAAAACAATTTCCGATGCACGTGATCAACTTTGAGTGACAAGCGATGGCGACAGCGCTGCCAGATTGTGATGGATTTATGAGATGAATCTTAATTTAAAATTAACAAACCAAACCAAACCAAACACATTTATAATATCATTTTTTAAAATAATGTTACAATCATTTGCTCTATAAAGTAAAATAAAGAGCTGCTCGGTATCTTAAATTACTACAAATTTAAACATTTTTGCCAAAATTTCATTTAGTCAGGTGTAGTAGACTTTAGTGTCAATGTCGATATGATTGATGACGTGCATCGGAAAATGTTTTGCGATTACAATATGTATCTGTTTATGGTTCTTTTTTTTAAACATTTTTTTTATTTTCAGGATATGGCTTTGACACAATCTCCTACATTATTAGTTATATGTTGAATATTAACAATGCGTTTTGTAACATCTAATTAACATAACAACTGAAAATCATAAAAACGAGTTTTCAGCTACAAAAGCCGAACGTTTTGATACATCGTATATTTTTATCGATTTGATGCTTGTTGCTGTATCGGAAAATAATATATCCTGTATTGTACTTATATGTAGACTTGCTTGAACATTTTTTTTAAAAACAATTCGACTTTTACGAGCGCATGAACATTGACATTATGTTTTTTTAGTGGGAAATTCCTATACAGATTTATTTGGTCATCGTAGAAGCGTGGCCTGGATTTTAACGTGTAAGACAGTGATGGAGACAGCGTAATGAAAAATCAAATGTATTAAAAAGAGAAAACATTTGGGTTGATACATTTTCTTTTATGCGGTATTGCCGGATTTAGCGTCACGAAAAATGTTGTATCTATACAAAACACTAATTGGCAAAACGTTGAGGTAAAAGAAATAGAACAATACACACAGAAAAAGGTCAGAAGTTGTTTAGAGAGTACCGATTTCTATTAGTTAAATATTTTTTAAGTTTTGCCTTAAATATTTTTTCTAAATTTACCCTAAAAAATTTGCCATGTTGTTAAGTAAATGTTTAAGAGAAATGAACATTAAATACGTAGCTTAAATATAGTATCTTCGTTTATTATGTTATTTCACGTACGAACTGGCAACACTGTATGTCGTTTTTTATTTTGTCTCTCTGTCTGTCGACTGGTCGTATATATTTTGTCTTTGTCGTATGCATTAAAATACAGACCACGAAAATACAGTGACCAGAGTTAGTTACTGTACACGATTTTAGATTTTTTTTTAGAAAGTTTTCATTTAATATTATCTTTATTTCTACTGTGAGTGCTTACGAACGTTTAAATATTGTGATGTAATAATTGAATTAAAAAAAACTAACGAGCGACTTCAAAGAAGTCGCTTTTTCATTGCCAAGTTTACACTCTTTTTGTGATATTTAAAATTATAAAACAATGAAAATAGTGGGCGTATGAAACTTGTAAACGATTATATATAGTGTATTTTCTATTAAACTTTTAATGTCCATTAATTGTACAGAATGTCTCATTTTCGATATGCTTGCTAAATAGGCAAAAATGGCGAAAAGGGGACACCCTGTACAGACTGCTCTAGTTTTTAATTCCAAAATTTTTAAACAATACACAGTACATATATTTTTCTTCTGTTTTAATGACAACATTCAGGTCATTTATTTGAAATCTACCATATGACCGAAAAAAAGGGCGTCAAAGTGACCTTTAGAATGACAAGCTGATAATTTCTATCGAGCTTGCGTCTATAAATCTTTATTAAAAATTGACAAAAAACAATTGTCTAAAAATATTTTTGGCATGTGTTGAACATTTTTATAATTTTCCACATAAATATTAGTTTTTGATGTCAATTTTTAAAAAACGATAGATACTAGAGGTAGGCCCTGCAAATTATCAGCAATTATTGCGAAAAGTCATTGTGACCCTGTTCTTTTTCAATCGCATGGTATAAAATCCAAAATTTTGGTATAAAAACTCGATCTGTCTGTATATTCTCGGTATTTTTCTTCTTCTGTGTCTTTAAAGAGAGAACACAAAATGTTTTAAAAGAAATGCCTAGATTAATTCACAGTATTTTAAGAAAATAAAGTAACTTTGAAAATCAGAACCGTTTTAAGTTTGCTCATCGAATATGAAAACACAAAAAGAAGCTTGATTATGTAGACTATGTAATTCAATTTTATATGCGTCTGGTTATGTAGCTATATTATATAAATGTTGAACTGGTGTTTGTTAAAGTTTTCTGGATGTTTTCTCAGTATTATTTAGAACTTTTCCAAATTTTGTTTTTTTACTTTTTTACTCTAATCCTTAGCAACAAAAAATATTCATGTAGGACTTAAATTAGGTAAAAAATATTATATTACAAAATAATAATAATAATATTTGTTCTTTTTTATCAAAAATACTGAATTTAAGTTGCTAAGATACTGAGTGAAGTAGGCAGTAAAATTGCATTTTTTGCGCTACCTTGACGCTAAAATTCACTTTAAAAATTGGAAGGAAACTTAAAACGCTTGTATTTTTTTAATAGAATTATATTTTCTATATGTTCATAGAGAATGTACATTTTCTGTGTACAATTTCTGGTATCCAGTATCTTCTCCAAAAAAATCATAGTTCAACAGAATTTTGATTTTCAGAGTTGCCTATAAAAACTCGCTGTTAGTAATAAGCAATAATGGGCTTTAGCTTATGGTGTATATTATCTTTCACAAAAGTTTAAAATATTATTACAGGGTGGTCAAAAAATATAGTCCGTCGAAAAAAGTTCACATACTACTTAATAAAGGCGAATCTAGTTAACTAAACCATTTGAATATTTTTCGAACACCTTGTACAAATTAAAATCTAAGACTATATTTGTAAAGTTCTTATCTAGCCATACACAAATGTTCCAATAATAGGATTTACGTTGAGAACTGACGACTTTCTTCAGTTTTTATTTTTGAGTTTCTTATAAATATTATGAAAAATTAACCAAGTGATATTAGAATAAAAAAGTAGGTTTCTTCGTTAGGTTGCCCTGTTGCAGCTAAAATTAGAATGATGTAGAATATAAAAACCTTGACTCAAATCAGATTATTTTTTAGTTTAGGTTAGGTAGGTTTTCATTTTTTTTTCTTATTTACTTTATTTGTTAAAATATTTTTTTCTTAGAAAAAAGTAACAATATTTATTACTAAAGTCTGTCCAACCAGCCAGGGAAGATATCGGCAGACGACATCCAAAAAATGGCGGAAAATACAATTTACATGTGCATTAAAATGATAGACACAACTGTCATCGTTATGCATCTTCTCGTTGGACAGACTATATATAACCTATGATAGAATGAAAACAAGGTCAAAACAGGCATGAAAGTAACATTTGAGTTCTCCATTTTTTTGTGTTATCTCTGGAGTTCTTGAGACTGATAGCTAATTGTGAGGTAATTCCTTGTTAGGTTCCTAGAGGTGGCTATCGGCCTGATCCACTGCGACCTTCTCAGATCTATTGTAGTCCAATTCCTTGTTAACTGTTTATATTTATTATATTGCAAATACTTCAAGTAATACACTGGCAAGCTATTTGTAAGTAATACACTAATACACTGGCTAATACACTTGCAAGCTATAACTGGCAAGAACCTCAATAGTAGGCATAGTAAAACTCGAATTCAAATGTTACATAATCGACTGTGTGGTCCATTTAGTCCTACTGTATTATACAGGATGAGTCTGAAATAAGTGCGCATATTTTCAGGGCTGGTACTTCCCGAATCATATAATATAACATTTTATTTTTACCATTTTAAAACGTTTACCGTTCAAAACAGTGAAACCAAAGCAATCAAAACACGCTGTAAGCTTTGTTAGAACTATATTATGAGAACCTCAACCTTATTTCAGAAGAAAATCATATAAAATAATTTTAATATAAAACCTCTGACGAGGGGTAGGGGACTCAAGAAACTCACAATCTTTTAGGATGTTTATTTCAAAATAAACAATAAAAATTAATTTTATTACTTAAAACAAATTGAAGGGTCCAGGGGAAAACCATATGATAAGCGTCATTTTACCAATTTTACAGGAGAGCACTGGACCACAGAATATACACCATACAGAAGCGACAAAGAGCTTTGAATAGCATTGGTCAAATGGGAACTAATTGCGTGACGTCACGTTTGACATCCGTGCGCCTTGAACAGCATTTCACACTGAAAGAAAATTGTTAGATTTTAATAGAAAATGATGAAAAGCAGGTTTATTTAATTTTTAAAAACTAGAGGGATTTAAATCAGTATTTTTATTTAGAGTTAAAAATAAATAAATAATTATGAAATATATTTTTTAGTCTTTTATGCATAATATCTAGAAATAATTATACCTGCGGTCGTGAATTTTTTTTGGTGTATAATTCTTTGACGTCACGTTTGACAGTTAACCAGCATTGCCCCCTCCTAAAAATTTTGAAGAAAATCTCTTTGTCGCTTCTATATGGTGTATATTTTGTGACTGGACGGCTCGCGGCTCATTAGGTTCTTTCCGTATATTCTATATTTTTACTAGGCATATGTCATAGGATTTAACAACTTAATTGGCCCTGCAGAGTTTACACATTTTGTACGGACCAGTTAGACCTACTATAATATTGATAAAATCCTAAAATTAAGAAATTGGCGCTTATTAAGTTTTTTCCCTGGACCCTTCAATTTGTTCAATTGCCTTCGCATGGCCGTCGATCAACTGTCAATCGAAAAAGTCAATGGCAGCTGGCTTGGATGTAAATACATATATTTTCTTAATTTTTATGCTTACAAAGAAGTTTTATTAAATTTTTGTGCTTAAATTAGGTCAATCCACATCTATATAATAAAGTATTAATATCTGACGTTTTTACTGAATCTATAGAAAATTTTACATATTTACTGTCCGTAATCTACTACCTATGTTGCCATATTATCAAGATATCATTTTTACTTGAAAATTAAAAGATTCTCCAGAAATCTTTCAAAAATACATTTTTAATTTCTTTTCGCGAAAATCCGTAATAGACGTATTCCTGGAATCGAAATATACCACCCCTAAAAATATGTGTGCACTTATTTAAGACATCCTGCATAATAAAGAGTGTTTTGCCATCTTAAGATGAGTTTATATGCATCCCCCACTCCAATCATGTTGACTAAATTGTATAAAAACAACACGGCGGTAAAAACAATGACGGATGCCTGTAAACCCACACTTAAAATTTTAAAGCTATATTTTTAAAATTCGATATAGATTCATTCTCAAAATGAGTAAAGCTGAACTGCAACTCGGATCAAATTGTAGAAACTAAATATCTTTATAAATTGTTTGAAAATATTATTTTTTGGAAAACGAATAATCAGGGTCACTTCTAGAGACTTTTTTTAACCACCCTGTCCTACTCTAGTTATTTAATTTCTGTTAAGTTTGTTGCTAAGGTATAATAAAGGTAATTTTTCAAAATTATGTTAATTTTTTATTTTCCCCATTAAATGTGTTATTCCTTATTTTAATAGGTGAATTTTCTTATTTGTTCAAAAAACGCGCATTAAATTTGTTTACAATTTCTACAAAGGCATGTTGTTTGTTGTAAATGAATATACACAGCGTGGGCGGATGTGACCTAAATATATTTATATATTTTCTCGATCAGGCGACACCTTGTTAATTTATTTACATGTCCATAGCGGTTAGCATGGTCGAAAAAAAATATCGGCGTCAATATAGCCGTTAACATTTATATGTAATTTATTAAAAATTAATTAAGGCCATTAATTACGTGAAGGGATCAGGGGGGGATAAGGAGCCAAGCCGAATTCGGTAGGGGAGTTCGGCATTATATTAAATTGTGAAAAAATCAGATTAAGAATTAGAATTCATTTAGAAAAATGTTTTTTCTTTTTCACAATCAATTATTTCGTGCAGAATCAGTATATGTATGATCAGATACAGTTTTGTCGGCTTCAAAATGAGGATCAGTCAGTGTTTGAGATGCATTCATTTGTCTTGCTTTAATGAGAAATTTCTACGATTCTGCTACCATTTACCATGTATTACTACATATTCAATCCAGAACAATCAAAATCACCAGAAGATTGATATTTTTCCCACTACTGTTAATAAATTAATGAGGCAAACTTACAAGCTTTTTTTTGATAATAAGGATATCGGGATCCTATTTAGCTTCTTGCGAATGAATATTTGTCTCACATAATTTTAGGGCAGATCAGCCATTAACAAATAAAGGGTGTGGTTAGTAGACAAAGTGCAATTTTGAGCAACAAGCAGTCTAAAACTCAATTTTCCTGGCTCTTGACCCAAAACAGTTTGTTTAGAGAAAACTTATAAAAACAAGAATTATAGAAAGGAAGGGTTATTTACAAAAAGTTGATAGCTTTTCAGTTATAAGTAAAATACCACGAACAATTTTTTTTAAATATTTTAGTTGCTGGCGTGCGCCCCACACATTCGGCGCCCCGGGCGGTCGTCCGGCTCTTCCGCCGGCCCTGCATCTATTTCAAAACAAATAATTTCTACTAAATAAATCCTTAACTGTGAAATTTTGTATTTTTTGCCTTTTAAATATTCATTTTTGATAGGTTTTATACCGTCTTATGACCCGACAGGAACTAGGTATCAGTGATTTCTTTCCATCGTATGATATCAATCTATTAATTAATAATTGAATAGTCATAAAACATCAATTTTAAATCACCGACATATTTTTCTTTTTCCATAATTCCCAACAATAAATAATTTGAATAAGTAAATAATCAATACAGAAATTATCCCCTTAAATTATGATATCTTGTAGTTTCTTTCTTGTACAAGATAATACAAAAGCAATAATCTTTGATAAAAATATACAAATGGGTAGATGATACTGAAATTATCAGCGATTGTCATTTCAAAGCCTACTATAATGCTGCTTTCTTTTAGGTTGTCAAAAACATTAATTTTATACATATATCAGTTTTTTTATGATTTACAAAGACGATACAATAGGCAAAAGTTGTATACATAAGTATGTAATAGAGAAATATATTATCAACAATTGTTACAACAGAGGCTAACTTTACGCCATTTTATAATTATTTGTAGGGTATTTATGTTGACAATATATTACTAAATAAAATAATATATGTAATTTAGCAGCAGGAAAGTGAAATCTTTACCTTATTATTTAGGATAGCTGCGACGTTCCATAATACTGCTGTTAAAACAATTGAGAAACCAGCCGTTATATTTTAACAACAGGATTACAGGACGTCGTTACAGCCACCTTTAAGGAACTATTTTACAAATAGGTATGTTTTGTTTGAATTCTTTTTTTGCCTATTCTGAGCATCTCAGTATCATAATGTTCATTTCTTTCAGGATATCTTCCAATAGATTTGTGTTCGAAATTTTGTATTGAGAAAGAAAAATAAAACCAAGTTAAATTTTCTTTTTTTTTATTTAATTAAAAATATACACTAAAATAATTAGTGCGACTTTGACGCCAACCTCTTGTCTCTCTCTTCAGCAATAGTCAGTTTGACACCCTTTCCTCTTGGGAGAGATACAAAGGCTTTGTTTCCTTTACCAATTACAAACACATTGTTTAACCTAGAAAAAAATGTAAATTAGAAACACAAAAATTATTCTTCAAAAAGTCCTTAAAACATTTGTCTCTTTTCTCCCTGGCTTGGCCATATTAGATATTTTCAAGTAATTGTAAAAATAAACACAGAACATATTACCTAGTTGCAAATGTATGATCATTGGCATCCTTAATGTGCACAATATCAAAGGACCCGGGGTGCCTTTCTCTGTTCACTACAGTACCGACACGTCCCAAGTTACGACCTCCAGTAATCATACACAAGTTTCCAGATTCAAACTTAATGAAATCCAATATTTTGGATGTAGCAATTTCCAGCTGAATTGTGTCATTAACCTAGAATAAAAGGAAACTAACTTTATCTGACTGTGTGTGTTATAGTTTAAGATGTAAATAAAGTTTTATCATTTTTGGATCAGTAAATGGGTAGTGGTAAAATAGAGTCATCATAATAGGCTCAGTAAAAAGAAAGACATCATTTCAAAAATGTTTTTTAAACTATTTTTAAATATAATTCACTTACCTTAATCATAGGGTCAGGATAACGGATTGTCCTTCCATCGTGTGTAACCAAAAAGGGGATTCCTTTAGGACCAGTTTGTACTTTACGTACTTTGCAAAGTTTATACTAAAACAAGAACTATTAACAATCTCCAGCAGTATTTCATTCAAAAACAGATGCTTATAAATTTAATATCAGTAAATGGGTAGTGGTAAAATGTAGTCTTCATAGAAGGCTCTGTATAATATAAAGCATCATGTTAAATATCAGATGAGTAAGTAATTAAATCATTATAGATCATAATTTAGAATAGGAGAACAAAGTCCTCAACCATTCTAAATGCCTAAAATTAGTTTTCATCATTTTCTATAAAGTGTTAAGAAACAGAATAGAAATTTTGAAAAAAAAAGTAATTCATAGTTTAAAATTTAAAACATAATATTACCAATGTTTATAGTATAACAAAAATACCTCTAATAGTTTGCCAAAGATTAAAATATTCAACTTTACTTACTTTTGCTTCTTCTGCTGTGATACGATGGATAGCAAATCTACCTTTAACATCATAGATCAAGCGGAAGAATTCTCCAGTTTTTTCAATAGTAATGACATCTAAAAACAACATCAATAAAGTAATTTCAAATTTATAAAAAGTAAATGTAATTGTTTTCTGCTTGGGTAATACTAAATTAACTATTTAAGAGTTATCTAGTGACCAATTACAGAAATATTCTATAGGCCTCACTTTGACTATGTATTATTATTGATCAACAAAACATAGCTTCGATAGGGCCACGAAATCATTCTATGTATAGACATATATGCATATACATACCCATAAATCCAGCTGGATAATTGGGATCAGTCCTCACTTTTCCGTCAACCTTAATTAACCTTTGCATTACAATTTTCGTAACTTCACAATTTGTCAGGGCATACTTCAATCTATTACGGAGGAAAATCACTAATGGTAGTGATTCCCTTAGTTTGTGAGGTCCGGTAGATGGACGAGGTGCAAATACACCACCCAATTTGTCTAACATCCATGCCTTCGGTGCGTTTAAACGCTTCAAATGTTTTTTGGGACCTCTTGCCTAAAATTTTATGTTTAGATAAGTATACTGACGAGAATATATGCCGGAATAAATAAAGGAATTTCTGCAAACACCATAAAAACTAACAAATATTGCTAATACAATTGAAAATTTACATAAACATGAGTCAAAAAGATTTAGAAAATGCAACAACTTTCTTTTAAAAATTTGTGTATTATTCACTTATATGACAAAGAATACTTACAACAATTAAAACAGCTATGTATTATGTATGTTATTTTGAAAAAATAAACTAAATTAATATTGGAAGTTTTGAGATGATTGCAGAAATTGTGAAATTTAACAAACCACTCACCATCTTGCCACTTTAAAGGCGAAAAAGAGGGAGAAGAAATTCTGTTTTGACTTTTGACGTTGACATATGGTTGACGTTAGCGGAACCACAGAGCGCGACAGTAGTTCAAATATCGCTATCAGGGACACCAACCTACAAACTTTTTAAAGAATATTTTTCATATTTGAATTAATTTTAGCGGGGAATTTGACTATTCTACTTTTAAATTATGTATGATTAATATTGATTAATATTTATAAAATGCATTTCTGTTTCGTTTAGATATTTTCCATTGTAAATTTTTGTTTATTTTTAAGTAAAGTGGGCGGGGCTATTAAAGTAATTAAGCACCATCTGGTGTTCATTAATAATTTGACTTAAGTCTTAAGTCATATCTTGCTTTCCGGAAAATATGGTTTTTTTGTCCATAATTGTTTTGATTATAATATAATTGTGATGTGTTTAGTTTCGCTGCGCGAAAAACAATCGAAATCATGTGCGCGACATTTTTTACTCAAAAACATGAGAACAAAGCTAGAGCGGATATGATGACCCTACAGGATTGTATAAATGAAGATCTAGAATTTCTGTTTCCTGATGATCCTCCAACAAATACTGTTACCGACAAATATCTCATCCAGAACGTAACATCACAAGATCACACCGATTCCGATGAGGGGTAAACATTTTTTAACTGCATTTAATACTGCAAACTGCAAATCAGTTTTTGAAAAGTTGCCAAGTTTGCTAATTCAAGAACTTCTAGTTTCTTTATTTTAAAACTGAATATGAATAACATGCTGTAAATTATGAAATACTATTGCAGTGTTTATATTATATTTTGATTTTTAATTTGTGGAAAAGTTTTTAAATTGTTCTATTTTATTATGAGCTTGGCAACATTGATCTATAAAATTCGAAATCTAATGTTACGGGGGGCTATCGGAAACTACCTACTCCCTGTTTATTTTGATAGCAATAAGCAAAATGATTGAATCAGTTGTTAATCAACAGGGCGGTTTTCTGATCTAGATACTCTATAAAACAGTAATTAGAGAGATAAAATTAATTCTAAATTTGCCTAAAAAGCTTCAAATTTGTTTATATATTTTCATAATTATTTGAGGAATTTGAGGAAAAGTTAATAACTTGGCAACATTGATTTATAAAATCCCGAATCTAATGTTAGGGGGGGTTATCAAAAACTACTTCCTGTTTATTTTGATAGCAAAATGATTGAGTGAACCTTGAGTGAACAAGGAATCAGTTGTTAATCAACCAGACGGTTTTCTGATTTAGATCTTTTTTTTAGAGTCTTTGAAAGGGAAATTATAATATTAAAAAATAATAAAATTACCTATAAAATTTACAAATTGTTATTAAATTGTAGGTAAATATTAAATTAATTTTTCCTGCAATTTTAGTATTTTTTAGTAAATAGTTTAAATTAAATAAATTTTGACTACACTGACACTATTTAGAGTACCTACTTATAGTCCTTATAGATAGTTTTATTATTATAGATAACTTATAGCTATTTAACCATGCTATTGGAAAAAATCTAAAAAGTTGAAGTTTATAAATTACGTGCGGGCAATATTTATATGCATATTTAGTTGCTGATTATTCATATTCGGAAGTTAGCGTTGTAGCTAGAGGCATTTGTTATTAAACCTGATTTCTATTTATAAATAAAATTTTATGAAATTTAATATTTATTAATAAAAGGATACCATTTCAGGTATACTACCTCAATTTCACCTACTATTCCCGAAATGCGAAACATCGATTTGAACGAAAATAGAATTGTGTTACCAAAAAAGACTGTAATTTCCCGGGCGCAAGAAACCAAAGATAATAATAATATTAACCGCTATTACTGTGAATACGATGGTTGCAATAGAACGTATAGTACTGTTGGCAACCTTAGAACCCATATTAAAACGCATAAAGGTAATATGCGTATAATTATTGACCTCAGAGAAATATGTAATCTTAGAGGCACCATAACATATAATATAAATGACTATTGGTTTGTAGTGAGATAAAAACGACCAACGAACTTGGGAAGAATCTCTTTACATCTCAGAGGAATATAAGTTATTTTTTTCGAGATTTGGACATACAACGCACATTCTAGTTTTAACTATTATCTAGTAATATTAATTACTATATTATAATAAATGAAAAAAAATGTCTAAAACTTAACAAAATTCTTATCATCTATCAAACGGATGTATGTATTATCGGATTTGTTAGCGATGTCTACGGACGGCGGCGGCGCGGCGCCGCGCATTTGTTTGTTCTCCTATAGGCTTGACGCATTCTCCGCCGGTGCTGCCATCTGCCATCGCCCGAGAATATCGTAAATAACGAACACATACAAATATACGGGTTTAAATGGCGAGTAAACGAAAAAATTAGTATATAATTGTTCTGAAAGTGTTAGAAAGTATAATTTGTGGAAATTCTAAACAAAAAAATAAAAAGGTAAATATTTTATCTTCAGAAGGTCTAACTTGCATTATAATTTATTATTATTCCAGTTAATTTTTTTTAGATGAGTTCAACTACGGTAGCGAGCATAGTTTTATCACCGGTTTTGCTAGTGGGGCATAATTAGAGCTATTTCGGCTATAACGAAATTTTTTAAAGGTACATAATTATAATTTTAGAAGATGTTCATAAAATATTTAATCACTAGTTGATTAAAAAAGTATACCATTAATATTGCAAATTATATTTCATCCTCTCATAGTATATGTCTATTTAATTTTTTGATTATGTAAGGAGCACTTTGTTTTCTCACTTGTTTCGTCGAACTGCTTGAATCCATTTTATCTATTGACTATTGATCAAATCGGTGTAAGAAATTATGAGGCTATAAAATGTTGTTTCGGGAGAGTTGAATTATCCGGGAAAGTTGAGTTATTGAATGTTATTACACCCAACAACGCCCTAATTACGCTCTCCTTTACGCGTTAACATTTTTTTGGGCAATTTTATTAACATTTGAATGATTGTCACAACACAACAAGACGCCTAGTTCCAATTCTTTTTCACTTATTTTTTACTACCCGAAACAACAAAATCATACAAACCTTGTACCTGAGTGTTTTATAGTCTCAATAACTGTACTAGTAAAAAACTAAAATACTTAAATATTACGACAAAATCCCGATTTCAATATTATTTTAACGCGATCGACATGACGGCGGCGGCGCACAGAGGGGATTTTTTTCAAATTCGTGGCCAAAATGATTTTTGTAGGATAAACTTACTATTTCTTTTCGAAACGAGTATTTACATTAAAAGTGAGTCATATTTACTAAGAAAATGTTTATTATACACTTTGATGCTATACAGGGTGAAAAAAATTGCAAAGTTCGAAACAGAGGTAATATTAATTATTAGAAGAAAATATTCAGTAGTTTTCATCTTTAAACATGTATTTTTTGGGCAAATTGTTCTTATGTTTTTCGTTTTCATTACATATGAATTTTAAGGGTGTGATACAACCCCTAAAATGTTTTATTTTAAAAAATGGTTAATTTTGCAGAAAAATGGTTGAACGCGTATTTTCTATCGCTTTTCACCAAAATCAATGTTTTTTTTTTAATAAAAAATATTTAAGGGGGTGTTCATCCCTTAAAATTTGGGTTTCGAAAAATCCCTACTTATTGAACCTCTACACCTAACAATCTATACGTAAGCCAAAATTCAGCTTTTTACTCCCATTGGTTTCAGCTTGATGAGAAGGGGGTTATATTCACCCCCTATGGGACAATCGTTGTGGAAAAAAATTCTTCGTATGTCAAAAACAAAAATAAAAAATACGTGTTCAAGCATTTTGTCGCGAAACCAGTGGTTTCTTAAATAAAAATTATTTCAATATTGAAAGGGTGGTTACAACCCCTTTAAATTCAAGTTTTATAAAATTCTTTCTTATTGCTCGCCTACTTTGTATAAGACAGCCGTTCCCACCAAGACAATTAAGCTGACATATACTTTTTACTTTTTATTCTAATTCATTTTAATTAGGCAGTTGATTGTCAACCATCATAGCATACACATGTACTAAAACCAATTTTTTTTTGTAATAAATAAATTTTTAAAAAAGCATTTCTGAGTGTTCGAGAGTTATTTCACAGTTAATAAGATTAAGCATTGATAAATAAGACAGTGAAAAGCATTGAGCTTAATACGCATTAATAGGGTACCAAATGCTTAACCGAATGAACGCTTAAATTTTTCTTTTTTCATTTTGAACAATAGAAAACAGAACCAATAAAAGTTTATATATGCATTTTTAAAATACTACTAAGTAAAATATTATATTATTCTACATACATGAAGGTACACAATCCATGTTTCACTTTTCGCAAAAAATTATTGGAAACACAATAAAACCAAACGTCATTAGTAGCGAAAATTTAAGTAATGACAGCCAGCATAACATTTTGTCTTGCCAAGGTTAACTTTGGATCAACGTAACTAGAGAATACGGTGAAAACTTATAATAATTTTTTTTTTAGCTTATAGATAGATAGGTTGCCTTTCATTTCATATATTAATTATGAGAATATTGCTCATTTCAGAATTTTAAATTTTGTCCACGAATTTGGAAAAAATCCCCTCTGTGCGGCGGCGTGAACTATGTGTTGATAATTTCTGATTTTTGCCGTAGAGTGCGCTGCGGTCGGAATTTGTTGAAATCAACTGAAATGCACCCAGATATACACTGATATACAGGTTTAGCCACGTACGTTCAAAAAAGAACCAGTGTACGGCGAGACGTGGACGGCAGACATCGCTAGGAAATCGCACCTTTAGCAGATCAATGAGTAATAGGTACTTAAGTTGTATAAAATAAGGCAATAAATAAACAATTAAGTATATTACAAAACAATAACCTTCATGCATTTTTCATTATACTGACACATCAGACAATAAAAATATTCCTTTAGTTTTTCGCCACTGGAAAAGAATCAATTTGTCAGTACTATATTACTAGCAAAATAAAACACTTTACTTTTAAACACTGGACGCGCGTTTCGCTAATAAAGTTAAGATAGTAGTGTCATCGGCAAACAAAATCAAATTATTCTGAAGTGTAGCCACAGGTAAATCATTAATGTAAATTAAAAACAATAAAGGTCCTAATACTGAGCCTTGCGGAACCCCATATTTTACAACACTCACATCAGAGAGCGTACCGTTGGCTAATGTTTGTTGAGATCGGTTTACAAGATAATCGGCCAATAATTTCGAACTCAAATTATTTACTCCATAATATGAAATTTTCTGCAAAAGTATGTTGTGATCCACACAAACAAGAGAAAGGGTGCATCTACCAGGTACCTTGCGAGTGCGGTGAGTCGTATATTGGAGAGATAAAACATCCTCTACATGTACGACTTGACGAACATAAAAAACATACGCATGTGAATGCACTCAGTCGTATATTGGAGGACTAAACGTCCTCTAAATGTACGACTTAATGAGCACAAAAAACCTGTACAAAAGGTGAAACCAGTCAGGTATTGCGGACCATGTTTGGTCAAAACAGCACAATGTAAAGTGGTCGGAAGCTCGGGTTGGCCACATGGAACCTCACTGAAAAAAGTGTAAATTTAAAAAAGCCGTTTTTATAGCAAACAATAATAAAATCTTTAGCAATCCTAGTACGGAAATACCTACGATATGGCAACCACAGTTAAAATGCAGGAATTCTAATTGGACAACCTCAAGGTTGCTCCCAACTTCTTCAGTATTCAGTGCTCAGTAGTTTTACTTCTTCTTCTTCTTCTTCTTCTTCTAGTGCAGATCCATTAATGGATGTTTGGAATAACATTTTCCATTGCTTCTCTGTTCCGGGCGGTGTGTATTAACGACTGAACATCGAGTAGCCCTGTCCACTGTCTAATATTCCTCAGCCAAGACATTTTCTTCCTTCCGATACCCCTCCGGTCTTCGATCTTGCCTTCAATTCAAATAATTCACGCTCTTTGTCAACGCGTCTGAGAACTTCCTCATTTGTCAATCTAGCCGTCCAAGGTATATTCAGGATTCTGCGATATAACCACATCTCAAAAGCCTCCAATTTGTTGATGGTAGCTGCTTTCAATGTCCAACCTTCTATGCTATAAAGGAGCACCGACCACATACAACACTTTACGAATCTTAATCTAAGGCTAAGGTCAAAATCAGCATAGACAAGTACTTTTTGAAACCTCAAGAATGCCTGTCGAGCTTGATCGATGCGACATTTAATTTCCTTGTCTGATGTCCAATCTTCGGAGAGCCAGATGCCCAAGTACTTAAATTTATCTACACTTTCTATGGGCCATGAGTTAAATGTTAGAATGGAGTTTATAAACACATCTGGGTTTCTGGATATAATCATAAATTTGGTTTTCTTGATGTTGATGTTTAAACCCATTGCTTTGCTCTGTTCTCCTACCTTGTTGACGAGTTGTTGTAGGTCGTGTATATTGTCTGCAATTAAGACCGTATCGTCGGCATAGCGGATATTATTAATCCACACTCCATTAACTTTGACCCCCATTTCCACGTCCTCCAGAGCCTCTTGGAAAATAGCTTCTGAGTATAAATTAAATAGGTGTGGAGACAGCACGCAACCCTGTCGCACCCCCCTTTTAACTTGTATGGGATTAGACATGGTATCCGTATTGTTATTTTTGTTATTAATCCGTATAATTTTTGTTAAATTTACAAAAAGTATATCACAGCTACCTAGATTTTTTCAAATAATAAAGATCTACTGACGCAAAATCATAAAAAATAAAATATCTAGGAAAATATTTGTCTGAGGGGTAGGCAACCTTAATAATATTTTGAAGATATATAAATTCCCCATTGAACACCGGAAAAATATACTGGGTGTTCCATTTAAAATAAAGGAGTAACTTGCTTTTAAAAGTGACTATATAATGTTCCATATTAATTTTGTCTCACCCTGTATAACTTTTCGGGTCAAATTTAAATTTGGTTTACCATACAATCACTACAATGGTTACTGTAATTAAATATCAGGCTATATCAGGTCAACTAAAATTTAGGTAGCTGTTATTGAAATCTAAAATTTACTCTTCATTTCCACAAAATGTGAAATATGTCAAAATCCTTACATTTTAGGTATATGATTCTTTAATAAAATTCACCTTTATTTTCTTCCTAGAATCGGGCTGGTTTACCATACAATGGTTACTGTAATTAAATATCAGACTATACCAGGTTAACTAAAATTTAGGTAGCTGTTATTGAAATTTAAAATTTACTCTTCATTTCCACAAAATGTGAAATATGTCAAAATCCTTACATTTTAGGTATATGCTTCTTTAATAAAATTCACCTTTATTTTCTTCCTAGAATCAGGCACCCTGTGTAACTATATATTTGTATAAAATGCTTTCAGTTAACCTACATATGCTCACAAAATTTAATTTCAATACAAACTGTCATTCTCCTTATTGGAGCCTCCGCGTCGTATGAGAGACGCCACTCTGTATGTTGATAGGCGCCTACTATGTTTCTATATATGCAAAATATAAAAGACAACCCTCGCATACGGAGCAATCCATGACGATTTAAATAGTTGGCTATTCTGATTTTGCTCATTTGGTTGGCAATAAATTTTAGAAATTCGAATATTTATCAAAAAAAAAAAATAATAAAAATTGAATAATATGATTAATTTTTTGACGATATTTAAATTCCTTTTCGATAATAATGCGAGACTAATCAAAACAAGATCAGAATGAAATGAATTTAATCTGAAGGTTTCCTAATTTAATTACTGCATAAGTGTAGATAATAAAAAATATAAGTTAGCCTATAGGCTATGTGCTCGTAATAAATTTTGATAATAAAACGCATATTAATGTATCATAAACTGGTTTTATTCCAAACAAATGTTTGTTAAACAGTATCCAATATAACAATATGATGAATCTGAAACTAGTAGTAAAAAGTAAAAAGTTATACATGCTTTTAACACTGATAACACTATGTTATCTGTGCTTTAAAAGACAAAATGTACCTTTACATGAGCTTATCATATTGATCCATCTTCTTTTGTTACATCCTTGTTAAAAAGTATTTTGAAATTGTCTACACGTTTCTGACATTTAATAAATAATTAAAGGATGCTCAAAATTTTTAAGTCTGTATTGATTTAAAGTTACTTCGCCGATTACTTTCAATTTATATCCTTGTTTTAAATAATGGGTTGAAAATAAGCTGTGATTCTTAAGTATTTATTTTCTAAGTTGAACATTATAGTTGTATTGAAAAATAGTATTTTTTTTACATTGAAAAATATGTTGATTTTACAAATACAAAAGTCAAAACTTGTAAATTTTCAAGAAGATGAAGAAAATGAAACCAAAAAAATTGGCATAATTTCTTAAAATTTTTCGAACGATAATTTGTTTTAGCATTAGTACCAATCCTAAAACCCTCCAACACAGTATTGCCAACAATTTCAGTCATTATTGATAGCTTCGTAGATTGTAAACGCCATAGTTTTATTTATTTTGATTATCTTAAATATTTATATTTTTAGATGCGAAGAAACTGGTTGTGGCAAATCCTTTTCAGCTTCCCATCACTTGAAAACGCATCACAGAATTCACAGTGGGGAAAAGCCATATGCTTGCAAGGAAACTCCGGATTGCAGTCGGGCTTTTGCCACGTCACATAGTCTCAAGTCGCACATCAAAACCCACCTGAGACAACCATCTAACCAGAGCATAAATACAGTACAACAAATCAGCATTAAACCTTCGAATACCGATGAATCGGAACCGATAAAAAGCGATTTTGATATGGTTAAATACGAGGCGCTCAAACATCCTGAATTGACGATAAAACATGAGGCTTCCACGACGTTTGATTTCGAAGGAAATATCAATTTTGATAGCATCCAGAGGGATTTGGATTGGGGCAGTATTGAGGGAAATGATGGAAACATAGATACAAGTAAGTAAAGATTGCAGAAATCACGATAGAATACCTCGTTAATGATATTTAATACAGTATGTCCCCGGATTGTCTTTACAAGAAAAGAAAAGGTGAATCTCGTATACCTGGTGCGTCTCAAAAGTGGCCCACCCCCTATAACTTTTTTATTTTTTCAGATAAAAAAATGATATTTGGTATGTTAGTATATGACATAAATTGGGATTGATTGACGTATTCAATTATTTTCGGTCACTTCCGGTTTCATCGGAAATGACTACAGCTTTTGATTTTTAAATGGCACCATCGGTATTTTTTTACTTTATTCAATAGAAAATGACACTCTGAATCGAATGACATATCATACGTCAACTTTTGACATTTTGGCATATGGTTTATTTAAAATTGTAACATGCGGTTCATAACGACTATTTGACTCAAAATACCAAGTGTGTGGTATCAAATTATTCGTAAAAAAGTTATTTTTCCAAATATGCTAATGAACCACCCTCGTTCCATTTGAAAAAATTGAGATATGATTAAAAATACGATTTGGGCATCTTTTAACCGGCCAGGACAAGACACTAAAAACATTAGACGATCAAATCTATTTTTCCAAGGCTCCTTGATTAAAAATTAGTGTTTTTAACACAGCCATGGCACTCTAGATTGAAATTTAAAATAGAATTTGTTTTTGAGTGACTGTATCAAAAATTGACATACGATATGTCATTCGATTCAGAGTGTCATTTTCTATCGAATAAAGTAAAAAAATACCGAGGGTGTCATTTAAAAATCAAAAGTTGTAGTCATTTCCGGTGAAACCGAAAGTGACCGAAAACAATTGAATACGTCAATCAATCCCAATTTATGTCATATACTAACATACCAAATCTCGTTGTTTTATCTGAAAAAATAAATTGTTAATAATTGTGATACTTTAACAACAGCAAAGAATGTGACGTTAATATAAATTAATAATAACCATTTATCAAAGAATGAAATCGAATTGTTTTAGGATAGAAACCTTTTTAGGACTTTCCAAAAATTCTTGAAAAATTCCACCATATTTTCATGTTTTTCTTAATTTTCTCTGAAACGGTATGGTAATTTGGAAAAGTATGATTAACCATTTTAAACAAGCAAACATTTTTATGATGTATGCATTTTTCTCCAAATGTCAATAACAAAAAAGTTTTTCCTCTTGTAAAGACAATCTGGGGGGGCATATTATATAATACAAATATTCTATATATAATTTTGAAACAAGTGTCTCAAGATTTGTTTTTGATATTTAAAAAGTATTTTTTTTATTCTTACTAAGTAATTTTCTTAAATTAATCACTTTCCCAAGGATAATATAATCTGGAATAGTACAATATCTAGATGAAAACGCGGGAAAGTGTACAGTGTGTAGCTACAAAAAGTTCCGTTTATTGCCTCCTTGTGATGATGTGACTCGGAAGGATTAAGCTTTTAGCTTTCTCGATGGTAATGGTATTTACTTCTTTTGATTATGGATGGGGTTCTTCTCGATATATCGATAGCTGTCGATAGTTATCGATGTATCCAATAACAATATGTAACTGAATTAAAATTATAACTATATCGTCACCTATCGATGTATTGATAACATATCGATATACACTGTGGCAATTTTAAAATTTTCCACCCTTACTATCTTCTTGCAGTTAAAAATATGAAAAATCGGAAAGAAACGTCAATTTTATTTGTAAGGGGGGCAGTTTAAATGAATATTTTTAGCCTTTTTCTTCAACCCCCTAGGAGGGGTAGATGTCACCCTTACAATCTTAAATGGGAATGGGGGGTCAAGGGGCACATCGTTTTAAATTCTCTTTTCAGTGGTATCCTACTTTGTTGCTTTTTGTTCAGAGGTTTCCGAATAATCGCGTTTCAAAGTTGCAGAAACAATTAAACATGCCTGCATTGAGATTTTGATTTCAGGCTAGTGTTTACATAAAAATTATTGCAAGGGTTTTCCTTGTAGTACAAATGATTAGATTAGGTGGCAACATGGACGTAGCCATTACCTTTTTCTAGGGGTGTCGAAATACTAATATACAGAAAATGTCATGAATATTAACGTTTCTTTTCTCATATTCGAATGAGTTGGCAACTTCCATGGGGGGAAGTTTCCTCTTCGGTACGGCCTCCTCTTCGGTACGGCCATGTGTAGCACCGTTTGAAATTTTGTTTCCGGGATTAGCAAGTAACCTCAAAAAATTTACATCAAAAAGTAATCTAAAAAATTAAGAGTACCTACCTAGTTAATTTGCGTTTATTCGATGTCTTATCACTGAAATTCCACAAAAAGCCTTGCAATTCTATCAACAAATTCTAAAAATACGTTGTTGTCTCGACAAAAAAAAACAACCATTTTAAAAGATGTAGCCAAAACACGAATATTACTATTGTTAATTCGGTTTTCATGGTTGGGCTGTTCAGTGTCACTAACCCTAACATTCAGTCAACCCTAACATTCTGCCTAATATCTGTTTTTTCGATGGATGTTCATTTTTTCTAAATGGAAATGTTAACAAACAAAATTGTCGATATTGGAGTGATGAAAACCCACATATTTTTTGAGAAGGACATACACAATTTACTCAAAAAGTTAATGTTTGGGCTGGTATTCTTGGAAATGCTATTATTAGTCCTTTATTTATTGAAGGAAACTTGACAGGGGTGATCTGTATCTTAATATGCCTCAAGAGCTAATCGTCTAATCATTTGTACTACAAAGAGACCCATTGCAATAATTTTTGTGCAAACACTAGCCTGAAAACCAAAATCTCAATGGAGGCATGTTTAATTTTTGCTGCAACTTTGAAACGCGATTATTCGGAAACCTCTGGACAAAAAGCAACAAAGTAGGATACCACTGAAAAGTTAATTAAACGCCGTTTGAAACCATATGCCACTTGACCCCCATTCCCATTTAGGATTGTAAGGGTTTGTCTGAACTCTGATCTCATCCTGAACCGAGTATGTACAACCGGGCCTAGGTGACTTAAAAATTTTCGATACATGGATATATCAATACCTATCGATAATATAAACCGATAACTCTCGGTAATTCGATAGTTATCGATAAGTGAATTGCGATAACTTTTATCGATAGGTAAAATCGCCCAACCCTACTTTTGATCTCACTGATGTTCAATTTTAACATAAACTCTAAATTTAATTTATTAAATAAAAATATGTTTCGTATTTTTATTACTTTTAGAGTTACCCCTAAATTATTTTAAGTACATGGAAAATATTCATTAAATCATTCTATAAACAGATTTATATTTATCATTTTAGTTATCTATACCGCTTCTTAAGATATCAATTGTGGTTGTTATCTTTTAATTTGTTTACTTTATTCATTTGAGACAGTGCTGTTATAGTTAGGTTCCAAAAATTTTCTTCTCTCGTAATAAATAGTATATAACATTGTTTTCATAACCTTTTCTGGTGTTATTAATTATGATAGTTCTATAATTAACAAATTTACACAAATTATAAACAATGAACAATTTTATTATTTATGTAAAACTATCTTACACGTACAGGGTGAGTCAACGATATTGTGTAAATAAGATTTACATTGTAATATTGACATTTCTGATAAAAATGTTTGCGGATATTTGTATGTAATTACTTAACAATAAAATTATTCCCAACTATACTGAGTGTGTCAGTAAACTGAGGAGAACTTTAATATATAAATTATTATTTTACTTAGTTTATTACTGAATTTAATGTAGCTTAATTCTCTTTTAGTTGGCGTCGATAGTTTTTAATGAATTATTAGTATATTTTTTAATACGAATTTTTTACCGTCTATGTCAAGAATTCTGGAAGTATTTTTTATTTCTTTTTTACTGTTTACGATATGTTAAACATTGTCATTTATACCACAGATAACACATAATCCAGATGGCCATTGCTTACGGAACAGCATGTTTTCGATGAGACAGTTCCCTATTAATGACACAGAGGGCGCCTATAGCCAAATCTAATAATATTTTTAAAACGAACGAATTTGGAGCCACACCACGGCCACGCGATGTGAAGCGACGTAGCCGGTTGTTCATATTAGCCCCGCCCATAGGTAAAGGAAATAAATATAGATTGGAATGGTCGGCTTCCCGCCAGAACTTGAAATTAAAATGAAAACCCCTGAACTTGAAATTGTTTTATATCGCGACCGTTGTAGCGCTGCCACCTCTTACTAAGAACAACACCAAAGGACAGAAAGCATTTTCTCTTGTCAAAGTCAGAATCTTATTTTTTTCGCCTACATACAAGTTTTTGCTTGATATGTTTTGACTGACCGGTAAAACGTTATGTGTAGAAGGGTCTTTCCAAAAAAATCCTTTATGGGTATTTCGCCACTGCACTGTAAAAAAAATCCATACATACGAGGCGTTTCGGAAAAGATAAGAAGGATAGGAAAACAATAATATAACATACGAACATCTTTCAAAACACAAAATACACTTAGGTCCATTTTATCACCTTTTATACTACACCAATGAATACAGAACAACAAACAAAAAATGTAATATACCAAATACCCCGTGAATGCGATAAATTTTACATTGGTGAAACATCTAGACCCTTAAATGTTAGAATTAAAGAACATAAAGATTATTTAAGAAAGGGAGATTTTCACAAATCTAAGATTTGTCAGCATTCATGGGACACAGGGCACAGAATAAATTTTAATACCGCCAAAATTATAATGAAAGAAGCGATAGCCTCTAACAGAAAAATAAAAGAGGCTTTTTAATTCAATCTAATAAAAATAAATGTGTATTGCTCATGCATCTGTAGGTGTTAGTAATGTATGGCAATCGCTTCTTTGATTTTAAAGAACAACATAAATAAACATAACATACGTAAAATTTTGGGCTTTTTGGTTTTACGTTATTAAGTAATTGTTATCAGGTAGTACTTGTCAGAGAGAACATTAATAACTAAAGTGAGAGAGACCGATCAACGTTAATTTTTGAAGACTCTGTTAGGGGCGCGGCCTTTGGTGTCTAACCCGAACTATGAGCGCATTATCGATATAGTAGCATTCATACCTATATTCTGGCGCCAAAAATTTAAAATTTGTGTATTTGAACCGAATCTTAATCTTTTAAGTTTATAATAAGAAATCTTCGTAGTTTTTTTAGATTATTTTGTTGACAACGAAAATTTATTATTAGACTTTAAAGCATTAAAGCCTATAAATAAAATACTGTGTAGGAATATAATAATTTATTTAACTCCATACTCCTTGCCATACTCCAACTCAAGGCTGCAATCTTCAGTATCTTTTTTATCTAACTTGGTTGGGAGTGAACAGGGAAGCACGGTTGGGATCTCGCACAGAGTATCAGTAGGTATCCCGTAGGTATTCAATGTTTTTGATAGTCTTTATTCTCTAAAAAGAACCTAGCAGTTGAAGAAAATAATTTGTATTACTGGAAATAATACCAGGTATAATACCTAGTCGTTTCATAGGTATCAGAAAAGAATGTGATGTTTTAAATTAAAAAAGTTAAATTAGCAATGTACGATTATTATGTGCACTCACTATTACTATTAGGTATCTTAAAATAATTACCGAGATAAAACTTACCTTTAAAGGAAACGTTTTGTCTGGGTCTCAACCACAAAAAAAAAATACAAAAATGCCATTTTTGGAATAATCGTGGAATCTGAAATAATCAATAATGACAATAATCTTCTCTTCTGACAAGCTAAAAGAACAGGCACATTCAGTTAAAAACAATTTATTACTCCGATTTGCTCCGAATATCAACAGATTTTAGTTATCTCCTTCTAGAACTAAGAAATAGAAAAAGCTACTGACAATCTAATTAATCATGTCAAATGTTTAACTTGCAAAGTTGAAAACGTCCTTTTTTGACCGCCTAAACGCTATGCGCGTCTGGGATGCGCGGTGACAAAATAAATTTGTCTACGAAATGCCCTATTCCACAAGCCCTCTCACTTTAGTTATTAGTTTCTCTCTGGTACTTGTTAACTCTACTTGTTTCTCTCTGTTAATTTTGAAGTTTAACTTGATATAATGTCATTTTAACAGAACATCAACAAATTCAACGGTTTCTTGTAGACGTATCTGTTTTAAAAAAGTAAAGTGTTCTCGATTAGTTGAATTTAAATATTTTAAATAGTTTTTTTCTATACTCTTTGTATTTTTTTTGCTTCCGACGACGGAAAGAGATAAACTTTCCGAAACGTTAAGCATTTTTTTCTTTGTTAAGCAAATTTGTATAATTGTAAACATAATTTCTGACAAGCAGTATTTTCTTGCAGTGCAGTGGCGAAATACCCATAATGGATTTTTTTGGAGAGATGAATCCGCCACATAGGTATTGACATTTTTTAGAAGGGTCTTTAGACAACAACATCTAAAACTTTAATAAAGTATAATTAATACTTATTACTAATGTAAATGTAAAATTATTCTTGATACATGTCGTAGTCATCTAGCCAAGTCTTTAAATCTTAAACTAGAATTTTATGCATTTTACTGCACATTCGTTGATTTACCCTGTAGAGTTTTGACATGCGTGACATTGTAAATGCTATAAAATAGTGATCATTACCATTCTTAAAACTTTATTTATAAAGCTACTTGAATATAAACACATTATTATCTTATCGCTGGTATTTGCGCTATTTTTCAATGTAGAACTGTTTTATAAGGTCTGTTCGACAATTTAAATAGCAAAATTTGTGTTGCAATTTTAATTATAAATTTAGATTTAAATGTATTGAAGTTGTAAAGTCTGTAAAGTAAAGAGATTTCAGACAGTCAGACAACTATCACTGATATATAGGGTGGTCCGAATTGTATTTGGAAAATATTCTGCAGATAAAAATAAGTAAAAAAGTTCCTAAAAAATAATGTCTTAATTATTTTTTACGAACTTTTACGAACTTTAATTAATTCTTCGTTTTTGGAGATACAGGGTGTTAAAGTTTCATTTTTATTTGTTTTTTTTTCTAAATAACTTCTGTATTAACTTCCATATATGGATGAAAATTGGTGTCTGGTTATTTTTTGACATGACACATTCGATTGAATGCCAGCATGCCTAGGGGGCGCCACATAAAATTGGTACGAGTAATTGTTCTCAAGATATTTGGAATCGAAATAATCAATACATGCCATCATTGACAAAAATTCAACATGTTAACTAGATAGTTATCAAGCTAAAAATATTAAGTTGGAAATCTTTTTGTGCCAAAAGTTCAATAGAAATTGTTTTATCATAATTTTAATAATTAGTTGAAAAGAAAAGTTCCTAAATATATAATTTCAGTCAAATAATTATCTAGTCAATATGTTTATTTTTGTTAATCATGACATGTATTGATAATTTCCATTCCAAATATTCTGAGAACCTTTCTTATGTAGAAAACGGCGGAAATGTATATTTTTTCACTCAGTAGTGTTTAATACAGGTACGGACGAAAATATATTACTTTAATATATTACAGTTAACAAACATGTAGATGGCGCCCTCTAGCAAGTAGGAGCCATACTGACATTGAAATCAAATTGTAAAAATTTTCATCCAAATATCGACGCTAGGTTAGAAATTATTTTGAAAAAATCGAAACATAAACTTGTACACCTTGATCTCCGAAACGAAGCATTTTAGGACATATATTTATGCAAACTTTTAATAATTTAAAATTAGTTTATCTGCAGAATATGCTACCGAAGTTTCCCGAATATAATTTGGACCACTCTATATATTATTATATTAGGGAATATAATATACATAATAATATATTATATTCCCTCATTAGGCAGAGTTATACCTACTGTATGAATAAAATGCCTTTGTTGTCTAAGACAAAATTTAATTGATGTAGAATGAATTATCTATATATGTATATTATATCTTATCTTCATCATTTACCGGATATTTTCTGTAAATGTTTTTATTCACATTCTTCCACAGAAAATATTTTAAGAACGATACAGAAAAAAAATATCGGGTTGGAATGGTGTGTGATTCAAAGTTGGCAGTAAAAATTATTTTTTGAAAATATATTTTTTGTCTGAACACTTGTAGAATGTAGCATGAGTAAGAGGGGGGTTATCACCGCGACCTAAAAATCTATTGTGTCTTGTGTCCCCCTTTTTTGAGTTATAGCTCATCATACAGGTTATAACTCGTTATACATGGGGATCTTCCTGTTGTAGAGGGGACACGGTATTTCCCATCCTACTCTGACAACAGATGCTCATCCTCCGAGGAGTGGGTATCTACCTCCTACGAGAGTATACACCCTCCAAAGTTGGGGTTTAGTCCTCCGTGTCCTTCACAGTCGAGGAGCTTGTCTTCGACTGAGGTGCCCGTGAGGGGGAGGCTGGAGGATCTGTCTTCATTTTCTCCAATTCTTTAACTTGGTTTTTTCTTAGACGTGATACTGGTGTTGTCCCGTATCCATAATACAGGATATATCCCTCTTTCTCTATTGCCTCCTTGGATTTGAGGTCAATTACACCGCAAGGGTTAGTCGGTCCACTTCTACAGAGCTCCGCATGTAGTAAGGGAGACGAGAATACATGGGGTTGCTCCCTAGTACTCCAAGATTGAACACTTAATTTGGAACCTTTTTTATTTTTTTGTGTGTTCAATATTAAATTTTGACGATTTTTTATGTTCATATTTAATAAAATGCGTCAAAATACGTCTTTATTATAATGCGTCTATCGTTAATATAAAAAAAATATACGATACATTATTTTAACTAAATTTAAAAAAAAAATCTTTATAGAATTCGTTGAAAAATGTTTTACATTCTCTAAATCAGTCTTTAAAATATCTTTTATCTTGATAACCGTAAAACATTGCACACGTTTAAGAAAAGTAAATAAGAACGTAGATCTTTTAAAATATGTCAATGGGTTACCGATTTAAGATTATTAAGTTACTTTAAACTAGACTTTTAAAAAAATAAATATTATACCTATATGGAAAATAATAAAATTATTTTAAAGATATAGGTATAGTTATCACTGATAAAAATGCTACTCTCTCTCATATGTAAAAGCTAAAAAAACGCTTCATGTATTAAAATTTAGAATCAATTATATTATTCACAGACTGAGTCAAAATAATTGGAATTGTATTTATATTTTAGTAATCTGATCTATTAACACGCTCTATATATCTGAAATGGTCAAACTATTTGCACTTTACACTTTTCGTGATTAATTCGAAAACATCTTTAATAATATGCAGTTCAAGCATAAATAAACATAATACCAGGGAGTGTGAAAAAGATCTCACCTCATCTTCTTATTTATATCGAGAATACTACTCTTATAATAAATATGTTTCCTAAAAGTAAATCAATAAGGTTTTGATTTGTATGGTTCTCTGAATTGGGTAATTAATAAGTCTTAATTAGTTCTTAAAATTAATAAAATATCCTAGCAACAGTTTGCGTTAGTCAGTTGTATCCATAGAGAAAGCCTAATATTTAGCTCATAAAAAACTTTTGATTTCTAACTACAATTTCTCTTGACGGATGATAATAAAAGGCCAAAATGAGATTTCTCGTCAATTTTGAAGTATAATTAGTGGAAAAGTTAAAAGAGTGATAACTTTTTACATTAATTGAGAATGCCTACCACTAATTTTGACGTTTTGAATGCTTACATTGAAATTAAAGGAACAAGCTTATACGCTAATTGAAACCACTAATTTATTCCACGAATTGCGAGGTTCTGAATGAAGCTTTAATGATTATACTGAGTCAGGAAATAATAGAAAATCTTTATTATAGTGTGGTTATTTGGAACACGGAAATTAAGAGCCTCAAACCGTTCCAACTGATTTTGGAAGTACTATACATACTTATTTCTATTGCAGGTTCCAATAATATCATTCCAATCAACCAGTCCCCAACATTCTCCGACCAGAACGTCGATTCCCTCGGTTTCAACAACTTCTACAACTCGTTCAACTTCAGTTCGGACAACTCATCAATGGACACCGGTTTCCAGCAGCCCGTCGAACCCATCACCGACCGAGTGAACCAGCTGCACATCGAAAACAAGGCCAAATACGCCAACGTCATCGAAAACGACATGAGTTCCCAATTCGAAATGGCCAACGGCTTGAAGAACTACGCTACCGTTAATACAGCCGAACCGCTGGATATTCAGCTACCGTTCAACATCGGAACTGAGAACGTTGAAAGCGTGGTGAAAGACGAAGGCACGTTGATCAACGAACCTCAGCCAGAATTGGAGGAAAACTCTTTGATTACTGAATTTGAGAACGCCGGTATTAACTTGTTAGATTTCGCCGATACTTTTAACGAGAATATGTTTGAAATTAATAATTCAGGCGTGAATAACAATAACACGAACGTACGAATTTTAAGCGTGAAGACTATAGTGGCTCCCAACGACGTCACACCTCAATTTGTGACTAAGCAGAAGCCTGTGGTGAGTTCTCCGTCGTCTGAAGTTTTACAGATGTCCATGCCTAGCCACGAGGAGATTTCGAATTCTTGGGATGTCGGTAATTTCTCTAACATGGGTCAATTGAACATATTTCAAGAAAATCTAAACGAAAACCCTCTTACGGCTATATCAACCGCCGTGCAATCGTACTTAAACTTACCTCCAGTCCAAACTAACGCGTCCAGCGATTACAGCAGGGTTTCTGTGGTAGAAGACATCGAAAACGTCGATCGTTTTCTATCGTCCTTGAACCAGCATCACCAGAACAAAAATTCCGACGCTTTGAGGAACTTGGCCACCGAAGCAGAAATCTGCAAATGCGAAAATTGTAAGTGCGATTCTTATGCTAGCTGCGAGACTTGTAATGCCGCTTCCAACGAAGACGCTGCAGCCGCTCCTACCGCTTCCGCATTAACAATCAATGAGTCAAGCCCGGCTCCGGTACCATCCTCTTTGGAACCAAGCACTAACTGCCAAACTAATACTCCGGTAGCTTCAAATAATCAACAGTGTTGCGACGCTTCTAAAATTAAGTGTGAGCCAGTCCAGGCGGACCGATCTTCTTCTTGTGCGAAAATCGCTCAGAATTCGTGCAACGAGAACTATTTCAAGCAGGCTTTGTTGGGTATCGTTCAGAAAACCGACGGATGTAAGGAGAAAGGTGAAGATTGCTGCGTGGTGCTGTGCCTCAAAACTATGGAGCAGTTGAGGCAGATGTTGAGGTTCGCTACCGGTTGCAAGGGATTTAAGGAGTTTACTTTAGGCTGTATTAAGAAATCGCAGTTTGATTCTTGTAACTAGGTTTGTGGGTCAACTAAATGCAACGATACAAATACATTTTTAAGTTGATCAAAAGTACAATTATTATTCTTTTGGCAAAAGTCTGCATTGTTATTGTAGGATCTGATCCCGAATTCTAAATTATTTCGAAAATTTGAAATTGATTCCTTTTTGCGGATTTTTACAAAATGTGGGATTGCTTTATCATTACTTTGCTACTATGGAAATGTATTTCCTCTGCTTGAAAGACATCAAAGTTCTATTTTGATATTGAATCCTTATTTTTAGGTTAAAAGTTCTTTTTGTTTTTCAGTTTTCCTTGTGTCTAAAACTACCCTCTCTTTAGTTAGTGGAGAATCTTGGATGAAGATTTTAGTGGATTTTTTTTATTATCGAGTTAATAATCTATACAGGGTGTCTCATTTTCGAGTGTTTTATAAGATTTTTCGTTTATCAGGAAAGATACAAAGATGCGTTTTTCAAATCACTGTGCTATTTTTTTATGAAACTAAAGATGCTACACACAGATTTGTTCTAGCCCTCATAGTTCCTGAAATACAAGGCGAATTTCAAAATGTTGCATTTTTAGGCTAGACAGGAAATTTCTTGCTACGGACCTTACAGAATCCCACTACTGATGTTTCGACATCTGTAATGTAACTTTACTTTTTCTTGACAAATTTGAAGTGCCGATCGCTATCAGGAAATGATAATTCTCTTTCCAGTAATTTTACATTTTACAAAGAGTGGTAAGAAATTAACAATGACTGATAAGTAAAAGACATGGAAATGAAAACAAGAAATGACTATTGGAATTATATGCAATAAATTTAAAAACGATGGAATTTTCTAACCAATCAAAGTAACCTTTAAATTCAACCACCTTTAGTAGGTATAAATTCAAACCTTTAAATTCAACCACAATAAAATTAATATCATATCGTCTTATATCGGACGCCATGAAAATCCGTCATAAGGCCTCTGAAGTTTATCAGTACTGCATACATTTACTATTTTGCTAAATTTTATCTTTTGCGCTCTTGTAGAAGAATATTTCTTACTATCTGCTCAGAATAAATTAAATACAGTCGAATATAAAACATATTTACATTAAAAAAATCAAAAAAATATTACCTAATTTGAGCAGTATTGATGACCCTAACTAAGGAAGATTTATTTTATTTTTTGAAGGTTTATTTTCTCATATTCACTCTATTGTGCGTTTCACTATTGATTTTAAAATATTAAAATTTTTAAAAATTGTTCCTATATTAATACCTAATTTAAAAATTTTAAAATCTAGTAAATTTGAAAAATTATAGGATTCGATTATTTAGTTTCGTTAACATAATTTTTAACAAAATGTTAATTTAAAAAATATTTAAATCTAGATTTAGTTTGTTCATTCATGTTCATTTAGTTGAATAATCCGTCAAAATATTATATATCTCATACTGATCAAGGTACCGTATGACTGAAAAAAAACTGCGTTCAGTTGGCTTGGAAATGATCGATGACATTCCTCATAATTTTACATATAAAATGTCAGCGATCTTTAATTCATAGCCATCGCTGATGCCGTTTTTTTTTCGATCGTATTGTATTTGACATATGCATATCATTTTTCTTTTAAAAGTTATAAAAAAGGATATATAAAAGGATGAAAGGTTACATATTATATATTGACCACTACTTTGGAAGTACATAATTTTATATTGGCTGATATTAGTATGTGTTCAATTGCTATACATATCTACAATATTACCTGGATATTTAGATAGTGATAATAATATTATGTACTTATAAATATATCAGACAGAAGGAACGTTAAATTAACAAGTTTGACTGTATAACACGATTGATGTGCAATTAACCGTTAAATGACTTTTAATAGATGTCAATATGAAATCCGTCTTAAATAGATCTCGTCAAATTTAGGATGATATAAGAGCACATTGTAGATAAAATCGCATAAACACATGGCCTAGTAGTGTATATTGCACTAGCTAGGCCCAGTAACAAGTACAATACGATCGAAAAAACGGGGTCAGCGATGGCTATGAAATGAAGATCGCTGTTATCTTATATGTAAAATTATATAGGGAATGTCATCGATCGTTGTTTCCAAGCCAACTGGACGCCGTTTTTTTCGATCACACGGTAGAACACGGCGTTTATATTTCTAAAACTGCAATGAAACACGTATAACTCAAAAATACAAGTATTTTATATTAAGTAAGTCATTCTAAATAATTAAAGTGTCAGAAATGGCTGGCATTAAAAAATAATGCTCATTTTTGTTGTAATTTCAAGATGGTATTGTCTCGAAAAACTCTTAAATTGGGTATTTTTAGGTTCTGAAAAAAATATTTTTGCAAAATAATCTTTAAAATAAAGTAAAGAAATATATTATCTGAACACATTTAAAACGAAAAATTTTCTAATTAGCTAAGTATATCATCCTATATTTGCCGAGTTGTATGTTATCTTTTTTATATGAAATAATTTGACTTTTTTATTTTCCTAATAATTTGCTTAATGTCAGAGTTACTATGTTATATACAGGGTGGTCCGAATTGTAACTGGGAAACTTTGGTAACATATTCTGCAGATAAAAATAAACAAAAAAGTTCATATAAATGTATGCCCTAGCTTCATTTCAGAGATACTGGGTGTAAAAATTTAATTTTTATTTCGTTTTTTTTTCAAATAATTTCTGAACTAACGTCTATATAGGTATGTATAAAAATTAGTGTCTGGGTATTCTTCGATATCAGAAATTTGATTTCATTATTAGTATAATTGTAGGGGGCGCTACTAACTGTTTTTTTGAAGAGTAATTAAGTTTTCGACTATTATTTGTATTACATTCCTGAGAGAAAAAATATACATTTCCGCCGTTTTTTACGTTATAAAGGGGAATCTTGGTAAAAATAGCTAAGGGCAAAATCGCTATGGGGATCAAGATATTTGAAATTGAAATAATCATGTTGACTAGATAGTTACTAGACTGAAATAATAAATTTCAACATCTTTTTAGTGCCAAACTGTTTTATCATATTTTTTTCTATAAAAAGTTATGATTAATTTAAAAATAAAATGTTTCCAAATTTATCATTTCAGTGAAATAAATATCTAGTCAACATATTTATTTTTTGTCAATGATGACATATATTGATTTGCTGGTAAATTTATACGAACTTTTTTTACTTATTTTTATCTGCAGAATATGTTGGTGAAATTTCCCAATAATAATTCGGAGTACCCTGTATATTGAAAAAGAAAAATTAATAACATCACTTAAATGAAAAATATCATTCAAACGTTATTTATTGTAGAGTATCTAATATATACATATGAATTTAAATATTTTAGTTTAATTTGTAGATTATCTTTATTGTGATTGAAATGTGTTTCAATTTGAATGCGTGCAAGTTTGAACGTAATTTTTTGAACTAATTTTTGTGTTAACTAATACTTAATAAAATATAGAATATATGTCATAAAATAAAATATAGTAATTTTTAGTTAAATTTAGGTTTCTTTGGATTGTTTTAAATTAATCTATTATTTTGTATTTCAGCATTTTTGATCATCTAAATTGAATTTGCGGTTGAAAATAAAGCAAGCCATATATTGCTAGCATATAAATATAGAGGCCATACAAGATAATACTTAAAATATTAACTGATTTTTATTTTTTAATTTGTTATATCGCCTATGTGCCTTAAACTAAACGTGCCAAAAGGCAAATTTTTGTGATTTGTGTTTGTTAATCATTTTTTATTTAAGCTTCTTTCTATTTAAATGGTCTAAAAAATTTAATCTTCGATCTTAAAACATCTAAAATGGATAACCAATATAATAGAAAGTAGCTTTTGTTATATTTTTTTGTTCTTTTTATGTGCTTATTCTGTACTATAAAGATATTTGAGATTTTATTTTGTTACTTAACAGATTTTATTTTCATTTATTTTATTTTCAAATAGACTATTTTGTTATTATACTAGTCAGAAGAGGTGTTGTTATTGGACAATATGTAAAATAGTTTATTAATTTCAAGAAATAAGTAAAATTCGTTCTATTGTTTTATATAGATAAAATAAAAGAGCTGTGTAGATAGAAGATGTTTACCTTTAAGTTGACATCATTTTACGTTTGTTCTTTAAAATTGAAATAAAAATTGATATATAATATAGTTTTAGTGTTTTAATTTTATTAAAAATGTTGATAATATTCCAACCACCAAAATGAAATTCTAAAAGTATTGAATTATTCTATAACAGTCGTATAGCTTCTTAAGGTTTCATAATAAAAATTGTAATATTAAATGATATTATTTAGTAGTTTTTACAATATATCTTATATCCCGATATAACAAAAATATATTTTCTAGGTTCTGTATGTGTTTTGTATTGTAGAAAAGTTATAGGCTTAGTGTATTTCAGTCAATTTTTAAAATTTTTACAGTAGCGCTCGGTACGGCAGAATTTATAAATTTCTGGTTTTGTATTTCACCGGCAGTCCTGTTTTATCATTCATGTTGATCGCATTGAAGTAATAGGCTTGGTGCATTCTCCACCGGTGCTGCCACTATCGGAGAATATCGTAAACAACTGTATATACAAATACATGAGTTTATAGCGAGTATACGAAAAATTTATCATATTAAAAAAATATTCTTATTTATTATTATATCAAAATTATTTTAAAAGTGTTAGGAAGTATAAATTGTGAAAATTCTAAAAATAAAAATAAAAAAGTAAATATTTTGATATCTTCAGAAGGTCTAACTTGTATTATAATTTATTATTCGGTAGCGAGCATAGTTTTAATCACCGGCTTTGCTAGTGGGGTCATTTGATTTTTTAAAAAGGTACCTAATTATAATTTTAGAAGATGTTTATAAAATATTTAATCATTAGTTGATTAAAAAAGTATACCATAATATTGCAAATAATATTTTATCCTCTCATAGTATATATGTACGTTACGGTTAAGGTCCGATGTCCGGTTAATGTCAACATTACCCGGTTAATCTCGAGAATAACACACAACAAAACAACCAAAAACATAACCTAACCCAAACATTAACATGTTAATGTCGACATTAACTGGACATCGGACTTTAACCTTAACATATGTACAGGGTCCGGCAATAGTGCGTCAGGCATCTGTAGCTCCTAGAATAAAAAACTTGAGAATTTTGCTTAAGTGCTAACCTAAAGTATGTACCAGGATGTATTTCAGGAAAATATTTCTGAACTTCTATAGGGTGGCTCAAAAAAGTGTGAGTGGACCTGGATGATTTTTTTTAAATGGTAAAACACCCTGTATATAATTGCATTTCTGGCTTCCTTTCAGATCACTTTACATAACCCTAAAATATGAATAAATATATTTCGATAGTTTCAGAGATATTAAAAAATAAATAAAAAATATGTATTTTTCAGCCCTTCTTAAAAAAATTATTAAAAATACAAGAACTGTTCTGAAATCAAAACTATATTAGGTTTTTTATAAATATGGTAATCGTATATCATACAGGATGTTCAATATTCTACGCCAAACTTTCTAAAATATAAAATAATTTTTCTTTGTTATTTTAAATGGAACACCCTGTATATTATTTTTTTATTAGATGGAGAGTTAAAAAATGAACACTTTTTGTATTTAGAGTATTTCAAAATTTTGAACGGTTTCGCAGATACGCGCAGTATTATTTCATACGGCGCTTTCAATGGTAAAATACGAGAGAAAAATCATTGGGTGGCTTTCATAAAAATTTACTGTGGAAAATTCCATATGAAATATAAAACCGCAAATATCTGCGAAACCGTTAAAAATTTTGAAATACTCTAAATACAAAAAATGTTCATTTTTTAATTCTCCGTCTATTGAAAAAATAATATACAGGGTGTTTCATTTAAAAAAACGAGGAAAAATTATTTTTTATTTTAGAAAGTTGGGCGCAGAATTTTGAACATTCTGTATAATTTACGATTTTCATATTTATAGCAAAGTAAGTACATACCATCTAAAGTAAATACCTAATATAGTTTTGATTTCAGGACAGTTCTTGTATTTTTAATAATTTTTTTAAGAAGGGCTGATAAATATATAGTTTTGATTTATTTTTTAATATCTCTGAAACTATCAAAATATATTTATTCATATCTTAAGATTATGTAAAGTGATCTGAAAGGAAGCCAAAAATGCAATAATATACAGGGTGTTCCATTTAAAAAAAATTATCAAGGTCCACTCACACTTTTTTGAGCCACCCAATAGAAGTTAAAATATTTTCTTGAAATACATCCTGGCACATACTTTAGGTTCGCACTTAAACAAAATTCTCAAGTTTTTTATTCTAGGAGCTACAGATGCCCGACGCACTATTGCCGGACCCTGTATAATATATTATATTATGTCTATTTAATTTTTTGATTATGTAACGAGCACTTTATTTTTTACTCACTTATTTCGTCGAACTGTTTGAATCCATTTTTGCGTTTGATCAAATCGGCGTGAGAAACTATGAAGCTATAAAATGTTGTTTCGGGAGAGTTGAATATTCGGGAAAGTTGAGTTATTGAATGTTATTGAGCCTAACAACGCCCTAATTACGCTCTTTTTTACGCCTTAACATTTTTTCGGAAATTTTATTAACTTAAAATTGTCACAACCATAGCACGATGCCTAGTTCGGATTCATTTTATCACTTATTTATTACTACTCGAAACAGCGTTACATCACACAAACCTCGTACCTGAGTGTTTTATAGTCTCAATAACTGCACTAGTAAAAAAACTAAAATCCTTAAATATTGACGTAACAAAGCCACAATTTCAATATTATTTTAATGCGATTAACATGAACTGTAACCGGGAAGGCGTGAAATACATAGCGAACATTTCTGATTTCTGCCGTACACAGTGCCGCGGTCGGAAATTTTTGAAATCAATTTATCTGAAATGCACCAAGTCTACAGGGTCCGGCAATAGTGCATCGGGCATCTGTAGCTCCTAGAATAAAAACTTGAGAATTTTGTTTAAGTGCAAACCTAAAGTATGTACCAGGATGTATTTTAACTTCTACAGGGTGGCTCAAAAAAGTGTGAGTGGATCTGGATGACTTTTTTTAAATGGAACACCCTCTATATTAAGAACCGCAACCTAAGATATGAGTAAATCTATTTCAATAGTTTCAGAGATATTAAAAAATAAATCAAAAATATATATTTTTCAACCCTTCTTAAAAAAATATTTAAAAATACAAGAACTGTTCTGAAATCAAAACTATATTATTACTTTAGATGGTTTGTTCTTACTTTGTTATAAATATGGTAATCGTAAATCATACAGGATGTTCAATATTTTACACCAAACTTTCAAAAATATAAAATAATTTTACTTCGTTTTTTTAAATGGGACACCCTGTATTTTTTATTTGATGGAGAATTAAAAAATGAACATTTTTTGTATTTAAAGTATTTCAAAATTTTTAATAGTTTTCCGGATACACGCAGTATTATTTCATATGACGCTTTCAATGGTAAAATACAACAGAAAAATCATTGGGTGGCTTTGATCAAAATTTACTGTGCTTACACAAACATTATACATAGATTTCATGCTCCAATTCACATCTCTCAGATATTTATTGTTACTTTGAGAATTTTAAAGTCCGGCTCTGCTAAACCCCTTAACCTCACTTTCGCCAGTAAGGGCATCAGAGGCGCTTTCCTCCTTCGCTCCCCGCAACCCCGAATTTGGTCCACAAAACCGTCTCTTGCATAAAGTCATGAGTTCATTTCGTTTGATTGAAATCCTCTCTTATTCTTGTCTGTTTGAAAAAGGCCGATCCTGCAGCCGAGACCGCATTGTTTTAACTCCGCTCTGGCAGCCTCATGCATACTTTCATGTGCCGGGGAGACCCAGACGAAAGAGGGTTTGTGAGAGGGGGAGGGGGTTGGTGAGATTAAGGGCGAGTAATTGGACTTTTATTCTCCGCGGTTAAATTTAAAAAAGAACAAAGAGATTTACATTTTTTTCCGGTTTATTTTTACCTGTAGTTTATTTGCTGGTGAAGGGCCTGGTGAAAATGCCTTTGTTAGGGTAAGAAGAAGGTGTTTGGTTTGGTTTGGTAAGTATAGCTTGTTGATAAACTTATAGAAAGTCTAAGATAAAATTAAGTATAGAAAATCTGTCTAACGATAGAATAATAGCGGTGACAGTTGTGTATTATATTCGTTTAAAATTATCTAGGTAAAGTTTAAAAATTACCCTTATCACTTAGGGGTATAAAAATAGATAACCTATTCTCAGACCTACTGAATATACATATAAAATTTTATTAAAATCGGTGAATCCCTTTCGGAGGAGTATGGTAACTAAAGCTATTAAAAACACAATCCCTATTAAAAAATAGGGGTTGATGGTAGAAGCGTGTAAATTTAGGGTTGAATGTATTTTTAATTGCTACGTTATAAAAAAATAAAAGATTTTGTCCAAAAAGTAAAAAAAAAAAATTGGGGTGAACCACCCTTAGGGCTATAAAAAAATATAACAACCTATTCTCAAACGTACTGAATTTACATATAAAAAATAATCAAAATCGGTTAAGCCTTTTCGGAGGAGTACGGTAACTAAAACTGTGACACGAGAATTTTATATATTAGATTGATAACAATTTAGTATGGCACTGTTTTTATTCATTATTTTATTACAAACCTCCCAATTTACATTTATTTCAGGAACCATGTTCCGTCATATCGTGAAATGTTACGAGAGAAGAACTATACACATCGTTATTCATTAGAAAACTCCCTTGTAATTATTTTTTACTGTTTTAAAATTCAAAATTATAAGTAGGTACAGATTTAAATTCGGGAAGAAAAAATCCTTTTAGAAAATATTTTGACATTTTACAATAGAATTGAAAGCAGTAAACACCTGGAAAATCCGTTTAAGCCTCTAGGAATGTAAATTTCGAAATAGCAAGCCCGAAAATACCGAGGATTATTTTCCAAAGAACCGGGATTATAGAGAACTGCCGACGGAATTTTAAATACCTACCAACCATTCCACGAATCGAATTGTTTCCAAGTCTGGAAATGGGGATAATGATAGAATCAAAGAAAAGAAACGGAAACAAATAAAGGGTTTGCTGTAAAAGTCTGCTTTTTCTTGACAAACT